TGCGCCCGTCCACTCAGCGGGGTCGCAGCTGCCTCTGCGCGACCTGTGGATGTACCTTTGTCGCGCGCCGGAGACGACTCGACGCCGCTGAGATCGGAGATCAAGCTCTGACAGGTCGCACGTCGCTCCTTTGACGCCGACGTGATTTACCCGTGCAGATCACATCAGGACACGGTCTCGACGCGCTCAGTACGACGCCTGCGACCCGTCTCGGGTCAGGTGGCACGACGCTCATCGCGCCCGCCAGCGCTGCCGTGCAGGCTGCCACGTCGAGGTCGAGCACGCTTCTATACGCTCGCCGAGCCTTCCTTTCCATCCCATTAGGCAGCCTGGGAACGGTGGCGATCAGAGGCAAAGCCTACGAGGGGTGGTGGAACCACATGTCACGGCTACTGCCGGCTCGACCCCACGATAGCCTCCGAAGGCTGACTTTGAGGCACCATCATCGGACGATGTCGACGAGTTGGGTCGCTCTCGCGGTAGCCAGATGACCTCTCATACTAGGATCATCGGCCATGGCCGCAGGGAGCGCGGGGGAGGGCGCTGGATGCAACACGGAGCTCCGTTGGAGACGTTTTCAAGATTAGCGTGTCAGAGTGAAATGGCACTAGCCTCAGCAGGATCCGGACCGTCGGATGCACTACCTCACTGGGCCTGAGAACATCGCGCGACCAGCCCCTCACCACTCCGGGTTTGCGTGGAGTCGAACCACTCCGGTATGGGCGAGCCCATTGATTTGAATTTAGTCCTTTCTCGCCTGCGGGAGGCAGTGGGGGGTATGTATTTCCTCTGGTTAATTGTCAAAAATCCTGTTGTGCAAGAGGGGATAGGGCTCTGACGGAGTGTGTACCGGTGAGAGGACAGGGAATGGGCGCGGGGGAGGCGGGGGAGGGGGGGGGGGGGGCTCAGCCGTGCAAAAAGCATCAGCTTCTTGTTTCTTATCAACCTCCTCGGTGGGCCTGTGTTAGTCCTAGCACGCGCCAGTCCGCGCGCCTGTGTCGAGCCTGTCTGCTGCTGTGAAAGAGAGTTGTTCCCCGTAAAATTCTTATCCAACCATCTGTGAAAGGACGTATTTTCTTCTACCCTTATAAGTCTCTTGTCCCGGAGCGCCGACCGCTCTTGAAGCCGCGAACCAGCTCATTCAAACTCGGCCGTCCCACCGCAAATCGGCGGCAGCCTCAGCTCGGGAGCCAACAGCCGCGGCGCGCATGGGGGGCAAGGAGCGAGAGCGCGAACCGCCACCGGCCACCGACGACGAGGATGCGACGCAGGCGACCACGCAGGAAGGCGACCACGGCCCCACGCAGGAAGGCGTCGTGGGGGAGTCATCCGGCAAGCGCAGCCGACAGCACAGCATCACCAGATCACCGCTGGGCTCGCAAGCAGCGCAAAGCGAAGGGCCGCCGCCATGTCGCAAGGGGAGCGGGCGACGAAACGAGTGGCCGACCAGCAGCGACGCCGCCGTGAGCAGCGTGAGAGCAAGGAATCACAGCCAGCACCGATCACCTTTGACGCTGCGGTGGCAAAGGTCGCGTTGGAGGCAGCTCTCGGCGTGGTGGAGGTTGAGGATTTCCGCGACTGGCTGCTCGACCCACAGCAAGCTGGACAGCCGATCGACGGTGAACGCATCACCGAGTGGTGCGCATCCGAAGCGTACGAGCGCGCCCGGCTCGAGTACATGGACAGTTGCATGTGCGAGGGTGCGTGCATGTGCACCTACGATGGCGTATGCATCGCCCCAGACGTGCCCGGAGTCACCTGCGACTACTTCGACGAGGCGCTTTTGGAGCCGCGCGCCAACGATGGGCAGCCATCAGGCTCGGATTGGGTGCCGGAGGGCTGGGATGGCGTCGAGGCCGATCGGCATGAGGAGCGGGCTAAACTCGAGCGTGCCGAGCGGATTGAGCGAGAGAAGCAAGACGACCTCGCACACGCTTCAGAGAAAATTTGGGTCCAAGATTCTGAGACTGGTGATTGGGGCCTCTCCACCCGTGGCAGCATGGCCAACTTTCGCAACCGCCGTGTAAACTTCTCTTGCGCGTATCAAGCTTACACGGGCGATGCTGCTGAGGCCGATGCATACCTGCGCGACCCGGGTTCAGAGGCGTCACAGGCGTGGCTCGAGGCGCAGCTTGCTCCAGGCGGTGGAGGTCCGACACCGCCTGGCTCGCCCGCCTACGGGGATGACTGTTACTTCTCCTACCCGGACTCGCCAGTGAGGCGGCCACGCGAGGAGGCGCCTGACGACAGCGACGCATATGAGCTTGACCAGGAGCGCGCGCTGGAGTTGCAGGGGCGCATCTCCTTATTTTACGGCCGGCCTTGGGACGAGGTGCCGAGAGGCGCGACGGTGCCAGTGACTTGCGAGTGGACCATCGCATCATTCAGCCGACAGCAGCAAATGCATCGCCCGCTCTCGCCCGCACCGGTAGCCACGGACATTGTCATTGAGGACGAGTTCCTGCAGGAGCGGTGGTTCCGCGACCACGGCGGTGGCGGCGAGCTGGAGGGCTCGACGCGAAAGCAGAACGAGGCATTCCAGCGTTTGAAGGACCGCCTCTTTAGCCTTCGCCGCGACCGCGCGAACCCGTCGGGCACACCGCGTGCCTCGCAACGCCGGGCGTCGGGCGCCGGATCAAGCACCGACCCCCTGTGAGACTGTGGACGGTGCCTGGGACTCGAGCCTGGCTGGAATGCGAATGGAACATCGGAAGAGCTTTACATCACGAATTATTAATTACGAAAAATGTTACGAGCGAGGTAAATCCGACAGCACTCCGACAGCACTCTCCACTCCTCGAACGTCGGTGGAGGATAAGTGAGGACCTGTGTGCCAGGAGAAAAAGGCGGGTACCCGCTGCAGGTCCCACACTAGTCTCATAACAAGGCTGTGAACTAAACCCCGACGCCGACGGGCAGCATCGAGAGGGATATCGGACGGGAACGGGGAACCGCGCGGCATGGAGGGGCAGTCGCTGAAGGACCTGTCGGCACCGCTGATTGGCAGTGCCAAGCAGAAAATTGCATCCGTGAAGGAGGGCATGGCGCCGATGGTGGGCGGTGCAAAGGAGAAACTCGCATCCCTGAAGGAGGGCGTGGCGCCGCTGATTGGCAGCGCCAAGGACGGCATGAGCGAAGCCATCGATAGCTCGAGAGGCGCCGCAGCCGCCGCATTCACGAGCGCTCAGGGGAGCCTGGAGAGCGTATTCGCGGGCAAGTCGGAGAAGGAGATTGCACAGATGAAGCTGCTGGCTGGGACCGGGCTGTGCCTCTTCTTCATGATTGCTGAGGTGATTGGTGGCATCGTCGCCCACTCGCTGGCCGTGATGACCGACGCGGCACACATGCTGTCCGACGTCGCCGGCTTCCTCGTTGGCATCATGTCGTTATATCTCACGAGCCGCGCCGCCAACTCAAAGTACTCCTTTGGCTTCCACATCGCCGAGGTTCTTGGAGCGCTGGTCTCAGTGTCCATTGTGTGGCTGATGACAGCGATGCTCGTCTTTGAGGCGACCAACCGCCTGGTCGAGCCGGAGGTTGTTGACGGCAAGGTGATGTTCTGGGTCTCACTCCTCGGCCTCGCGATGAACTTTGTGCTTATGCAAGTCCTCGGTCACGGCCATGGCGGGCATGGCGGGCACGGCCACGGCGAGCACGGCCACGGCCACGCCGAGCACGGCCACGCTGAGCACGGCCACGCCGAGCACGGCCACGCCGAGCACGGCCACGCCGAGCACGGCCACAGCACTGACGTCGAGGCCGCCTCGCACGGCCACGCGCACAGAGCTGGTGAGGAGCACGCAGACACCTCCACGGCGACCGAGTCGATGGCTCTCAAGGCGGCCATGGTGCATGTGATCGGGGACATTGTGCAGGTGGGACAGCCGCCCACCCTTGCCTCCTTCTCGTGCCGCGCGCGCCACGTCGCGTGAGCCATCCACCCACAGCGCTGCCTCTGCCTCAGTCGGTCGGTGTGTGCGTTGCTGCGGCGCTCATATGGGCCTTCTCGGACCGCTGGCTGGATGAGAATGGTATCTCGTACTGGTATCGAATCGACCCGGTCTGCACGTACCTCTTCTCCATCCTGGTCATCGTGACCACCTACAGCACGGTCAAGGAGGCGGTTCATATGCTGATGGCAGGGCGCGCATGCACACCAAGCACCCCGCTCTGTAGGACTTGGCACACCCCCTCCCTCCCTCCGCAGGGTGCCGGAGGATGTCAACCTCGACCATGCGCGGATGTTGCTGGCCAATATCCCAGACGTCATCGGCGTGCACGACGTGCATATCTGGTCGCTTAACAGCTCGAAACGCAACATGTGGGCGCACCTCGTGGTCGGATCAGGGGCGGACAACAGCGCCGTCTTGCGTGCGGCCGAGGCGGCGGCGGCGTCGCTAGCCTGCGAGCATACCTGCTTTCAGATTGAGGACAAGGCCACCGCGGAAGCGCACGACACGTGCGCGCTCGAACGCTGGCGAGGGAAATGACCACGCCCTTCTCTTTCACTCTCTTGTCTCTGCCTGTCTTTTGCGAGTTGCGACGACACTTTTGCGTCTCTAGACTCTACACAGCTCGCGATCAAACCGGAATTATTGTCACTTCTCATACACAAAAACACACAGGTTGACACAGGTAAAACTCTCACCAGGACCTTTTGCCCTTGCCGCTCTTCTTCTTCCCCTTGCCCCTCCGCTGCGCGGCTCCGCCCCCCACGCCACTAGAGCCACTTGTGCCTCCCCCCGCCCCCGCACACTCCTCGGCGGCCCCCTCACCCTCTCCCACCTCTCCCGCCGCCGCCGCCGCCGCCGCCGCCGCCCCTGTCCCCTCCTCCACCCGGTCGTCGAGCCGCCGCAGCTGCGCGCGCTGGTTTTGGACCGCCCGCCTGTCCGAAAGCGAAGCAATCAACTAGTACTATACTCAGTTCTCATCGATCCGGGCTGGGCCGACCGCCTGTCCGACGGCGTCGCCGCCTGCGTGTACGTCTGGCTCACCCCGCCGACCGTGCGCTTGTAGATGCGGTGCTTGCGGCCGCGCCGCAGGACCCAGCCCCCCTCCTCCAGCAGCTGCTTGACCGTGCGGCCTCGCACCTGCAGGAAGGCTCGGAGCCGGCTCCGAGAAGGCTCCTTGAGCATTTCTCGACTGTCCGGCGTCGCACCGGCGCCCTCCTCGCCGCGCGGATGCACTCGTCGTCGTCCAGCGGAGCTTTGATCAGGTCACCTATGGGAAGGCTCGGAGAAGCTTCCGGAGAAGGGTCTCGTCGTCCTGCAATTGAGCTTTGATCGAGTCGCCATCATCCAGCTGGACCTGGTGGGAGGGGGAGAGGGGCGTGGGCGTGGGCGGAGCATCGATAGAGGAGAGAAAGAGGGGGGGGGGGGGGGACGAGGGAGAGAGTGGGAGAGCGAGAGGAGGGCTCCTCGCCTGATACGCGTACTCCTCCCCGTCGCGGTCCTCGTACCCCGCCTACAGGGACGTTCCGAGAAGCTCCTGAGATGGCTCCTCTCTCGCAGCTGCTTGACCAGACCTCGCACTGAACCTCCGTCACCCGCCCCGGCGCCCACCGCCCCGCCCCCATCTGGCACTCGACGCGAGCCCCCACGCCAAACCGCAGGGCCGCCCCCTCCGCTTCCCCGTCGCCGCTCCAGCCGAGGCGAGAGCCGGGCTGGTATGCCCGCTCGAGCGGCGCCATCGCGTCGCCAAACGCCACAGTGAGCAGCGAGGAGGAGGAGGCAGCCTCCGCCGCCGCCTCGCTGTCCTCGTGCACGGGAAGCGCGAGAAACGCGTCTTGCTCCTCGAGCGTGCCTAGCCACAGCCGGGCGTGTGTGAAGAGACGAGGCTCACAGCGCGAAACAGACGTGTCTGCTCGTGCAGGGTGCCTTTTCACAGCAGGATCTGTGAAGAGAGTGTAGTCACTGCCCGAGCAGCGCGCCCTGCTCGGGCGGGCGTGCCCGGCAGGGCGAAGCCAACGAAGCCGTCCTCCTCAACGCTCTGCCGCGCCTCCTCCGCCTCCTCGCCCTCGTCCTCGCCGTCGCTGTCTGCAGCCTCGCCGACCGCGGCCACGGCCCCCTCGCCCGGCCTCCGCACCTAATCAAACTCATCGCACATCGCTCCCCATCCATCAGATCGCTCGGCTCGCCCGGCCATCCCCACCACTCCGTCCCACTCCATCGGCCGCGCCTCGCCCGCCTTCCGCTTGCGCCTAAGGGACGCGTCTCGGACATGCCGTGGACGTGTCGTAGACATGGCCTCGCATCCGACCCCCGCCAGCGCCTCCTTCGCCGCCGGAACAGGTGCACCGCAAAGCTCCACACCGACCGCCGGCCCCGCTCCTCCCGCGGCGCCCTCGGCCTACGCTTCCGCCCGCCGCCGCCGCCCGCCGCGCGCTTCGCCGCCGCGCGCCTCGCCGCCCTGGCTGCTGTAAGGAGGTCCTCAATGAGCAGCACCGCCTCGTGGCATCCGATGGCCCTGCGCCGGAGCGCCTGCTCACAGCCAAAGGCGTGAAGCGGCGCTGTCCTCGGCGCCGCCTCGTTCTGTTCACTGCTGCAGCCTCGTTGAAGCGGGTCGAGGCGAGCCGACCGACCCACACCCCAAACTGGCCGGCGCAGTCCGCCTCGAGGTCGGAGAGATCGCGGTAGAGCGGCTGCGGCCAGCGCCTCCAGCTGGCGAGACGCCCGAAGACGTCGAAGCGAAGCGAGTTGGCCGCGTCGAAGCTCTCGCGCTGGACGCCGACGTACCGCAGCCCGAACATCAGCCACGGGGCGCTAGCGCTGTGCCGGACGGTGTCGGTAGCCTTGACGAGCCGGTAGTGGACGAGGGCTACGAATAGGGTGTTCATCGTGTAGAGTCCGAAGGCAGCGGCTGCCAGCAACATCACGAGGGTCCAGCCGACGTTGAAGTTTGCGACGACCGGGTCTGGGCCGGCGTCGACCGTGGCCACGTCCATGCTGATGGAGCCCCACGGGCCGAGGAGCCTGACAATGGGCACCACGAGCGCCAAGCAGAGGTACCACCAGTAGACAAACAAACCGTACAAGGCAAGGAGAGCGCCGGCGTATGCCCGGCGATACCAGGCGGGCAGCGACCCGAGGGTGTGCGCAGCGTCGTCGCGCCGCTTCTCGTCCTCCTCGAGGATCCTTCGCATCGCGAGCCGCTCCGGCGGCATGGAATTCATCCACGGGAGGCGATCGAAAACGGCCATGTTCACGGCCTGGGGCGCGACCGACTGGGACGGGGTTCGGCCGTTGTCGAGCCGCGGCGTGAGCTGCAGCCGCAAGCTGAGGAGGCTGCAGTAGCTGTCCGCGAAGCTGTCAACCTCCGTCCTGAGGACCGCCGCGGGCACGGGCTCGCCGCCTTCCCACGTGCAGGCACCCTCGAGCGAGCGGAGCAAGCCCGCCCGGATCTGCTCTCGGACTTGCTGCTCGTGCGTGGCGAGCAAGTCCTCGTCGAAGTCCCGCAGCTTTCGAAGCAAGCCGTGCTTGGCCACCTCCAGCGAGCCCGACAGGGCGCAGCAGTGCTCGAGCGAGACTGTGCCCTCGCCGCCCCCGCGCTGCGCCTCGTCGAGCGCCTCTTGCAGCCGATCCGCCAGCACAGAGCACGTTGTGGCGAGTTGCTTGCTCGCAAGCACGTAGGCGCACAGACTGACGTCGACCTGGCGCACCGAGAGGGGCTGCGCACCCCTCCCTTTGACGTCCTGCAAGTTGATCGTGTACTTGCCTCGCTCTTGCTCGCTGTAGCCGATGCGAAACCCGGAGCGCGCCAGGCGGCCGTTGCCGACGACGGCCAGGTCGAAGTTTGTGACGAGCAGCTCACTTTTGCGCCATTCAGTCCCCTCTGCCCACTCGTCGGCCGCCTGGCGCGCCTTGTCCTGCAGATTGCTCGTCCACGGGCAGGTGTACCAGCCCATCCCCCTCGAGCTCTCCTCGAAGCGGAAGGCGTTGCGAGGCGCAGCAAAGAGGCCAAGCTTGCGGGCGGCGAGGACAGCTGCGCGCCGCCTCTCCTGCGGTGATGCCGTCGAATCCTGGTCCGAGGGCACGACCCAGTCGATGACCCGCGCCGCCGGCTCTCCCCGCCCATCGCTGTGGCGACGCGCGTCGAACGAGTAGACCAGCATCATTGCCACCTCAAGCGACACATCGCCGATCCACTTCTCCCCGCCCGGCGACGGCGACGCGCTCTTCTCCCGGAGCAGTGCAATCAGAGCCCCGAGCGAGGCTGCGCCGAGGCTGCCCATAGCAGTGCCAGGCGGCGGGTGCGAGACCAGTGCTTTGAGAGGGTCCAGATCCGAACCGAGCGCGAGGCAGAAGCCGATGACAACCTCGGCCGCCGAGTCGCCGCCGCCGTCCAGCTTGATGAGCGGTAGCGCCAGCGCTGAGCGCGCAGACTGCTCGAGCCGCCTGGCGAGGCGAGCCACCTCCTGGACGAGCCCCGCGTGCATCGCTTCCGCAAGGTGCATCATGCCGCGGATGAAGATATCCTCCTCGATCCGCTCCCTCTCCTCGCCCTCCGCCCGCGCGCGCTCGTTCTGCTCCTCGTGCGCAGCGGTTCGGCGCTGGAACTCGGCCTCCCGTTCCTCCGCCTCTGCCTGCGCGCGCCGCTGGTCCAGCATCTGGTGCGCCGCCACCAAGGTGACCCCGGCCCCGATGACGCCGGCGATGATGGTGTGGTGCTGAGGCATTGCAGGAGGAGCTCCGCGTGTAAAGATCTAAACCAAGCAGCCAAATGGCGCTGGCGCCGACCAGCTGGCGCCTAACCGACTGTGAGCGCTGTCAGAGCGGTGTTTCGACACCGATATCGTTCAAGGAGAACGCTGATTCAAAATCCGCTGTTCACGCTTCACAGGTAAGTGTAAGCGGAGCAGCTGAGTAGATACAGCGAATCCTTTGTGTTCACACCTGCAAGAGCAGGTGTGAACCGATTTCGGCCTTAGCCGTCGGTATGCCAATAGCGTGCTAGCCAAGTAGTACGCAGTTGGATTCCGAGGGTGTCCCATCACAAGTTCGGCTGCCGACAGACAAGATTGTCCCTTAGTCGACAGCACCCGCCTTTGGACGGTGCTCTGACTGGCTTTGAGAATATTTTTTCTTTTTGGTTCACATGGCTAGAGGTTGGCCTCCCACCGTTGTGAACATAGTCTGGCCCGAAGGAGCCGCTCGTCTCTTGTCCGGGCAAACGCGCGCCCGATAGCCCCATTAAGCACGTGTGAGGGGTATCCGAGCGCCGTAAACTCCCTGAGCTTGCTCGTCACGCTGAGCGTGAATCCCTCGTCATCGCTCGCCATTGCGACAACCTTGAGCAGGCATCCAACAACGATTCCCTCCTTCATTTTCGCGCATGTGAAGCTATCCCAACGATGGTAGCGCCACACCCGGGGTACCGCCTCGCACTCCTCGTTCACGTTCTTGAGTCTCGTCCGGAAGCTTCCGCTTGGGTCGAGCTCGAGAGTCGTTTCCAAGAAATGGGCGCTCTCTGCTGCCTCTAGCTTCAAAGGAGCCCAGTAGCATTCAGAACGGCGGAAGTCCTCCCGAAAGCGGTCGACATCCCACACACTATCGTCCTTTGCAGTTATCGTAATCACATCGTCCATGTATCGTTTCATACGGAATCGGGCTTTGACATCATCTTCAAGCGTATGCATCCATTCCTGCTCCATCCATGCGAGAGTTCCTATCGCCAGCGGTGGCGAGAGCGCACTCCCCATCGGGATCCCGCGGGCCTGCTTTAGCAGGCGTCCGTCATACGTGATGACGTAGCAGTTATCCAGATCGAAATCGATCACCTCGAGCATCGTCGAGAAGCTGATCGATGCGTGTCCCCACACCTCCCCTTGTTGTGCCCACGAGCACTTCTTCTTGCCTCGCTTCGGTACAAGTATTCTCGGGTCCTCTCCCGCGCCAGATGGCAGATTATTGCGCACATCATTTAGAATGTCTCTCATTGCCACCCGCATCGCTTCCTTTGGCATACTCGGGTAACAGCTGTCGACGTCGTTAATCTCGTAGCTGAGCTCTCCCTTCCCTCGAAGCGCCTCGGCCGCCTCTCTCAGCATTTGGGGCACACTTTGGCAATCATGCTGAATGAAGTGCTCACCCTTCAGGTGCCGGAGTACGAAACTCCACGCCCTGCCAACGAGGCTCAAAAGTTTCGCCATCGGATGCTTTGCGTACGGCGTGATCGGTCTCGCCTTGTGCAGCTTCTGTGCTCTCACTGTCGGATCAGTAACGTTCTTTGCCTTATATAGCGCATACGGCGCCGTGACTCTTCCCTTGCTATCGAATTTGGTGATCTTATGCCATCCCTTCTTTCTGTAGAACCATCGCCACGCAGAGATTAGCGTCGCGTCGAGCGTACCGTCAGTGCTCAGCTGGTTCGCTCGTACTCGCGACCGATCTCCTATCGTCATGTTTCTGAGCAGATCATCAGCTCCGTATTTCTTCCTCTTATACGCCGTATCCTTTAGCGGATATACGCGCGTATAGTTGCCATTTGAAGTGTCGAATAGTGCGTCTAGCGTCTTCGCATATGTGACAGGGCAAGTAACAAAAACCTCTCCGACATTCTTGTCCAGCCATCCTATAACGCTCCCTCGCAGGACGCTCTTGACTTGTGCAACCTGATTCGAAGTGACAACGTCTGCGCATGGTAGACATGTCTCGTCTGTTTCAGCAAGTGTCTCAGCGAGCACCCGTTTCCACTCGCCATCTCCCCCGGCTTCCCGCACACTTGCGGGAAGGCTTCCGAGTGCCTTGTCCCATGCCACACGCATGTCTCTAGCAGTCGAGATGGGCACATTTTTGTTGCTTCGGTGTAGTACCTCGGCGTGTGGGCCGTTGTACTCCCGTCCAATGCAGAAAATATGCCCCTCCGTCATCGGTAGAGGATCGAACCCGAAAGAGACAAGTCGCTGCTGTATCGCTTGACAGGCGCATCTCTGTGGTCTTCTCGGGTCACCGACATTTGCAAGTCTCTCTATAATGTTCTTCTGCCGTACTGTCACTATCTTGATCCGTTGAGAGTGCCACTCGATTATGTGCTCCGGCCAGGGTTGCCGTCTCACTAGCTCATCGAGGAAGGCTCGAAGAGGGCGAGCGTCAACCCCTGGTACGAAGGGAAGGCGCACCTCAATCGTATCCCGTGTGAGACCCTCATACCTCGTCTCGTATTCTTTCCAGAGCATGCGTCTCATACGCAGCCATGTGGATTTGTCGACGTATCCCCTCCTCTTCCATAAACACGCTAGTTCCTCTTCTGTGAGTTCGCAGAGCTCTTTACTTACGTCAACGAAGAATTCCTGCGCGGAAGTATCATCCTCTTTAACAAACCATGCGCTGCTCGCGAGCAGGAAAGCGGCGCTACCGGTACCCTCGGTCAGAGGGGTGCTTATAGCGCGCCTGGCGGTGACGGTGAAGTATCCACGGTCGGTTCTGCGCCGTATGGCTGCGAGGCCGACGCTGAAACTCGTGTTTTCGCCATCGCGAGTTGCGATGCTCCAATGAGAGTATTTCCCCTGTAGGTACCTCCAATTCGTGAGGTGAGTGTCTCTCATCTGGTAGCTGACGGTGAAGGTCATACTATCCCCTTCACACTCGGTCTCGGCCTTTCGCAGAATGCCACCGAGGTCAAAGTGTCTGTGCACACAACCGAGGTCTTCCCGCCAAAAATAGGAAAACCCGTGCTGCCTCTGCGCATCTAAATGCCTCTCGACGCCATCTCCGCCTCGTAGGCGGAGATGACTTCGTAGTGGGTCTCTCCACGGTGGTAGCTGTGGCCTCCTTTGACTTCTATCCGCCCGATTCAGTTTTCTCATCTCCTCTTTGTACGTAGGCTGGCTTTTCCAGGAAGCTTTGTTTCGCTCCTCCATGTTGAGTTTTGGTTTCAAAATGCGGATAAGTCGCTTCTCGAAACGCATGGCTTCATACTTGCTCGCACAAACAGCGAGCGGGACGGTGAACCATGTGTGAGGGCGTGCTGCGCGGTGCGCAATGTATTTTGCATGTTCTCCGTTTCTTTTGTTGCTGCAGGCATGGTATTCGCGCGAGTGCCTCACCGTTCCTGTGAAATGCTGTTCCTGTCGGCGACTCCAGTTCTCTGTCTCCCCAACGTATACAGCCCGAGTGCCGTCGAGACTGAATCTCACGTACACGATAGCACGTGTATCATGAGTGTGCACTTCTTCTGCGTTCTGTATGAGATGTGCGACTCGGTCGAGCGCGGGAATGCGTACAGCCCGTGTGAGAGCCTTAATCCATGGTTGTGCCAGCGTGTGTAGCTCTGCTACCCATCTCTTAGCTCTGGTTTGTACTCTGATTTTCTTCCCTTCGCCTTGGGGAAGGCAGAATTCCTTGATGAAAGCTTGGATAGCCCAAAGCTCTCTTAGGATAAAACCAGCCATCTTTCGCCTTACATGTCGCCACAGCGCATGTATAGGCCTCTCTCTCGTTTCTCCATTCCAAATCTGTCCATCCCCTTTCTCATTCATTCCCTGGCGACGCACACAGCTGCCATTAACATTCTCCCGGGCGACGCACACAGCTGCCCGGGACCTCACCGGCTCATAATGGCGACGCACAAAGCAGCCGAGCCTCTCACTAGCGCCAACATGGCGGACCTCCTTCCATTCTATCGCTTCCCCAGCTACACTGGGGGGCTGTGTGAGTCTCTCTCTCAGCAGGCACAGCACTCTCTCCACTCCCATTCTCTCTCTCGCCCCCAGGTGGGCGCAGGCGAACGCCGTCGCTCTGCCGCACTCTCCAGGGTTACTAGTAGGGGCGGGCTCCTTACTACTCAATCTAGCGGGCACCCCCCACCTTTGCGGGTGCCCCGCTTCCTACGCCGCCGCATCCTGCGGCGGCTGGCCGCGCGGCACCTTGTATGAGCCGCCTGCGGCCTTCGCCATCGCCTTGGCCCGGTGGTAGGCCGCATCCGCTGCGGCGGCGGCGGCCGCCGCCGCCGCCACCGCCTCATCTTGGTCGGCGGCAGGTGCGCGGCCTCGCTTGCGCTGGACGCGCGGCGGCGTCGCCGGCGGCGCCTCCTCGGCCTCCTCGAGCCCAGTCTCATCCGCCGCCTTTGGCGAGTCGTCCAGCTCGGTCACCTCCGGCGACCCGAATGAGAGCCGCTGCCGCGGGAGCGACGTCGCCTTGGCCATCATGGTCTGCATCATGCCGACCTGCGCCTTGAAGAAAGGCCCAACCGCCTCCTTGAGGCCGTCTGCGACCTCCGCGGCGATCTTCTTGGCGATGGCGTCCTCGTTGACGAGGAGCGGCGCAGTAGAAATGGACTCCGTGTTGGGCCCGGGTGGCGCGCTCGTCTTCTCCTTGAGCGACTCGGCGAGGTTGTTGATCGCGGCGAGGATCTTGTCGTCCTTGGTGGTGTCGCTGGCCGCGCTGTTGGTCGGCGCGTTGGGGTTGGCAGCGCTCGAGGGGACGGGCGGGAGGTTCGGGCAATAGGGAGCAATGTGTCCCGGCCCGCCGCAGCGGTAGCAGACTACATACGAGAAACCGCGGCCCTTGCCGCCGCCCTTGCCGCCGCCCTTGCCGCCGCCCTTGCCGCCGCCCTTGCCGCCGGAGAACCAGTTGCCGTCGTAGTCGTTGTCGTGTGTGTTGCCCTTGAGGAAGCCGGTGAACATCGACCGCATGCCCTCCGACACGAAGTCGTTGGCCACCTGCTGCGCGATGTTGGTCATGTCCTGAGGTCCGGAAGGAGGCTGCGACATCCTGTTGCGCGGAGTGAGTCTCGCTCGCTCGGTCCAGATGTCGGGGTAGCGCAGCTGTGAGCGCTGTCAGAGCGGTGTTTCGACACCGATATCGTTCAAGGAGAACGCTGATTCAAAATCCGCTGTTCACGCTTCACAGGTAAGTGTAAGCGGAGCAGCTGAGTAGATACAGCGAATCCTTTGTGTTCACACCTGCAAGAGCAGGTGTGAACCGATTTCGGCCTTAGCCGTCGGTATGCCAATAGCGTGCTAGCCAAGTAGTACGCAGTTGGATTCCGAGGGTGTCCCATCACACCGCGCAGGCACCTCGCGACGGGTCGGCGCACTCGTGCGGCTCAACCCCGGGGGCGGTCGCGAAGTTTCCGAGAATTTGGGCTGGAAATGCCGCCGCCACGGGTTGGTGGCGCCCTCGGCGCGGGAGCAGGATTGCGATCTACGTTTGTTTGATTTTGAGGCTTTCGGAGGCTTTGGAAAGGAGGTCCGCAGCACCCTGAGGGAGGTGGCGAACCAGCTGAGCAACAAACTTTCGCACGCTCAGCACCTGGACGAGGTCACATGGACCACCAAGAACTGGCACGGGCTGCAGATGCAGCGTTTGTCTGTCGTCCTCCACACCGCCGTGGCGTGGCAGACGGTGAACGAGCTAGCGTGCGGGGAGAGCGGCATTGTGCACGGTGCGGAATGCATTGCCGTTCTTAACGGAGTCGCTTAGGCGGCTCCGGCGGTGAGCCGGTGAGTGTGCCAGTCCGCGCCAGTCCGCGCCCTTGTCGTGCCAGTGTGCTGTGAGAGAGGCTTGTATTTTAAGAATTCTTTCGCTGAGGGCTGGTCGGAGCTGGGGGCTGGTCGCGAGAGGAGATGGAGGCGGCGGAGGAGGAGATGCAGCGCGGCGAGGGTTCTGATGCCTATGCGCTATGGGCTTCAGATCTCTCAGTTAGGCGAGTGGGTCTGCGATGCTTGCCTGGAGGGCTATTTGGGGGGGGGGCTTTGGCGACTACTCGGAGCTGCGCAGCGGCTACGTTGCGCCGTATCCGAGTAACCCCTGGTGCCCTGGATAGGTCGCTCGCGCGACCTCTCCTGGATGCGCAAGGGGCCCATAGGGGTCACGCGGAGGGAGGCGCTGTTGGCGGCGGAGAAGGCGCGGGCGGCGGAGGGGGGGAAGGGCGGCGGCAGCGGGCGGCAGTCCCGCGAGGCACGCCGGCGGAAGGGTTCGTCTTCGCGGGGCGGGGTGCGCACTGCGCGCCGCGAGGATGAGGAGCCTGAGCCAGGGGAGGGTTGGGAAGGGGGGGCGAGGCCGGAGGAGTATGACGGCCTCTTCGACGGCCCATAAGGGGCCGTTGTCTGCTGTGCCTTTTGTGGTGCTAGTTCGTGCCAGTCTGCTGTCAGACCGGCGCATCGCAGAATTCTTTCGCGATGTCCTAAACCGCCGCGCCGCCGCTCGCGCCGCCTGCCCCCGCCGCCGCCGCCGCCCCCTCGCCAGACACGCCGCCTCCCGCCCGCCTGCTCGACCTCCCCACGGACCTCCTCATGCGCGCCCTCTCTCGCTGCGACCCCGCCGACATCGCTCGCGTCGCGGCCGTCTCGCTCCTCTTCCACGCCTCGCTTGCGCTGGAGGGCATCCGCTTGTGGGCGCAAGAGCGCGGCTTCGAGCTGCCGGCGCAGCCCGAGGGCGAGGGCTGCGCCGTGCGGTGGCTGTGCTATTCTGCGGCGCTGTTGCGAGAGTCCAACCCACCGGCGAGGGCGGCGGCAGGCTATACGCGCAGCGCGCGCCGCCGCCGTGCCTGGCACGTGGATGATTGGCGTCGCCATATCGCGCGTTGAGGCGCGCGGTCGCTCACGAGCACGCAGCGCTTGCGGCCGTGCTGTGAGACGTCGAGGCACTTGAGGCCGGTGCACGGCGGGAAGGGTGGCTCCTGGTGCGGGTCTTGCTCAGGAACTGGATGCTTGCGCCGGGCGAGTTCATGTCGAAGTCGATGAGAAAGATCGAGCCGCTCGCCGCGCCGCACCCGAGCAGTCCAGGGCAACAGCCTCGCTCTTGGTTGTGACATGTCCGAGACGATGCAGATCTGTATCGCGAGGAGAACCCGCAAGCCGGAGCGGGCGGAGATCCGCCGAGATCCGCCGAGTTTCGCCGATGGCACTCTCACCGCCGCTCACCGCCGTGTCGCCTCTCACCGCCCCTCCTCGCTGCCCGCAGGTGCTGACCGGTCCGGGCCACAACGGCAAGCTCAGCGTCGGCTACCAGCAGGCGCTGCTCGCGACCATGTCTGGAGGCACGCCCGGCCTCGCCCGGCACCGGGGGGGACACGTCCACGACACGCCGATGACACGTGCGAGACGTGTCTGTAGGCACGTCCGGCCTCACCGCCATGAGCTGCTCAAGTGCGCGCGACAGGGGGGGGGGGCTGCCGCTGGGGGGGGGGGGGGGGAGGCGTCGCTTCTCACCCGCCCGCTGTGTGGTCAGGTACGCAAGGATCGCCGAGGAGCAGCCGCTGTACGTCACGCCCGCCTACTCTCACAACCAGCCGACCGGCGCCGACCCGACCGACTTCGCGAACTCTGATCTCCCCGCGTTGTCCGTTGTGCCTGACTGCGGCATGCGCGGGGTGGCTTCACGACGGCCTTTTCAGGTCAGAGATAGCGGGACGCTCTGGCTCACTGTGGAGGACAACACTCGATGACGAAAAAGCAGGAGAGGGCGACTGTCGAGGGGTGTGAGCCTTGGGAGCGTCTGCGAGAGCGCTCCGACACACTCTGCCCGCAGACGCGAAACAACTTTCGCACATGTACATGTCATGTCCGTCAACACGTCACACTCATCATGTGACATGTCACACTCACTCACTCACACGTCAGTCGTCACACTCACAGCGGGTCAGCGCCCGTGGGCTCACGCACGGGGGCTATACAACGCTTAAGGGCAAGAGGGACCCGGCACCCGCACAGCGGTTCAGCGCGGGGTCTCTCACGGAGACACGGTCTCAGCGCCCTGCCTGTGCCACACGGCTGTGCCTCCGCGTCGTCGCAAGCTCGAAGACGAAGTCGAAACCAAAAAACGAGTCGCAGTAGCTAGGAGTGTTCAAAGTTTCTCTCTCAAGCTCGCCCCCAGGGCCGGTCGAGGGCGGCCCTCTCGGGTTTCCAAAAGCTTGGCGTTCTTCCCATTGGGGCCTTGCGCTTTCCTCTTGTTTAGAGACACCCCGCAAGGCGCGCGATCACACACGACACAGCCCGGTCATCTGAGACGGCCGAGAGTCGGCTGGCTATCTCGGTGAGGAGCGGTCAGGGTGTTGGTTTCGCCTGGTTTTCGCGGCCACAGTTTGCGGCCTGGGTTTCGTTTTCGCGAGAACCATGAAAACGAAAAATTCTAGCCTGGAGACCTCGAGAGAGTAGTGCTGAAGGCGCTGGATTTGATTGAGGCAATCGAGCCTCTGCTGACAGGCCATCACACATTCCCCCCTGTGCCTGATACCCACACAAGGCCCAACCCTCGCCTTTCCCGTTCCGCGCTCGCGCTGGCCCCGCCGCATCGACGCACATATGGCCGCGGGGAGCTGCACGCCCGAGCGGCGCGACGCCTCTTGCTCACGCAACCCGCCGCTCCCTCTCCGCTCCCACCATGCGATGCGCTTCGCTCTGGCGCCCGAGAGGCTGCGCCCCCTCTCGGCCTCACAATTCCTGCCACCTCCCGTTCGCAGGTGAGGCTGCTGCCATCGAGGAGCCGCGAGACGCGGCAGCTGCCGCTCGTTTCCCACCCTTACACCGAGCGAACCCGCCCGATTGCCCCCACTCTTTTCCGGCGAGAGAGCGATGCAGCCCGCTCGCTTGCAAATCGCCGCCCGGCTCCAGTCCGAGCGCCGAGGACGCGAGAGAGCGTGCCGGCGGCGTCGTCTCGACGCTCACGCCGCGACGTGCTGCCAGTAGGCGCGTCGGCGTTCTCCTGCTCGACACTCTCGTCCAGAACCAGTCATCAGAGCTCGCGTTAGTCCTCTGCACAGAGAGATGCGATACCTGGATCCCATTCGTCGATTTTCTTTTCCCTTCCTCGAGTACCAGGGCTCTTAGGCGACGCTTGGGTACTGGTGGGAGGGGGGCGGGGGAGGCGGTGGGGGTGGGGGTGGGGCTGGGGGTGGAGGGTGGGGATTGGAGATGTGTGAGATTTGCCCGAGATTGCCCGAGATTTTCTCATACCCCCATATACCCCCATATACCCCCATATACCCCCATATACCCCCCAGACATCTTCATAGCAGTCTTGCACCCTCTTTCACACGGTCCTGATCGCGTAGGCGCCAACCTTTCCGTTCGCCGAGATTGACCCGAGATTGACCCGAGATCAGAATCCGAGATTGACCGCGCTGGAGTAATGCGCGGGCGGCCCGTTGTGGGACTCTTCCGCACCTCTCTTTCTGGATAGTTTCTGGCCCTCTCATAATCCCATATTGCATATACCTCCATATACCCCATATACAACCCCCATATACCCCCATATACCCCCCATATACCCCCATATACCCAATATACCCCCAGACATCTCAGTACCAGTTTTGTACCCTCTTTCACATGGTCGCGATCCCGTAGGCGCTTGCCTTTCCTGCTACGAGCCGAGACTGACCTGAGATTGACCCCGCTGAGAAGGAGTTCCCGCCCTGCTCGCATCTCCGCTGCGTCTAGAGAGTGCCACTCTGTGCCCGCAGCCGCTAGGGCCACTCGAGCGCTGGCCTGCACCCTCCATCGGGGACACCACCCCTGGACAGCAGTTTTGACCCTCTTTCACATGGTCATGATCCGGTAGGTGCTGACCTCTCCGTTCGCCGAGATTGCCCCATCCTCTGCACAGTGTCCAGTAACCAGTAATAATGCGCGGTAGTACTCTGCACAGGCCTGAAACGTAAATCGAGCTGTCGCAGGAAGGCGTCATCATGAGTCTTCGCTGGCTGCTTCTCGCCGGCCTTGTCGGACTGTGCCGCGGCTTTGCGGCTGTCGGTCGGCCTGACGACGGCTGCGAAGACGCGGACGACACCACAGTCATGCAGGCCGCTCGAGGGATGGGGCTCGGCGACGTCATGAGCTGCAGCGACGTTGCGATCCAAGGCCTCTGCAGCCACCCGCAGGCAAAGGAGGGTTGCTGCAAGACGTGCAATCAGGGGTTCTTGCAGCTTTCGTGCCAAGGCGCTGGTTCTAGTTCCTTCATGAGCGAAGATTGCGGCGTGGGAAGCTGCTCCCAGACCGGAAAAGACGAGCCTTGCGAACCGTTCGGTCCCTGCTGCGAGGGCTACAAGTGTGTGCATCGTGAGCACAAGTGTATCCAGACCTGCGGCTCATGGGGATGCACCTATACCTGCACTGACTGGTATGGGTGCAACTTCGTCGACCAACCCTCTCCACCGCCATCGCCGCCGCCGCTGCCTCCGCCGCTTGAGGTGGTCAAGCCTTTCATCGTCGCGAGCACTCAGTCCTGCCCTCTCGGCCAGTCGTGCAGTCCCATCACCTGGACGAACCTGCCCGACACAGTCGTGGACAAGGGTTTCTACCTGCTCGGCTCTCAGTTCCTGGCGCCGCGGGCTGCCGTTAGTTGAAATTATTGATTATAGGTACCTGCGACCCCAACCCGAATCCGACTGGCACGGTGACAAAGGTGTGCCCGCTTGGCAGCCTGGAGCTCGCGCCGAGCGGAGACATCTCGGATGCGAGGCCGACGCTCTACAACGGCAACCTAGCCTGTGTGGCCCCGAAAGATGGCACGCAGTGCGACTTCCGCGGCCAAGACGGCACGCCGGACTACACCCCGTGCTCCGTGTCGTACACGTGCTCCAACAAGAGCGTTCACGGCGAGGACAAGTATCACCACCGGCCCCTCCAAGACTGCCCGCGAGGCACGTGGAGCTGCGTTGCGTACAACGGCGAGGACGCCGACGGCCTGGATGGGGTCCTCAAACACAGCACCGTTGGCTCAGATCCTGGCAAACACAGCCCCGTTGGCTCAGATCCGGGCAAAAAACAGCACGCCGTGCCTTGCTGGTTTCCATCGCTCTCGCCTCTTGGCCTCGAGCTGCAGGGGAATAAAACCAAGCCGGCCGCCCAAGCCGATCTCCTCGAGCAGTGCAAGCACCCGCCCTTCGTCTTTGCTTACGACGACCCTGGCCCAGTGTCGCGCACGCCAGAAAAGCCAGGCGTGCTGCCGTCGACTCCGACAACCTTCAGCTGCCTCAAGATCGCCGGCGACAACGAGACGGATATCGCGCCGCCAGAGTACTCGACCTTTCCCCAGACGGAGATTGCGACGCCGTGCGACCCAGCGGGCGGCAACACCTCCCTCGGCTTCTGCGACGACGACAACGACTGCCAGGCACAGTGTGACAACGACGACAACTGCCTCGGCTACTCGGTCCAGATAAGAGGTGGCAGTGGCAGCGGCGGCGGATACACCCCATTCCAGGAATCCTTTACGCTCAAGAAGTACCTCGGTCCCGCGTGCGTGGAGCACAATTCTTACGCACACATCCGCGCCAAGCCGGCAGCTGTCAAGCCAAAGCGCCGCTTTTTGATCGACCAGACGCTCGGCACACTGGAGGAGTGGAATCGCCAGTGCGGAGAGACGTTCTGGTCTCAAGGCACGTACGACTGGATGGCCCTCGAGGCCGGCAAGCCGGGGTGCGTCGGCGACGTTTGCCGAACAGATCCTGCGGCGAAGGCAGGGGCATGCGACATCCCGGGTGCACAAGATTGCGAATTCGACATGGCGCGGTACTTGCCGTTCTTCAGCCACGCCATCCAGCTTCGTCTTGTTGACGTAGCCAAAGGATCTCAGGCCCGCGCCGCTACTGCCTCGTCTTCGCCACCCCCCACCCCCCCTCCTCCCTTCACCATACCCACCTTACCGCGCTCGCTTACTGATCCCGTCTGATGATCAGATGTACACCTTTCCCGAGGACTCCGCGCTAGACGTCACCGGCGCGGAACAGGACGCCGGTGTGGTGAGCATCCTTCAAGCGAGGAACCTGCAAGCGACGGCAAGTGTCATCGACACCTTTATTGACGCTGAGGCGATGAGGTCTTCCTCTTCCCGTAGCCGCCGCACGCTCTTTGCGCCGTTCATGGACGACCCGATGCCGACGTCAGCAGAGTCCCGCATCGGCACCGCCTTGCTGCAAGCCCAGTCTGACCACTCGAAGAATATCGCTACTCTGACTGGCGGATCAACTATGGAGCGCAACTCGGGCTTCATACCGTCCTTCTCCTACGAGTTCTACGTCACGGATATGGGAAATTACGTCGAAGCCCTCACGAACCTCCAGACGGAGCTCGAGAAGGAGGTCGAGGAGGAGAAGGCACTACAGAATTACATCGCGAAACTCAGGATTGAGCAGGTCCCCCGCGCGCGCCAGCACGATTCACAAATAGTGCCGCCCTTTAGTACTAGTAATGTAAACCCGGCCCCCGCGGCTCGCAGGCGAAGCTGAGTGGCAAGGAGAGTGTCGCCGCAAAGACGCAAGAGATGACGATGAAGACGATCGCCACGGCGATCACTGGGATGAACGCCGGGATGGAGGGCATCTCCAACATGGGGCGTCAGATGAACGAAACCACGTTGAAGATGAAGTCGGATATCGACGCGTGGATTCAAGAGCAGCAGACGAAGGCCTGGTTGGATTTTGCTTTCGTCGTGGGGGATTTTGCTCTCTCGGTGGCGGCACCAATGTTTGCGGCTGCCAGTGAGGGCGCCAAGGTCGAGGCGCTGTTCCCGTGGGGAAAGAAGGCAGACAGGCACGAAAAAGATGTAGGCAAGTTTCGAGCCCCCAGTTGCATCGATGCACTTGACGACGAGTCACGGGCAATCTTGGCTAAGGTCTGGAAGGGCAAGGAAACTTGGCGCAAAGGCTTCTCTGAATTGATCAAGGGCGTCGATAGCTTCATGAAGGGCGTCGTTGGCATCACCGAGGCGGTTAAGGCGGTGTCCACGGCCGACGGGCTGAGCAGTGACGTTCGGGACGCCGCCGGAGCGTCCGTCGCGGCAATGGAAGAACAGTTCGGCTGGACAGTGACATAGATGCTCACTGGAGCGGCAACCGGTAGGTTGCTCTCACAGCGCGTAGTATCTTTGATGCCGCCCCGGACCACTCTGCAGGCCGAGCAATGTCTCCCTAATACCAAGCAGCAACGACTCTCTGGCTGACCTCTCGACCATGGCGTTCATGCTCAACAACCTGCTGCCCAATCTCGGCACAGGGTACTGGTCGGGGATGTATGCGAACTCTGGAGCGAGCTTCGTGCTCTTTCGGCGCCATGCCTATCGTGCTCTCGAGGTCCCTCTCTTTGAACATAGGCGACATGATGGAGCCATACACGACGGGGTACAACACTAAAATCAATGTTGGGGCAAAGAAGTGGCTCAAGCAGATGCGCGCGCAGTGCGATTACGGCAACGGTGCGACCATCCCCCCTCCCCCCCCTCGCCCAGCGACGCTTGACACACAGCGCTACTGTGTCTACAAACGCGCTGACCCCAGCGCCCACCTGGCTCCCCGCTGCCTCTCCCAACCAGATTACGTGACCAATGGCGTCCGTTTTGTTGCTGGCGTACAGCAGGCGCAGCGGTGCGGTTCTTGTGCTCCTTCTGCCCGCCGCTCCTCACGCGGGGCGCATTGCGCTTTTGGGATAGGCGCTGATCAACCTCGCTCAGGAGGAAGCAAACAAGAATGTTCACAAAGCCATCAAGGACGCGTTTGGCATTTCGGGCGATGTGGATTTGAAGACCTCGGCGGCCGAGAAGAAGCTGCTGATCGGGGCAAGCCCCGCCCCTTCCTACTCTAAGCCCTCTGTGGCTCTAAGTGCTCTGATGTGCCCGATCGCTCCCTGCCTCTCACGCTCGCTCCCTCTTCCTGACCTCTCAGACTCAGATGTCGATCATGGCGCTGCAGCTTTATGTGACCACGCGGCAGCTGTGCCAATCTTTTGCCTACCAGACGACCCAGCTCTTCCAGCAGTGCGTTGTCGGCAGCATCGGAGCCAAGTCGCCCAACAACCCGCTCGACGAGCTGTGCGGAGCTTTCTCGAACGGCACCGCCTACTTCAAGCCGTTCGAATACGATGTTTTCGCCGGCGCGTCATACAGGGACCTCGATGGCTTCACGAAGTACGCGAGGGCCTACGTCAAGGAGCTCCAGAAAGTGTACTCGCAGGTGAGAGCTGAGAGACTCACTCGTTGGGCGCACTCCAGACGATGTGCTCGATAGCCCCTTCCGCCAGCTCTCATAGCAGTGTCCCCTGAACACAGGCGACAGATGTCGAAAAATGCGTCAGAAACGCGGTTTGGGGCAAACGCACTGGAGCTATCGATCGGCCCTTCCTCTCGCTCATCATTCGCCCGGAGAAACTTCCGCTGTGCAATGGCACCGACGGGTACGTCCGCACCGACGCGCCAGTCGTATGCAACATCGATTCTGATGCGAAATCGAATGGGGCTCCATACCCGATGGGGCCGGACGACGGCCCGCTCATTGAGTTCTGGCACAACGACTCGTGCCTTCCAAATGCAAGTGCAGCACCGTTGTCGAGCGGAGAGACGTGCTGCCAGACCATTGCGTGGACCAACAACTGTGCGCGCCCCACTAAACATACCCAACCCACCGCACCCCGACCCGCAAACCAGCCTCCACCGCCGGCGGCGGTGATGAAGACGAGCCATGGAGGGGCGAGGGCCGCAGGCACCTTCTCCGGACACGGCCCGCCGCTTCATGAGCTGAGAGCCCGTCCTCGATGCGGACGAGCCCGAAGAGCGCCACGTAGGGCTTCTCGCGCACACATGGCCGGGCCAAACGCCGGGTCGACTGGAGCGGCGATGACGGCGGTCGGGTCGATGTCGAGGACGGGCCGAGACGTGACAGTGACAGCGCGAACGCCCTGTGCCGCCGGGGAGCAGGTGCGTCATTCAAGTGCTTGAATGGGAGGCACCCACGGGGCGGCAACGCAACGGCGCACCGCACTCTCGTCCGCGAAGTCCGTGTAGCACTCGGTGGTCGCCTGCGACATGCCGCCGGTGCGGTCGTCCTTGTAGGTCTTCGAGCAGGTACGCGGAGAAGGTACGCCGACCTCGTACTGCGAGGGAAGCGGCATCGACCGAGGAGGCGACGGTAAAGTGGGCTGCCGGCATGCCGGAGATGGCGACGCGGCCCTGCGCGAGGGCGAGGAGAAGGGTGGAGGCAGGCGGGAAGGCGGGGGGGCGGAGGGGGGGAGACGATCTGGAGGGAGGAAGGGGGGGTGGGGGAAGGGAGGGCGAGGGCCGCCGGCACCTTCTCCGTCCTTGTTGAGCTGAGAGCCCGTTCTCGATGCGGGGTCTCATAGTTGAGAGTGATCTCCTTTGTGGGCGTCGCCAGCGGCACCGCACCCTCCATCATATATCGACGGGTGTACTCCCAGTCGGGCGCCAGCACGACGACGACATTCTCAATCGCCACCTCCGCCGCCGACTTCCGGAACTCGTTCGAGATGGAGGTGAGCGAATCAGTAGCGCCGTGGAGCGAGTCGAGCATCGTCCCGACGACAGCGCCGATGCAGGCGATGATGATGATCGAGGATATTCCTGGGCCGATGGAAGCCATCTTCATCTGCCGCGCTCTCATCTTGTCGGCCTCGTACAAGCCATGCCCATTGTGGCTGGCGAGGTGTGCGCTGCCGCTCATGTTTGTTGTGTGTAGAGGCGAACGAGCGGCCCAAGGCAAGTGCAGCTGCCGACGCGATACGGGTTCTTGAGGGAAGCTGCTGTTGTTGTGCTCGCATTTTGTTGCCAGAGAGCTGTCCCGGACACGCTTCGATTTCTCTTTTCCGGTCGGTGTCAAACAATACAGACTTCACGCCTACACGGACGGCAAACCCTCACGTGGCCCGGGCGGTTCCCGCAGCGAATATAGCGGATGATTGGCGGGGTTATCATACACCAAGCTTGGTCCGCCCATTGACGTGTCTCCACGTCACTTCGTGCCTCGACCCTAAGTGCTATGCTGCTAAAAGATAACTCGCTATTGCAATGAACAAAACTGACAAAATCAAGGCCTTACACTTCACACCTGCCATCTCCTCTCACGACACCATGCACATTGGACAAAAAGAGAAAGAAGCGCGTACTCCCCTAAACTCGTGTGTGAACCCTCTCCCTCCCGCTGAGCCTTCCTGCGTGCTTACGGCCCTCTCGCCGTCCTACCTCGGTCGAAAGCCGCCCTACGACTCTAAAGGCAGCGGGCAGCGAGGCTGAGGAAGCGGTCGGCGTCCACTTGCGAGTCGCAGATGGGCTTACGCCCGACGCCGCAGCGCGGGCTAATGTAGTCGAGGCACTTGGTGTTGCATTCGGCGCCTGGCACGGCCGACGTGGCACCAGGTGGGCACGGGGGGTCCGTGCAGAGCTTGGTCCAGTCGTTGCCACACGGGAAATCGCAGACAAAGCCGCCGTCGTCGGTGGCGACCGGGTAGCCCCCGTGCGCGATGCACTGCAGTGCAGGCGACGTGGCGCAGTTAACGCCAAGAGCCTGGAGCTCCGCGGTGCAGGCGATGCAAGAGTTGGCGATGCAGTTGACGCCGACGGCCTGGATGTTCGCATCGCACACCACTTCGTACTCGCCGCATGACTCCTCGTCCTCCTCGTCCTCCGCGTCGTCGGACGTGGGAGAGCTGCCGTGGTCGCAGACGTAGTTGCTAAGGATGCCTGGCGGGCAGCACTCGCACAGGTAGTCCTCACACTCCGGGCAGGAAGAGCCACACTTCTTGACCTCGGGCTCGGTGCACACGAGGGTGACCGGAACGGGCTCTGGCGGCGTGGCGCAGTCGACACCGCCGTCTTGCAGAGTCTTGGTGCAGGCGGTGCAGGTGCCGATGAGACAGTCGTCGCCGAGCGCCTGGATAGCCGCGTCGCAGACCACCTCGTACTCGCCGCACTCCTCGTCCTCGTCCACCAGCGGCGTGGCGCAGCTAACGCCAAGAGCCTGGAGCTCCGCGGTGCAGGCGATGCAAGAGTCAGCGATGCAGTTGACGCCGACGGCCTGGATGTTCGCATCGCACACCACTTCGTACTCGCCGCATGACTCCTCGTCCTCCTCGTCCTCCGCGTCGTCGGACGTGGGAGAGCTGCCGTGGTCGCAGACGTAGTTGCTAAGGATGCCTGGCGGGCAGCACTCGCACAGGTAGTCCTCACACTCCGGGCAGGAAGAGCCGCATTTCTTGACCTCGGGCTCGGTGCACACGAGGGTGACCGGAACGGGCTCTGGCGGCGTGGCGCAGTCGACACCGCCGTCTTGCAGAGTCTTGGTGCAGGCGGTGCAGGTGCCGATGAGACAGTCGTCGCCGAGCGCCTGGATAGCCGCGTCGCAGACCACCTCGTACTCGCCGCACTCCTCGTCCTCGTCCACCAGCGGCGTGGCGCAGCTAACGCCAAGAGCCTGGAGCTCCGCGGTGCAGGCGATGCAAGAGTCAGCGATGCAGTTGACGCCGACGGCCTGGATGTTCGCATCGCACACCACTTCGTACTCGCCGCATGACTCCTCGTCCTCCTCGTCCTCCGCGTCGTCGGACGTGGGAGAGCTGCCGTGGTCGCAGACGTAGTTGCTAAGGATGCCTGGCGGGCAGCACTCGCACAGGTAGTCCTCACACTCCGGGCAGGAAGAGCCGCACTTCTTGACCTCGGGCTCGGTGCACACGAGGGTGACCGGAACGGGCTCTGGCGGCGTGGCGCAGTCGACACCGCCGTCTTGCAGAGTCTTGGTGCAGGCGGTGCAGGTGCCGATGAGACAGTCGTCGCCGAGCGCCTGGATAGCCGCGTCGCAGACCACCTCGTACTCGCCGCAGGAGACATCCTCACCCTCCGCAGTATCGTCGGAGGGAGGGTGGCCGTTCTGACACACGTAGCTGGGCTGCGGTCCCAAAGGGGGTGGAATCACAAACGTGGAGCAGCACTCGCAGACGTAGTCGTTGCACGTGGGGCAGGTCGGGCCACACAGCTCAGTCTCGATGATTGCGTAACAAGATGGTGCGGCCTCTCCGACAGGCGCCGCTGACGCCAAGCCCAAGGCAGCAAAGACGGCGAGGATACTCAGCATCATCCTGCGCGAGGAGTCGGCAGTGAGTGCGAGGCGTTGATCGGCGAGGGCGGCTGCTGTAGCCACCTGGACTTTCGCGCTGTTGCTTGCAATTCAGGCGTCGTCCTTCCATGACGCAATTTCGGCGTTTTACGCTAAAGGCGTGAATTGCCCGGTGGTGCTAAAAGACAGCTTCCTTTTCTTTTTGTCGAACCCTGTCTGCCGTGAGATACGGCGGGAATTCTTTGCTCCTTATATATTCGCGGGGCGGACGGCGAAACGTGAGGCGCAGTCATTAGATAAGCTGCCGTCTTGCTTGCTGACACCTCAAACACCATGGGGTGCAGCTCTTCAAAGCAGTCGGCGGGCCCGAAGCAGCCTCCGGGACCACTCGATCGAAGCGCGCTGCTCGCGGAAATCTTTCAAGAATGTGACGCTGACGGCAACGGCACTCTCTCCATTGCCGAGTTCAGGCGTCTGGCTGGTAGCGAGGCCCTTAAAGGAGCCAGCTTGAACATGCAGGAGGCGATTTTCTCCTTGTACGACGAGGACGGGGACAGTACCTTGAGCCTGGACGAATTTATCAGGGCCAACCTTGAGTCTGGCTCAGGCCTATCGGACCCAGAATTTTTTGAGCAAGCCCAGACGTGGCGCAAGCTAGTTGGAAAGTAGTGGGACAATGTTGCGTTGCTTTTCTGCTGCTCTTCAGTAGAGCGATCTGCACTCTTCATCCACAGTCGAGCACGACAGCACGAGAGGCGAGAAGCGAGACGGCAGCCGTAGCGGGTGACGGCATATGTGTGTATGTGGAAGACGTATGCATATGGGCATGTGTGAAAGAAAGGTAGACGACAGTGATCAGACTCTTACTGTATGTCACTGAGAGCTAGTAGAAATTAGGGACCTTGGAGGTATGTACGTTGCAGAGAGAGCATGCGCGGGAGAGAGAGAGTCAGAGACGGTACAGAGAAGGAGGGGGGGGGGGGGGGGAGCGGGCGGCGGTGTATGGCAGAATAGACTCGGCAATGGTCGCGCCGGCGTTTCGGATCGACTCTGTCGCGGTGGAAACGACTTGCGGAACCGCATCCGCGACCTTCACGAGCGCATCAAGTCGTGGCTCGTGTCACGACCGTCGTGTGGGCCACGCGCTTGCTGTACTCTCACTCCCAAGCTGCAGGAAGTAAGACGCGCCGTTGTTCATGCGGTCGATGCGCTTGATCATGATCTCCCCCTCAGCCCTTGTGTCCGCCGCCGCTTTGTTTGAGCAAATTGGTATCAGTGGTCGTGTAGGCAGCCTTGATATGCTGAAAGTTCAGCGGCGGCTTGTCTAGCGTGTTTCCAAACCCGTACGCCCGCCGCCCCTGAGGGGGTCGGGCCCCCTAGTCTGAAAACAAAAAGAAGCTCGATAGGGCATAACATAAACAACAGGTAGCGGTGGTAGTGCTGCTTCATTCGCTGTGGTACTACCTCTCCCATACCGCCTTTCACAAGGTGCCGGGCCTCTTCTTCGTGCACAAGTTCCACCATCGGTTCAGGGGCAAGTCAGTCTCGCCATCTACCGCCCTCGCCGTGTCGCCGCTCGAGTTCATCTTCGCGTTTGGCCCCGGGCTGGTTCTGCTCAAGCCCTCGCGGGCCACCCTGCAGGCGTCATTGGTTGTCGTGATGGGCCACAACCTCCTGATGCACTTTCCGCCTGTGGAGGAGGCGTCCCGGTGGCTGCCTCGCGTCCTTGTCCGCACGGCGGACCACCTCTCGCACCACAAGCACCCAGGGGACAAGCTTTCGGGCCACACGCTGTCGTACGACTACATTGGCGAGCTCCTGCAGCTGAAAAGACTCCTTCCCAACCGGGTCGGTGGCCCTTTCTCGTGCGCTAATGCGGACTGCATCGTCAGCGGTGCTTGCCGACAGCCAAGGCGCAGCCTGTGACTGGCGATTTCAACCACCTGAGTGGGCCATTTTTTCGCGCATCGCACGGCACATGAGCTTGGGCTTCGCATGTGCGATCACCCGAGTTCTCTCCTGTGTCGGCCTGTCGAGCTCAACTATTGTACCGCTATCCAGCATGCTGTCCAGTAATACCGCTAGACTATGTTCGCTTGATTGTGCAGGTGTCTGTTCAGATGTAGGTAATGTACGTTGTATGTTTAGAGAGAGAGAGAGAGAGAGAGAGAGAGAGAGAGAGAGAGAGAGAGAGAGAGAGAGAGAGAGAGAGAGAGAGAGAGAGAGAGAGAGAGAGAGAGAGAGAGAGAGAGAGAGAGAGAGAGAGAGAGAGAGAGAGAGAGAGAGAGAGAGAGAGAGAGAGAGGTTTTTAGCAATACTAACTATACCCAATACCAAACAACTCTATGTTCAGAGGGGGCATATCACTATACACATATTAATAGCAAATCGTCATTTCATAGAAACATAAATGCGCCTTGCGTGGGGGCGTACCGCCTCTGTGAGCTCACACAGCTCACAGCTCACTCCTCATTCCAGCGATTACTGCTTCTGCTACCTGGCGAGCGATCACCGAGCGATATAGTAGGAAAAAGAATTTTACAACCAAACTCCCTCGCACGACACTAGAGGCAGCACGGGACTGGCGCGAACTGGCACTACCACGGCAAAAAGAATTTTACCGCCAAACTCGGCGCCCACTGTCCACCTGCCAGGGCCTCGGCGAAAGGCACTCTCCTGCGCTACCATGGGGCCCCACCGGGCCCATGGACATCCTGAGGACATGGGCATGCTCGAGGCGGAGCAGCAGATGTGGGTCGCCAACCAAAAGCGTGATCTTCTCGAGCTGCGCCACCGGCAGATCCATGCCCGCGTCGATTTGCTGAACCAGCTGAACACTCAGGCGATGCTGGTGGCGGGCTCGGCGGTCGCCTCGCTTGGAGGCGAATCGCTGGAGACCATAGACGCCGTTTGGGCCACTGCGACCGTGCTCGACTTCATCTTTGTCGCTTCGACCGCGGCTACGCTCTGCTTCTCCCTCTGGGTGATCTTCATCTCTTCCAACCTGATTATGCTCTCACAGATGACGGCTCTCACTGGCCACTCGGCCTACGACGTCAAGACTGCCGACGAGATCCTGGTGTGACTGCCTCAACTCTCTCTCCCCTCTCCTCTCCGCTCCTCGCCACGCCTCCAGCATGCTCCCTTCCTATCGCCCAGGAGCGGCGAATCAATCAGGTGCGCTCCTTCTACCTGCTCGCTCTCGTGACTCTGCTCGTCAGCGCCCTCTCGATGGTCTGGATGAACTGCACGCACTGGAACTCGCTCATCTCGACAGTCATCTTTGCCGTTGTCGTCGTGCACGCCGTGCACACTCTCCGGGAGACGTCGGCCGAGTTCCAGAGGTCTGTCGCTCTTCGCTGGGCGTCCTATAGGAGTGCCGACCTTTTGAATTGAGGGTGCCCGCTACTAGGTCCACCAGCTTCGATGGCGGGGACGACACGCACCTGTTGCAGTGCATCAACTCGGCATGGCCCCCGGGCTGCTGCCGCCGCCGCGACGCGCAGCGGGCGCGCTCTGTGCGCTTTCACGGGAGGAGGGAGAGGGTGGCCAGCGGCCGTTCTCGCGCTGGCCGCCCCGAGGGCAGCAGCGCAGGCCGCCGAGAGGCGTACGGTGGGTGGGTACTGAAGTCCAAGCCGCACGCGGGACCGCTGCGCAGCAAGGTGCGACCCAGCGCGATCGACCTCTTCCGTGCCGCGATCGCCGCATCCCGCCCCATCGGCCAACCGAGCGACCGCAGCGCCCGCCACGCCGCCGCAGAGCCGCGAGCAGACGGCGGCGAGGAGCACGCCGCCCGCTCGGCGCACCCGCCGTTCCTGCCGCCCGCCGGCCCGCTCCACGATCGCTGCTGGCTGGTTTTGCGCGACACGACGCTGGCCTGGTACAACAGCGAGGATGAGCACACCCTGCAAACGCCGCCAAAGGTGTGGGGAGCTAGGCCCTCTGTAGCCGGACCTCTCGCGATGGGTGCTCCTTCCCGACCTTTCTCATCTCACCTCCGCCATGACTTGCTGCAGGAGGTGGTCTCCCTACAGGGCTACATTGTTCGCGAGACCATGGAGCCGGAGCCGTCATGCGGCGCCGCGCTGATCGTGATGCCGCGCTCCGCCCTCGCAGCAGCCACGTCCGCGGTCACGACCGACCAAGCGGCGGCGCTCGCCCCAAAGTCGTGGTACATGCGTGCAGAGACAGACGAGGAGACGCGGCGATGGTACACGCCTCCCGCCCCCGCAAAAGGAGCAACCGCCGCACTCTCCCGTCGCTGTCCCGACTCGGCCGCGCGCCCCTTGTTTAGGCGGGATATGCTGAACGTCGCGATCCGGCAGGCCGCGCGTCCCGCTCTGGGGCAGAGCGGCGCAGATGCACAGCGCGGACCCGGAGGCGTGATTGGCGGGGCGCTTCTCTAGAGAGCCGTGAACTAAAAATGAAACTCCGAGCTGAAATTCGGCTTGGGTCTTCGCATCATCCGAGTTCTCTCCCGTGTCGTCCTGTCGAGCTCAACTATTGAGTATGCTGTGCCTGTCCAGTAGTACCGCTAGACTAAAGCCGTATGTTCGCTGTATGTGATACTCCTCTCGTGTGCCAGGCGTTCACCGTTCTGACTGTTCCGCAGCGATATCCGTATAGCGAGGGGGAGAGGTGGGGGGAAGCGAAGGGGGTGGGAGGGGTATGGAATGGACGGGGGGTTGGAAGGCGATCGCCTGTGCTCGGCAAAGATGCCAGTCAGGCCGACGATGGTCATCGAGTTGAAGACGGCGGCGCGGCGACGATGTCGCCGACGCCCTCGTCCGACTCGGTCACGAGCGGGGCGAATCACCGTGAAGAACTCGGGCGCCGACGACCCGACCTCCATGAAGGGTGCGCCGGCGACGTCCTCGGGCACCTCTTGAGCACCTCGACGCACCTCATCGATCGCCTCGGCGTACGAGTCGTCGCAGACGATGGCGATGCCGACGAAGAAGTAGAACCTGCGCGGGAGAAGGGGGGGGGGGGGGGGGAAATGAAGGGGGGGCGGGTCGGCGAGGGCGAGGGCGGAGGGGCGGAAGCGGCGTGGGCGGCGGAAGGGCGGGTGGAGGCGGGAAGGGCGGGGGTGGGTGGGAGGAGCAAGAGGACAATGCCCCCCTCCGCTTGCCCCCTCGTCCAGCAAAGGTGGGCTCTGCGCCGCGTCAAGAACGAGTGCGCGCGCCGCGCGGAGGGAGGCGCGCTCGCCTTGTTGCCGAAGCTGGCGGTGGTGGGGGCGTCGGCGGTCGCGGGTCGGCGACGTTGAGCGTCAAGGCGACGATGTCGGGGCAGGAAGGACGGCAAAGCGGTGACGGAGTCGGCGGTGGAGAAGTCGGAGGTGAGCGACCCGAGGCGCGACCGCCGCACGCAGCGACCAAGAGCGCTGGTCCGCGATGTAGCAGATGTTGTCCGGGGCACGGAGAGCGTCAAGGGCACGCGCGCGCCAGCCGCCGCCGTTGAGATTCAGTCGCCCGTGGGCTGGGGTCGAGGGTCTTGGGAGCAGCGTGTGCCGCGGCGCCGCGTCGTTCGGTGTGCGTACCATTTCCCCCACTAGCTTGACGCTCGGAGCGCGACACGCGAGGCCGAGGGTCGCCCCCCCCGCACTTCGGGCGGACCGTAAGCGGCGAGAGCATAAAACAAGTAAATGCAGACGAACACGCCGGGTCAGGGACGCGCTGCTCCCCGCGCGGCCCTGCAAACTGCGCATAGAGCTGTCTTGCAAGGATCTTTGCGTTCCAAATCAAGCGGATGCGGGCGTGCCGGGCGGCCACGCCTCGACCTTCTTGGGCAGCAGCTGGTCCAACAGGTCCTCTCCGTGTCCTAGGCAGGCGTGGCCGCCCTCGCCCCAGGCAAAGACGGCGCTGTCGGCTGTGGTGGCGATGCTGTGGCTGGGTCCAGCCGACAGAGCGACGACGCGCCGGTCAGCAAAGGCCTCGACCTTCTTGGGCAGCAGCTGGCTCTGCTCGTCGCCGTGGCCCAGCTTGCCGTTGCCTCCCCAGCCCCAGCTCCAGACGGCGCCGTCGGCGGTGAGGGCGAGGTTGTGCGCGAATCCCGCCGAGACAGCGACGACGCGCTTCCCCGCCAAGGATTCGATCTTCTTTGGCAGCAGCTGGGCCTGCTCGTCGCCGTGGCCCAATCGGCCGAAGGGACCGTAGCCCCAGCTCCAGACGCCGCCGTCGGCGGTGATGGCGAGGCTGTGGTGCTGTCCAGCCGACACAGCGACGACGCGCTGGCCAGCAAAGGCCTCGATCTTCTTGGGCAGCAGCTGCTCTTGCTGGTCGCCATGGCCCAACCCGCCTCCACCTCCCCAGCCCCAGCTCCAAACAGCGCCGTTGGCGGCGAGGGCGAGGCTGTGCATACATCCCGCCAACGCAGCGACGACGCGCTGACCCGCAAAGGCCTCGATCTTCTTGGGCAGCAGCTGGCTTTGCCTGTCGCCGTGGCCCAACCGGCTGTTGCCTCCATGGCCCCAGCTCCAGACAGCTCCGTCGGCAGTTATTGCGAGGCTGTGCGCGCCTCCAGCCGACACAGCGACGACGCGCTGGCCAGCCAACGCCTCGATCTTCTTGGGCTCCAGCTGGTCCTGCTCGTCGCCGTGGCCCAACCGGCCAAAGAGTCCACGGCCCCAGCTCCAGACACTGCCGTCAGCGGCGAGGGCGAGGCTATGCGCGGCGCCTGCCGACACGCTCACGGCGCGCTCACCCAGCGTCGAGGGGAGGCGGGTCGGCGTGTTGAGCCGCGTCACGCCCTCGCCGTGACCGAGCAGCCCTGGATAGCCTGCCTCACTGCCGCACAACGAGAGCCGCCCCTCGCCGTCGATGAAGAGGCGGTGCTGCCAGCCTCCCGCAGCCCTCGCTGGCGGGTTGGACTCGCGCAGCAGCGCAGCGAAGCACAGCCACCGCACGGCGCAGCTCTCGCCCTCTGGCTGCGCCGGCAGCTCGTAGCCGCGCTCTTGCGCCCACAAGCGGATGCCCTCCACCACAAGCAAGGCGTGGAAGAGGAGGGAGACGGCGGCGACGCGAGCGATGTCGACGGGGTCGCAGCGAGAGACGACACGCACGAGGAGGTCCGTTGGGAGGTCGAGGAGGCGGGTGGGCGGCGGCGTGTCTGGCGAGGGAGCGGCGGGGGCGGCGGGGGCGAGGCGGCGCGAGCGCCGCGGCGGGGTGGACATCGCGAGAAAAAGAATTTAAGCAGCGCATCGCGCTCGGCATGGGCGTCACGACCACAAAGCAGGACTCCGGCACTGGCACCAAGGCGACAACAAAATCTCTAACGGGCTGTTGACTTCAAAAGATTTTTATTCGGAAATAGAAGTCTGGGTCAGTGTCACAGCAGGTGCGGCGTCCAAAGAAGCAACACCCATAACCGAGACGTTTACCTTACCTTACCTTACCTTACCGCCAGCGTGGCTCTGAGATTGCGCGGCTCCTGAAGCTTTCAGCCTCCGCCAGCCTCACCGCCGGCCGACACTGGCGGTAGGAGCCCCACGTCCCGGAGTGCAGCGTGCTCTTTGTACTGATCGTGCCAGATCTTCATAGCAGTCCCGTCGGAGTACTGCATATCGTCGGAGTAGCCAAAAAGCTTCACGCGTTGCACGCCGTATACGCTCGCGAATAGCAGCGCTGCTTGCATCCCTCGCGACGGGTCTGAGCGACACAATAAGTCGCCGACCGCCCGTGGCGCCGGGCGGCAAAAGGACAATAGCCGACCCCGTGTTGTTTGGTTCTTGACCGCAAGCTTCGGCAAACCCTCCCTACTCCTCTCCCACTGGAACTTGTCCCGGTCCCAACACTCGAGACTTAGCAAGACAGTGGCGGGGCGGAAGTTGCGCCGCCGGCAGCCAACATTATCGCAGGTAACCCAAACATTGGCGCGGTTGGTCAGATTTTTCGTTGCTTGCCCTCCGTTTACGCGGATCACCAGGTCTGCCGCTGCGATTGCACGCCGCGCTGCCACTGCATCGCCCACGTTGCCACTGGCAATCATTGCCACTTGCCGGGGCTCCCCGGAGAAACCACCCCTGGACATCAGTTTGGGAAGGGTCAGATTGTCCACGCGTTCGACGCGAGTCCCCGAATAGACATCGTAGCAGGTGAACGTGAGCTGATGCCCCTTGACCCTGTAAACCATATCGCGGGCAATCTCCGCTTTGTCAAGCCTGAAATCATGACGCTGCGTGCGCCAAGGCAGACGGGGGGTTAAAGCAGCCAATGGGTTCGTGATCGGCGACACCGAGGACCGAAGCCGTAGACGGGGGATTAAAGCAGCCAATGGGTTCGTGATCGGCGACACCGAGGACCCAAGCCGTCTGCCGATGGTGGAGGTGTCGGACGAGGGCGACGGAATGAGGGCGACCAGAACCGCCGTGGCCAGGATGAATAATAACACCCGAGCCACCGTCGCCGCCCTCGTTGGGCCTGCAGCATTGGGCCGGGCGCCGAGAGGAACAGTGTGCGGCATTTTGCTGATCCGTGGAGGACAGGGAGGAGTAGAGGCCCCGCCCACCCAGGGTACCCCTCTCGAGGGACCCATTGGGTAGCTCTCTCGAGGGCTCGCCGGGGCTCTGCTCCAAGAGACCTCGAGAGTGCGTGCGTGTGCCTCTACTCGCCAGGGTTGGCTGTCTGCTACAAGTCCGCCGACTAAATGATTTTCGACCGACCGCAGGGAAACGCAGGGGCGGCCCCCCCCGACCGAGCTGCGAAACAACGGCGTCCACACCGGCCGCCGCTGTAGAAAATTTCTTCGGCGCTGCGCGCCGTTGCAGTCGAGCTGTATGTCTGTGTATGTTGCAGCCCAGCTATCTATCGTGCCGCAAAATACATGTGGTTAGAAAAAATGCCCTCGAAAGCGCCCGCCGGTGTGTGTCCAAAGATGTAGCGCTACAAGTTGGGGACGCATCCGACACACGGGCAGGTTTTTCGCGCTTAGCAGCTGGCCAACGGTGATGACGCCGTCGCGTCACCGACGGCTCGTGCTTGCGTATGATAGCAACCCCTCGTCCGACGGCAGCGTCCTCGCGTCCGCCACTCCGCCCGCGCGGCATCATCATTGTCCGCCTACACCACTGCGGCCGCGGCCGCACCCGCGGTGGCAGGGTTTCACACGCGCCCAGGCGCAGGTGCAGCAGCAGCCAGTGCAGCAGCAGCAGCTAGTGCAGCAGCGCGTGATCACGCTTGCACACGCGATGGGCGGTCGTCATGTGCTGCAGGATGGGTCACTTTGGACGCGTCCCATCGGAAGGCCCCGCTTCCACCCGGCTCCGAGAAGGCACAGCGAGGCGCGTGCAATCAGTGGAAGCACCATCGGATCAAAAAGAACGCCGATGCTGCCCTACAGGCTGCGCAGACAGTGCGCTCAGCTATGAGCATCACCTCTGCCGCTTCTCGCCATCCCCTAGGAGCAGCGCGCCCGAAGCAGGTGAGTCACGGCCGCTAGGTACAGCGAACGCGGCGGGCTAGAAGCGAGAAGGGAACGTCAAGGAGAAATTCAGCAGATTCCAAGATTCAATCTCGTTTGACAAAACCCACACGGAGGTCGGGTAACTGGGAGTCGGGAGCTCGGGAGTATAAGAAAATCTCCCAAAATTTTCTTCGGCGCTGACGCGCCGACAAAGCTGGTGTCCGACCCCGACCGCCGGCCGAAACAGCCGCGTCCAGCCCGACCTGCGGCCGGCCGAAAATCATTTAGTCGGCGGACTTGTATAGCCGCAGCCACTCCAGCTGCTCGGTGTGAACCTTCTAGGCCCGGGGTAGTCTCCCATTCCCAGGGCCTCCAGGGCTCGCACCTCAACCTCTCACAGACCAGCGCACAGCGCCATAGGACGTATTTCCTTCTCAATAACAAGGCTGTGAACGAGGTATTTTCTTGTCAATAACAAGGCTGTGAAGTGGTTTCGGCGGCACCCTCGACCAAACCTTGCTCAATCAAGGTTCTTGGGTGCAAAGAGCGCGGCCACAAGTCACAGGGCCCGCTCGTCCATGCGACCGGCAAAGGCTGGGTCAAAGAGCACAAGGCTCAAGGGACAGTACTACGACGCGCTCCATGTCAAGAACGGAATCGTCAAAATTTGTCTCGTCGAAAGCCAGGGCGGCATTGCGCCGCCGACCAAGAGAATCATCTTCAACTTCGCCAAAGAGGTCGGCAGCCCGAGCGCCGTCGACCGCACCGACTACGGCACAGCCTCCGGCAGCGCCCGGGGCTTCGCCCAGCACCACTCGCAACAGCTCTCGCGCGCCGCCGTCTGTGGCGACGCGCAGAACATCACCAACGCTGCTCGCAACACATGCGTGTCGCGCACTCGTTCATGACCGGTCTCAATGTCCCACCCCCCTGCGCGCGGGCCTTCTAGGCCCGCGGGTAGTCTCACCCCATCCCCAGGGCCTCCAGGACTCGCACCTCAACCTCACACAGACCAGCGCATAGCGCCATAGGAGGTACTTTCTTCTCAATAACAAGGCTGTGAACAGAGTTCGTACACCGAGCAGCAGCTCCGCAACTCGAGATCCCTCGAGAGTTCACGCGGAGTCGGCTGGGGCTATACCAGACAGCAGGTTTGGCGGACTGGCAGCCTTGTCAGAAGAAAACACGTCGTCGCTGTTTGAGGTGCGAGCCCTGGAGGCCCTGGGGATGGGGGAGACTACCCGCGGGCCTAGAAGGCCCGCGCGCAGGGGGGTGGGACATTGAGACCGGTCATTCATGAATGAGTGCGCGACACGCATGTTGCGAACAGCGTTGTTGATTCACAGCCTTGTTATTGACAAGAAAATACGTCCTATGGCGCTATGCGCTGGTCTGTGAGAGGTTGAGGTGCGAGCCCTGGAGGCCCTGGGGATGGGGTGAGACTACCCGCGGGCCTAGAAGGTTCACAGACCTTGTTATTGAGAAGATAATACGTCCTATGGCGCTTTGTTCACAGACCTTGTTATTAGAAGAAAAGGGAAACCCAATCCCCAGCACTTTGAGTTTCCGGAAATTTCCAGGGAAACCAGAGCCCAGAGGGTGTTTGGTGCTCCATTCTGGCAACTCTGACTGAGTCTGACTGAGAGCTAGTCTGGGGCAGAATCTGAGGCAAAATCGAGGAAACCGGCAAAATGCCCGGGAATTTTGCCGGTTTCCTCGATTACGATTTTGCTTCAGATTTTGCCCCAGCTGACCCAGCTCTCAGACTTGGAGCACTTGGAGACTCTGAGGGAGGGTGTGTAGAGGATGTAGAATGTAGAGCGCTGTAGAGCTGTAGAGCGCTGTAGAGCGCTGTAGAGCTGTAGAGCTCTCAGGTAGAGCTCTACATCCGGCGCGGGACGGACTGCTTCCTGGACACCTCCTAGACACCTCCTGGACACTTCCTGGACACTTCCTGGACACCTCCTGGACACTTCCTTGACATCTCTCTGACCTCGAGCTGGTCGTCGAATCGCAGGCGCTGCACGCCGCCCGCCGCCGGCCCACCGCGCAGAGCATGCAGGCCACGAAGCTGCGGCGGCGGCGCGGCTTTATCTCTCCCCATCTCTCCCCATCTCTCCCCATCTCCCCCCATCCCATCCCTCCCCATCTCCATCCCTCCCCATCTCCATCCCTCCCCATCCCTCCCCATCCCTCCCCATCCCTCCCCATCCCTCCCCATCCCTCCCCATCCCTCCCCATCCCTCCCCATCCCTCCCCATCCCTCCCCACCCCTCCCCACCCCTCCCCATCCCTCCCCACCCCTCCCCATCCCTCCCCACCCCTCCCCACCCCTCCCCACCTCTCCCCATAGGCGAGGGGCACCCCGCGTGCGCGTGCCGCCCATCGGCGAGGACGAGTTCCCCGAGCCGCTGCTCGCTCTGCGTGCGACGCAGCTGAGTAACGCCTACCTGCACCTCTTGCCGATGACGGACGACTTCTCGCCCTTTGCGCCCGGCGAGGACCCCGAGGCGTACGTCCGGACGCACGTCGGCGACGTGTACCCTCCGCACTCCCCGCCGCACGCGCCGGAGTGGGGAGACAAGCTCTCGGACGAGGCGCTCACGCGCTTCTGTCGGCACGGCATGGGCGCGCACAGGGTGGAGGCGCTCGAGGAGGGCGGGCGGCGCGTGTTCGCCGTCCGGACGAGCGCGCTCGCCGCGCTGCCAGTGCGGCCGGGCTACGCCAGCTACGGCGCGGAGACGTGCGCCGATGTGCGACGCTGCTCAACGCATTACTTCAACGCCGAGTCATCGATCAGTATAGACGCAGACGCGTACTTTGACGACGGCTGGCGCGTGCTACGCATCGAGCGGTGCGAGCCCGCCGGCAGCGCCGCGGGACGCGTCGGGCCGAGCGGCGCCGCGCGCGGCTTCGAGGCGCGCCAGCTGACGACGCGCACCTTCTACCCGGACGGCGACCCCGCGGCGTGGGAGTACGCCAAGTTCTGCGTGCGCTCCTCCGTCTTCACGCTCGTGACGGCGCCGCGACGTAGCCTAGCCGCGATCCAGCCGAGATCCCCCCGCGCTGCGCGTGCGTGGCAAGGGCGTGGCAAGGGCGTGGCAATGGGAATCAGCTGGTCCAGCGAGTCTTCAGCCAAGTCGCATCGGGACAAAAACTGTCTCTCTCCGGAGATGTGCAGCATGACGATCCTCGGCGCAAAGGAGTGCATCACTGAGATCGTCGGCACAGAGCGCAAAGACAGCTACGTCCTTGACAATGGCACGCAGTGGAAGGTGCAGCTTGGCGTGGCATCAGGAGTTGGACGGAAGGTGCAGGCCGATCTGTGCGTTGGCGAGCAGTGCCAGCGGGCCAGACTGTGCAAGGCGCAACGACGCTCCAGGGCACGTCTTCGCAGACATTCGGCCGAGAGACCGGATTCACAAGCTAGATCATTCACAGGCCGTGACGATGATCGTGCGCCTCGTGGGCACGATCGAGGAGCTCCCCCTCCTCCGCTCGGAAAACGTGACCGACGTGAAGAGTGTCTGCGCAGCTGCGCCTCCCGACTCCCGTGTGATCTGGATCTGAAAGTGGCGCAAGTCTCGAGTCTCACGGTGACGACCTCTCAAACAATATCATACACACGCGCAGCGTCCACTTCTCCCTCCTCGTCCTCGTCCTAGCCGACAACCTCTCTGCACTCTGGCTCTGCTAGAGGCTAGTCGCTAGAGCATGTCTGCTGCTATCCGAGGCTCCGACGTGAAAAGTCGATCGAGGAGGGGCGAGTATTGGACGATGTAGTCGCCACAGAAGCCGAACAGGTTGACCTCCGGGTAGGAGAGGGCCTTCACGGGAAGCGCATCAATTTGCGGCGGGAAGTTCTTGTACGGAGCCTTGCCGTCCTTCTTGTCAAACACGTTGTACTTGGGGGCGTATGGGCTCATCCCCGTGACAACTTCGTCCGGACAGTGGTACTCGCTGATGTAGCAGTGCGCCTTGGGGTTGAGATCCGGGTTCCGGTTGATCAGGTCCATCCAGCGCTTGGGCGGCGCGTAGAAAATCACGGTGAGCTCGACGCAGTCTTGCGACGAGTGCGTGCCGTAGTACGTGTTGTCGATGACTTTGAGCCCCTGTGCCACGGGACGACAGGCCTTCAGAGGGGTGTGAGGCGGGGGGTGCAGCGGGGGGTGCAGACCGCGCACCTTGAGGGTGGCCACGAGGGCCTCGCCGCGCTTGTAGCACTCCTTCATCTGGCAGACGAGGCAGTCGAGCGGGCGCATGCCCTTGAAGCTGACTTCCTCTTGCGGCGAGACCAGCTTTGCGGTGCCGTCCAGGTCGAAGCTTTCCTGTGCACGCGGGCGAAGCTCAGAGAGGAGGGGGGGGGGGGGGGGGGCTTGACGGGCGGGCACGTGCCACGTCATTGTCGAAGATTTGGTTCATGATGGTTGGGCCCCAGGCCCCCGCCGGCGTACGGTTTGGAAGTGGGAAAAACTTTTTGTTGGAAGGTGTTGCTCCGAAGAGGGAGAGGAGCGCCAGGATGTTCCCGTTGTGCACCTCGAGGTTTCCGTTCGGGCCGAAAGGGCTCTGCCCAAGGTTTGTGATGACCGCGGTCGCCTTTCGCGCGCCCTGTGCGACCACGGCGGCGACGGCGGTGCCATCGATCGTGCCACCGTCCGCGAAGAAGCAAGTCTCTTCGTTCCCCGGCTGCTCCGCCGTCTTGATGCGGAGCGCCACGTCGAAGGGGCCAAAGAGGCGCGGTAGGCAGTCCAAGAAGCCGGCGATGCCGAAGAAATCTCCGCTCATGGCGAGGACCGTCTCTGGCGACAGATGGCGCGCCGACGGCGGATGGCCGAAGGGCTTGCACGCGGGCGGGAGGACGAAGGACTGCGCCGGACCGCTCGTCGCGTCGAAGAGCGCGGTGCGCTGCGGCGTGAGGCAGGGGCCGCAGCCTTTCTGCGGGAGGTACATCTGCTTGTCGTCGAAGTTGCAGGCCCCGAGCGGGAGGGGCTCGTACTTCTGCGCGCGTGCGCGAGGGAGGGCGCTTGTTGAAGGTTCGGGGAGGCGGGCTAGGGCCGCGAGTGCCTGAGTTGGGATAGGTATCGGGCGGCGGTAGCCAAGGGAGGGGCGGTGGCACCGTCGCAGCGGAGTGCGGCGTGAAGACGTAGGGCACGAACGTGAGGCCCCGCGCGCTCCCGGACTGACCGTCAGCCCACTGGTACTCGAGGCCGGTCTTGAGCGGGAGGCCCAGCGTGAGGCTCTTGTCCTCGCCCTTCACCTCGACATCTCGGCACGTGTTGAACTGCTTGACCCCCGGGACCAGCTCGTTGACAATGCCGTCGTCCCAGACTTTCTTCCAAGCCCCAATCGTCCAATCGCGGACAATGCCGATGTAGTCCTTGGGAGCGACGTCTGCGAGCGAGCCCATGGTGGCGAGGCCGAGCGGGGTCGGCGCCTGCGTGGCGCAGAGACGTGAGGTAAGCGGCGGCAGGGCGCAGCGGCGGCAAGAGTGATAGTGGTGGAGGAGGAGGCGAGAGCGGGGCCGGTAGAGCCTCCGGACGCGTTGGTGGCTCGGTCGAGCCCCTGCGGATGCCGAGCGGACCGACAAAGTTGGCGTACATGAACTCGATCCAGGCGACACCAAAGCCCGTGGCGCACGGATAGCAACCGCAGCCGACCCACTTGCCGCAGCCGAGGGCCCGGATGGGAGTGCCGAGGGCGTAGTCGATGACGGTCCACACCGCGAGCGGGATGCAGCAAAAGGCGGGACGCAGCGGGAAGCATAGTGCGGGTCCGTAGGGCGCGGCAAGCATCTTGCCGTAGGGCGCGGGCTCAGCCTCCATCGCTGCCTTGGTGATCTTGCTCGGGTCCGGGTCGTTCGCCGGGTCGTCCGTGCCGAAGAAGGTACATGGCTCGCTCTCGGAGTAGCAGTACACCGTCGCCGCGATGGCGCCGCCCGAAGCGCCGCCGATCACGTCGAAATTGTCAAGCACGTTGTCGCACTTGGGCTTGCGCGGCGTCGTTTTCATCTTGGCCAAGCCGCGGTACACGCCTGAAGCGAGGGGAAGCGTCAGCATTCTTTCCGATGGGGCAGACAGTCGCTGGGCGGCACCGAACATCGCCGCGGGAGGGAGCAGTCCGCCTCCGTTGATGCAGAGTGCGACATCGCACGTCTGTGGCGCCTACTCGCAGGTTGGCTGTCGAGGAGTGTCCGTGCACCAGTGAAGTTTTTCTCCGACGAGCCTTCTCCGCCGGTGCTAGCTTCGCTCGCTGCTCCTTGACGTAGTCGTGCGAGGGCTTAGGCCGGTCCGGCGGCAGAGGATGCGACATGCAAGCGAGTTGTCCGACTGCTGATGAGGGTGCCCACGCCTGCTTTGAGAGCGCAGAATTCTTTTTACCCCTAGGCGCGGAGGCAAAACCAGAACTCGCTCGAGTACTACTCGAGTAGACAACCTAAGCTTCGGCCTCCCCGCCCGGCTGTCGCCCGTGCTGTACGGTCGGCCCGCCGCTAGGGCGCCACGCTCCGCCCGTGAAGCTAGTCGGCACCCGCCGGAGGCCGATGGAGCCCTGTTTGCTAGCCTGCTTGCGGCCGCTCGGCGGGTCGCCCTTCGGCGAGCGGCTACTGCGCCGCTCGATGCTCCCGTGCTCGATGGTGAAGCGGATGCCGAGGGTGGTCTCCTCGTCTGCGGCGAGGTCGTGCCGCAACAGGCCCCTATGCTAAGTCGAAAGTGAGATGTGACTAACCTGCTCTGTCGTCTGTGGAATACTACTGATGACGACCGATGGTGATGGAACTGGGAGCCAGTGAGTGATGGTGGGGGGCACTTAGCCCTTGTGCTAATGCTGACTTTACTACATGGACGGTTGCGGTTGCCTATATATGTAAGACTGGTTTTTATTTCGGGTTCTGGGTTCGGCAAACGAAAACTCCGACACTGTCGATCGAAAATATTGGAAAAAATCCGACGAACGCGCTCATGTTCCTGAGATGCATTGCGCATCCTCAGATGCCACATTCTATCCTGGGATGCATGGACTAACCCAAGATGAGGGTATCATCTCGGCACACTTGTGCGTCTGAAGACGACTGTAATATCTGAAATCTGAGATGTCACGCGCTATCAAAAGACGCGGGGCACCATCTAAAGATGATTAAATCTTTTTGGAGAACCCAATCATAGTGGAGACACCCGGTGTCCTTAGATGGAAAACGCATCCTAGATGGCGTTTGGCATCTAGGATGCGCATATCATCTGGGGGGGGTCGCCGTCCCTGACGTCCGGCGTCTCGGCTGTGTGCGGACCCACTTAGTGTTGACCAGACAGGGAGGAGAAGAAGAAGAGCGAACGGGAAAGGGGGGAGATGCGGCGGTGGGGCATGAGGCTCGCCCCCACGGCGTCGGTGACCAGGGGCGGGGCGCGGCGGGCGACGCCCCATGCAACGAAATACATTGCGAAAGCGAGCTGGTCTGCTGAGGGCACCCATTCATTCCCTATATACCCCGGGCGAGATTGCGGAGATGGGTTGGTCGAATGATTTCCCCGAGGTTTCTCATATAAGAGGGGGGGGTCTGTCGAACTTACCCCGGGCGAGATTGCGGAGATGGGTTGGTCGAATGATTTCCCCGAGGTTTCTCATATAAGAGGGGTCGAACTTTTCCTCAATGCAGCTTCCCAAACCATCGTGCGTGGCCCCCCCGGGTCGAGAAACTGACCGCCGAGCGCGCAGCGGTCATTTTCGGGCCCGGCAGCAATGACTGCGCTTGGCATGCAGGGTGGCACGGTCGCCGCGGACGCCGATCAGGCCGGCGAGGCGCAGCGGCCGCAGGTGGAGCCGCAGCCGCAGCGCAAGCAGCGCCGCCGCCGCATGTCGCACAACCTGCAGTTCAAGCTCAAGCTAGTGAAGCTAGCCCTGGCTAGGCCTCCGGGCCATCGCATCAAACCAGTCTGCCGCGAGTTCCCTCAAGTGGAGCCGGTGACCCCGACCCCGCCCCGCACTTGCCCACTTGCCCCCTCCGCGCTTCCCAAGTGGCTAACGTGTATACGAGCCCTGCCATAGGTTCAGCTGCGTAAATGGATTCGAGCGTTCGAGGAGCAGGCGCGGCAGTCGATGGGGGAGTGCGACAAGACGATCCCCACGGCATCAGCGGTGCCGATCGCGCAGCCCGTGCCGTGTGTGCCAGTCGCGGTGCCTGCCACTCTACGGCATTGCTGTCCGCCCGCACATCTGCTCTATGGCATGGTGCCCCTGCCGGTGCTTTCACCGACGCCCACATTCACTGGCGCAGCAACCCTCGCGGTGCACCCCTTCGCTGGCCCCATCTTCGCCGCCCCTCCCTGTGCCGCGCCTGCCATCACCGCCAATGTTGTTGGGGCTGCCGCTCTCTTTCCTGCGTTGCCGTCCCCAGCGACCGCCTATGTGGAGGCGGTGCAGGGCACCCCAGCGCCGGGAAACAGTGATTCGGAGGCTGCGGAGAATCTCCTGCGCATATCAGGGCCATCCTGTGCATATGCCTGAGACCGAGCTGAAGACCGACCGCGAGGGCTGCCTCGTGCCGCTGCCGGAGAGCCTGAGAGTCAATACACATCTAGTGCTTGGCATGCATGTGTACAATTTCAATGACCGTCCTGCGGCCGGCGCGCTCCATGTCGAGATTTTGAGGCAGGGGGCCAGCGTGCTGGGATAGTAGTTGTAGCTAGCTAGAGTACATGTGTGCTTGTGGCGCTCGAGGCTCGACCTCGAGCACTCGAGAGCAACGTTCATCTTTTAGGAGATTGGAGATAAAGGGTTACCTTAGCACGTGACGCACCTTCGCAAGATCATGTATGGCATGGTATGCGGATCCATCCGCCATTAGTTAATTAATAAGGCTCTACAATGTGGCATGCGGTCTCGGCGGGTCCGCGGGCTGTGCGGGCGCCGCGGGGGGGGGTAGGGGCAGAGCGAAGGGCCCGGCCCTGCCACCTGCGCGGCCCACACTTGTACAAGAGCCTCTCGCCTCTCGGGAGCGCCCGCGCCCCTGAGAGTAGTATAGATCGTGTACACGCAGCGAGACCGTATACGGCCTAGTATACAACTCAGTGACGGAGACCGCGCGCAAACGCTCACTCTCAGGATCACGTGCCTGAGTCTGTGCCCGATTCAGTATAGGGATGTGGTCGTGCTAGCTGACGCCCGAGCCGCACCGGTTCTCGAGTTGTACTTTTAGCTTCATGGGAGAAAAGGGGGAGAGGGGTGTAAAGCAACCAGCCACAACCGCGTTTCGGCATTTTTGGTTTCAATGTGTGTGGACCGCTCCCCAGCCTCCAGCGTCCAGGCTCCACATGAGACATATCGCACATGCGCAAATTGCGCAATGTGTGCGTATATGCACAAACAAAAAGTGCGTGTGAGATCCGTGTGTGTTTTCCGCGTGCCGCTGAGAAGGGGAGTGTGGCTTTGTCACAGAGAAAGTACACCGCTAGTGAGAACATGCCCATCCAGCGCACAGGCCTGAGTCTAGTTGGCTTTCGTTCAGCGCGCCCAAGCCGCAAGGCCTCGTTTCGCCGGCAGCGCACCTTCAGAAGCAGTGGCAAAGGAGCCGCCCGTCCGCACCGCCGGTGATTAGGCGGCCGCCCTCCTCGATCATGCAGTTGACGCCATAGGTGCGGCCGATCGACGTCCCCACCGGATGGAAGAGCGGCGACGCCGTGTGTGGCTCGTGCACGCGTGGCCAATGCGCGAGCGGGGTCCCCGGCCGAGAGATGTCCCACAGCTTCAAGTCGCCATCGGCCGAAGCGGTGAAACACGACCCCCCATCGCCACATGCGAGAGTGCGCACCCCGAGCGCGTGCGCCGACCAGCGGTGGCGCAACCTGCGCTGGCGCAGATCGAAGACGACGACCTCACCGCCGGCGCCGCCGCTCAGCAAGACCCCCTCTGACGGCAAATACGCGACGCAAACGCCGCCTTCCGGGTGGGCGGCGCACGAGGCGACGACGGACCGCCCGGGTGGGAGGAGAGCGTCCCACACGCAAAGCGAGGGCTCCTCGGCGCCGCCAGAGGAGCCGGCGGCCTATTGCGGAGCGAACGCCAAAGTTTCGAGGTGCGGGACCGAGAGAGGCAGCGCCTCGGGGCGGGCGGCCGCGACGACGACGGGCGAGTCGACAAAGCAGAGATCCGCGCCGCGAGAGAGGCAGCGCCTAGATGCGGGACGGAGGCTTGACGGTGCGGAGCCGCGCTCGACTCCCACGCACAGAGAGGTCACGCATTTGGGCGTAGGGCGGCGCGCGCTCGAGCGAGTCGGGGCGCGCGCCGCCAAGCCGCCACAGACCGACTCGGCCCGTAGTGTCAATGCAGCCAAACAGCTCGCCGCAAGGGGAGAAGCGGACGCTCGTGGCGTGGTGGCCACTGGCGGTGCCCACTGGAAGAGCGTATTGCGCGCGGAGGTGGTCGTGCAAACCGAGCCCCTGCACGGACTGGCCAAACTGCCAGCACTGAACGACGCCGTCACTGCCCACGAGGTAGAGAGGAAGCCTGGGGTGGGAGCACAAACAGCGCGCGACGACGCCGGGCGCGGTGCAGCTGAGCTGCATCGCCGACGGCGGCAGCGGCGGCGCGCCGGCGCCAGCCGCCGTCGACAAATCGACCTCCGCGGCAAGCTCAATCTGGTGCACGCCGCGGGAGAGGGCGTACGCGAGCTGCAGCGGGTTGAGCGAGTTCGCGCACACGGCGCGCACAAACTCGCCCTTGCGCCGCAACAGCGTCACAGGCGCGGAGAGGCGCGCCCGTGGCGGCGGCGGCGGCCCCGCAGCCCGCCCGCCCGTGCCCCCGCCCGTGCCCCCGCCCGTGCCCCCGCTCGGCGGCGGCGGAGGCGACGGTGGGCGCGGCGGCACCGCACCGTACAACGGCCACAAGGGCGACGCTCCGACGGCGCCGTCGTCGCCCTCCTCCTCTGCGACGACCACGGCCCACAACCGCTCGAGACTGCTGCGACTGCGGCCACGCAGCCAGAGCGGGCCCACAGGCCAGCTCTCGGGCGGCAAACGCGTGTCGATGGCGGCGATGCGCGCGAGCAACAGCGAACGCCAAGTGGCGAGCACTGATAGAACGCACTCCGCCGGCATTGGTAGCCAGAGAGGCGGCGGCGGCGGTGGAAGACCTGACGCGCCCGTCGCGCTCGACGTGCCCGTCGCGCCCGCCTCGCAAACCGACGGCGGGAGCAGGGCCGCCGTGCTGACAGCTCCCACAGAATCGGGCGACTGCCTGCAGAATGGCTGCTCCTTCCTCCGCCCGGGTGATGCGTCAGCCGTCACGCCGCCGCCCGCTTCCTGATGGCCGCCGCCGACACCCGCGGCGCCACTAGAGACGGCCTCTTCGAGCCGCTCGACCAAAGCAAGTAGTAGCCGCGCCCGCGCATACGCAGCCGCCTCGGCGTCGTTGACGTTGTCGTCGCCGGGAGGCGGCGCCTCAGCGGGCACGGCGTCAAGTCCTCGCCACAATCGCTGCCAGCAAGCGCGAGCCTCGTCCCCAAGGAGCCTCTGCGCCCCCCCGCTACCCACACCCAAAGCTGACACGCACAGGAGGAGCGCCTACAGGGACGACGTGCGCGTCTCACCGACGCGCCTTGCGGCAGGGAGAGCCGAAGCGGGCACGCAAGAGGGGCGCCTCGCACTCCTCCAACCGCACGGCAACTGCGAGCATCGCTAGGCAAGCACTCGCCGCTGTGTCGACGCAGAGCGCGCCGCCATCGTGCAGGCACGCGCTCGATCCCGCAGCGACGACTTGGAAGAGTGTCGGAGCCGCGAGTACAGCAGCAGCATGCCCGAGAAGCGCGCGGCACTCACTAGCCGAGAGCCCGTCAGGCAACGACCCGCAGAGCGCCGCGCGCGCAACGGTGCCGGCGGAAGCGGCGGCGGGCTCATCGAGCGCGCTAGACGCCGGCCGCGTGGTCTCATTGGCGACAGATCCGAAGACGGCGGCAACGAAGACGCAGACTGGAGCCGCAGCCGCGCCCCACATGGAACCGCGCACCAAGCAGAGCGCCTCTGCCTCCACTGTGCGCCGCGGCACGCAGAGCCACTCGGCGACCTCGTCGGCGGCCGCACAGAGAAACGGCGCCGCGGCCGTCAGACGCGTCTCCACCTCGCGCAAGCCAGCGCCCCCCTCGGGCGGCCACGCCCGCGAGGAGGCCAGCAAGGCCGCGGCGCGCTGGTAGACGTATTGCGCGCCCAAGCACGCGCGCGCGCCCTCCGAGCCGAGCAAGGCCGGCTTCGGGACGCGACGCACCACCGACGCGGCGAGCGCGGGGCTGCCGCTCGCGACGGCCGCGTCGATGCTTGCGTTCAACAGGGTGAGCGGAAGCATGGCCCCCGCGCGCCCCCTCACCCCACGAGCGCACTCAGCTCCTCCGGAGGCCGGTGCCACCTCGGCGAGCAAGCCACCGGCACGAAGCGCCTCACGCAAAGGCGCAGACGTTGGCGCGGCGAGCAGCTCGTGCACAAACGCGATGCGACAGCCGGGCTCGTACGAGGACGCGCGCCGCAGTGACGTCTTTGGGTCGAGCCCCTCTGCCTCCCGAGCACCCCCCATTGGCGACGAATCCCCCGCTGCGGCGAACGTCTGGCCACCGGCCGCGGAGAGGGTGCGCACCGCCTCGAGCGGGCGGCCGAGCAGCATGTGCGACACGGCCACAAGCCACGCGTCCGCCTCCGCCTCCGCGTGGGGCAGCAGCTCGTGCTCGACTATCGCACCGAACAGCTCTGGCGCCTCGGCCTCGTGCAAGCGCGCGATGACGATCGCGAGCTGCACGTCGGCAAGTTGGCGGGAGCAAACGCGCGCCGCCGCCTCGACGTCCGACGCGAGGAGGAAGAAAGCGGCGGCGAGGCCTGTGCTCCAGCAAAGCAGAGGTGAAGCCCTAACGACTGGGTCGTGAAAAGGGTAGAGAGCGGCGGCGGCGAACGGCACCGTGCTGCTGCTTCGAGAGCAGGGAAAACGCGTTCTTCTTGGCGGCGGAGCGCCAGCGCGGCTCCTGAAAGTCGTGCGCGAGAAACCCACCCAGCTTCTCGTCCCGCACAACGCGGCAAAGCGCCTGCAACGCACCCTTCTTGCCCAGCGCGAGGTAGAGCAACGCGCACGCCTCGGGGCGGCGCGTCGCAGAGAACTTGGCCTTGGCCGCGGCCTCTAGAGCAGCCCGCAACGCGTCTCCTCGCGGCAGCCACAAGCCGGCGCCAACCGCGCGCAGCGCCGGCCAGGTGCGGTCCTCTGCAAGAGGGAGACACAGCTCGAGCAGCGGCGCCTTGCAATCGGAGCGCAGAACCCACGCCACGTCGGCGGAACTCACCGGCGACGTGAGGCCGCCTCCGCCGTCTCCGCCGCCTCCGCCGCCTCCGCCGCCTCCGCCGCCTCCGCCGCCTCCGCCGCCTCCGCCTCCGCCGCCTCCGCCGCCTCCACCGCCTCCGCCTCCGCCTCCTCCTCCGCCGCCGACGCCGGGCCCGCCTCCTCCTCCTCCGCCGCCGACGCCGGGCCCGCCTTGCGGGCTCTCCAGCCTCGACGCGAACACACGGAGCAGGAAGGCCTCACCACACGCGTCAAGCGAGCGGCTTACTGCAGCAACGCGCACCTGCGCCCTGAGGAGTCGCACGAGCTGAGCGAGCTCACACGGCGCCAGCCGCAGCAGCGACCCCACGGAAGCTGGCCGCTGCCCCGTGGCAGAGAGCGAAGCTGCACACTCGCTCGCCGCTTCGCTCAACGCGCCACCCGATGCCTGCCCAAGCGCGGAAACGGCCGCTTCCGGCGGCCGCGGCAGCTCCTGCGGCGGGGCGAAGAAATCGGGCAACGACGGCCTTGGTGCGAATGCGTCTTCAATCGAGAACAAATCACTGAGTGCCGCCGCCGTGTCGGCGGCGGGGGTGGCCTCGCGACCGGCCGAAGCCGACGCTGGCGAAGCGGGAGCCGCAAGAGTGTTCTGAGATGCGGCGGCGGAGGGCCGCGCGGTGCTGCCGCCGCCTTCGAGAAGCTCCGTTAAACCCGGCTCGGAAAGAGAAGTCCCCTCGTCGGCAATCGCACGGCCGACGCCATCCTCTCCGCGGGCCAAACGAGCCGAGACGTGGCGGATGGCACGTTCCGCGGCTGCGCTCTCGCCGAGCAAGAGCATCTCCTGCAGCACGTGTGGGTGCCTATGAGAGGGAGTCACCTTGGGAGGTGACGCTACGGACTGCCGGCAGCACTGCCCCCGCAGACGCTGGCGCCACGGCGGCGGCAAATCTGAGCAGAGCGTTGTCGTGGGGCCACCCCCTGTGCTGCTCCGCGAGGGGACGTGCGGGCAGAGGAACAGTTGCGGCCCGGATGCGAGGAGGAACGCGCCGCTCCGTGACCGGCAGATGGTCGACGGCCTCCCGCACACGCCCGCAAGAGGCACATCCGCGCGGCGTGACCAGCGGCCCAAGCCATGCATGCCACCGCCATCGCCACCCTCGTGGCCACTGCCGCTGCCGCCGCCGCCCACGCGCTCGCGGGAAAAGACGAGGAGGCGGGCTCGAGGAGATGGGCTCGAGCCGCCGCTGCCCACAGCCACGGCCGAAGCCCCCAGCCAGGCGAGGAGAGGCAAGCCTCCTGAGGGGCCTGGTGCGGCTGCGGCGGCGGCGGCCTCCGACGCGGCGCGCGAGGCCGCATCGGAAACCGACGCGCGAGCGACGCCCGCCTCGCCTCCGCCGTCGCGCCCTCCCTCGTCGCGTGGCAACTCGATCACCTGCGAGGGGCCGGGGGGCGGAGGGGGGAGGGGCGGCTCGGTCGGCTCTGAAGTGTCCCGTGAGCGCCGAGCGCCTGCCGTGCAGGCGCTAGCTGGTGACTTGTCGCTGGGCGTCTGAGCGGGGCCTCCGAATGTCTACCAAGCGGCCTGCTCCAGCTTGGGCTCGCCGGAGCTCGAGGTTGCCGCGACGACGCAAACCCTCCCGCTCGCGCCGGCAGAGGCAGGAAAGGCAGGCTTGCCGATCAGCGCGGCGAGGCGCGCGCCGCCTCCCTCCCACGCGATGGCGGTCACCGGCCCTTGGGGAGGCAGCGCCACCGAAGCAAACGGCACGAGGGTCTCGTCCCTCCCGCCCACGGGCTCGATGTCCCAGAAGAAGAGGGTCGTACCCGCCTCGCCCGCCCCCTCGCCGCTCGCCGCCGTCACCAGCACGCTGCACGAGCGAGTCTGGGCGGCAGCCGCCGCTCTGGCCAGTGGCCGCGGCGCCATCGCCGCGGCGAGCACGGGGCGACTCGACCCACCCAGAGAGAGCTCGCGGCCCCAAGCGAGCGGGGGGGCGGAGACGGCGGCGGGAGAGGAGGGCTCTCTCCGCCACAGCACCGCCGCGCCGCGCTCGCCATTGAGCAGCAGCCCGTCCGCCCCGCCTCGGCCTCCGCCCCCTCTGCCGCTCGCGCCACCGCCCCCGCGCGCCCCCCCTGTGGCGGAGAGCGTGGCGCACAGCCAGCACGCGCCTGTCCTGCGCGACGCTGGGCGCGGCTCTGCCCAAGGGCTCGGTAGGGCGGTGGCCACGCCCCAGCTGGGGCAGCCGCTCCCCTCCTCACCGCGGCCCGCGCCCTCACGCAGAAGGAGCAGCCGACCTGGGAGGGGGGGGGGGGGGGGGAAGTTTGCCGGGGGGGCCCGCAAACAATGGGAGGTGGGGAGTCCCGGCTGTATCTCGGCGTGATCTCGGGTGATCTCGGGTGATCTCGCCTGCCCCGTCCGAAGCCACGAGCTCTCGCGCCGAACCCGGCAGCCACGCCGCCGCCGCCGCGTCGACGCGGGCCACCCCCACACAACGCAGCGCGCCGGTGCCGAGCGCATCGCTGTCGCCGTGCGCCGCCGCGTGCCGCCGCCTCGCGGCGCTACTCGCGCCGCTGGCGGCCGCGGCCGCGGAGGCCGCCCCGTCCCACGCCTTTTCCCAGACGGCAACCTCGCCGGCAGCGTCGAGCGATGCGACCAGCGGCTCGCTCTCGTGCTCGTGCAGCGCGACAAGCAGGGCCCGGGCGTCATGCCCAGTGAGTAGCCCACGGCTGGCCCGCGCGCCGACGTGCGCCCGCTGCAGCTGGACGGTGCTGAGGCAGAGCCCGCCGCCCTCGCTGTGCAGCACGAGCGAGACGGAGGCCGGGAGGCTGTCCGAGTCGGAGCCGGGCCCTGGTGCGGGTGGGCGAGGGTTGGGGTGAGGGTGGGGCGAGGGTGGGGCGGGTGGGGCGAGGGTTGGGCGAGGGGTTGGGGCGAGGGTGGGGCGAGGGTTGGGGCGAGGGTTGGGGCGAGGGGGGGGCGAGGGTTGGGGCGAGGGTGGGGCGAGGGTTGGGGCGAGGGTTGGGGCGAGGGTTGGGGCGAGGGTTGGGGCGAGGGTGGGGCGAGGGTTGGGGCGAGGGTGGGGCGAGGGTTGGGGCGAGGGTGGGGCGAGGGTTGGGGCGAGGGTTGGGGCGAGGGTTGGGGCGAGGGTGGGGGCGAGGGTGGGGCGAGGGTTGGGGCGAGGGTGGGGCGAGGGTTGGGGCGAGAGGAGGCGAGAGGGGGCGAGACTGAGCGAGACTGAGCGAGATTGGCGAGCCGTCGGGGTGGGGAGGGCTTCAAGCCGCGGAAGACCTGCGGGAGCGGCGGCACAAGGCTCCGCGGCGCCGAGCCTCTGCGCGAGGTGGCTGAAGCCGGTGCCGAAGAAGAAGGCCTGCGCGTGCGGCAGTGCGCGGTGCAGGCTGGCCCACAGCAGCGTCTTTGGCGCGCACCGCGGGGACGGTGACGCGCCACCGGCGACGAGCCACACGTGGAGCGAGCCGTCTGCGAGGAGGGCGAGGAGGAAGGCGTCCTCCTCGCGCAGCGTGGCGCTCGCACCCGCCTCGAGTCCGAGCAGACCTGCCGGGACGAGCCCCTTCCCTGCGGGGGGGGGGGAGGCACCAGAGTCCGGCCGTGGACCACGGTCTCGAGTCACGGATGCGAAGAGAAGGAGGTCCGCGGAGAGGGTCGAGCACGCGCACGGCTGCAGACAGCCGAGTGCGCGTCCTCTCGAGTGCCAGTCGGGACTGCAGCGGTCCCCATCCAGCTTCTAGGAGCCCTGTTCCGCCGTCGGAGAAGCGAGGGCTGCGGCGGGGCGAGCGGCGAGGCGAGCCGGAGCCTTCCGAGGCGGGGGCGCCCCCTATAGTGTAATATAATTGAATACAATCTAGTAACGCGAGTAATATGATAATAAAGTATAAAATCTAATATTATGTGATACAAATGTAATGTTATGTAATGCTCCTCCTCCGGGCGGAGGGCCGCGGCTCGAGCGGAGCCAGAGGGCGAGCCTACGGAAGAGTCCAGGAAGGCTCCGAGAAGCTTCCTAGCCGCGGCTCGAGCGGAGCCAGAGGGCGAGGGCCGCGCTGGCCGCTGCGCCGCCTCGCCGCCCGCAGCGGCTGCGTGCGGCGCCCGTGGCAGCGCGGTGCCAGCGCCCTCGCCAAGAACGGCGCACAGGCACGGGCGAGGCGCGCCGCCGCCTCCGGCCGCCGCCATCATCCACAGCCGTGGGGTGCCTATTCACACCGGGGGGCTGTGAAGAGGCGCCGTCTCACGGCCCTGGTCGACCCACCGCCGTGGTGTGCCGTCTCGGCAGAGCGAGAGCAAGACGCTCGTCTCCGGCGAAGAGGGGTCGCCAGCGCCAGCCGCCGGCGCCGGACGCCACTCGAGCGACGCGACCGGCGCCGGGTGGCAGAGGTAGCTAAAGCCGAGGCGGAGCGGAGGCGGCGCGGCGGCGCGGCGGCGCGGCAGCCGTCCCGTCGCCGCTTGGTCGTCCGGCGGCTCAGGGTGCCACACCTTGGCGAGGCGTGGGGAGATGTGGGGAGATATGGGGAGATATGGGGAGATAGGCTCAGGGTGCCACACCTTGGCGAGGCGGTCGCCGTCGCCGGCGCTTGCCAGCAGCGCCGCCGCGCCACCGCAGCCAGCCAGCAGACTGACGGGCGTCGCGAGCTGCCGCCGCCACGCCAGCTGCCACTCGGAGGCGTCTGCGGCGGCGCCTGCGTCCGCCGGCTGCGTCCAAAGCATAAGCACGTGTGCGGCGGCGCCCCAGAGCGCGCGCCTGGCGCCGAACACGCCGCTCCAAGCCAGCGCCGCCAACTCGCCCGCCTCCACCGCTGGCAGCGGGTCACCCGAGGACGACGGGCGCCGACCGCCTCCCGTCGTCGGCGTCAGCACCGCCGTCTCCTCCCAGCGCCAGCTGCTCCCCGCGCCACCGTCACGCGTGCGCTCGTACACGCGGGCGGTCGCGCCCACGCCAACGGCAAGTGCGTCCCCGCTGGCCGTCCAGCTGACACAGTTCACCGAGCCGGCGGGAAATGGGCCGAGCGTCTGCGTGAGCACGCAAGGGTCGGCAAGGGAGAGGAGGACGCGATCGCCGGCGCAGATGGCAAGGCGGAGCACGCCGCGATCGTTGGTGACCGCGACCTGCTGCCTCGCGGCGGCGGGCCGGGCGAGCGACGAAATATGGGCTGTCTGTTGTCGAGCGGCGCTGTGTGTGCCGACGCCGCCAAGCGAGGCTGCTCGGCAGCTGACCACACACATGCCGAATTCGAAAAAAATTATTTTCGGTGGCTGCTCGGCCCACTCTAATACAGGTAATAAACATCCACACGACTCACGTCTACCCTTATAAGTCTCTCGTGTCGGCGCCGACGCTCTTTTAAGAGCCGGTACTGCCATTCGGTTTTCCACAGTTTTCCATATGTGACTCGCCGGACGGACATAAAGCCAGTCGGACGGTCGGACGAAAAAGTCGTCCGACGTCCGGCGTCCGGCCCAAATCTGCTGCCGTCCGACCGGGCCTTTTTCGGTCCGTCGCCGGACAGACGGACGAGTTCACCGGACGCATCGCGTCGCTACCGCCCCATTTGATTGCGGCGCGATGCTCTCGGGCCTGCTGCCGTGCATCGCCGTCGCCGCCCGACCCGCCTTCCAAACCAGTGAGGAGCTCCTCGCCAGCATCCTGCAGGCGGGTGGGAACGTGGGAGCCACCTGTCTGACTGGCGAGGGGCGAGTACTCTTTGGGCAAGATGCGGGGCGCAAGCAGCGTCGGGCGGCGGTGCTGGCCATCCTGCACTGCATCATCGCCAAGAGAGACAAGAAGCAGAAGCGGCGGCGGTCAGGCCCTATCCTGGGCCTGATCAGTCAGACCGTACGCGAGCACGGCTTCTGGGCCACAGTGGCTCACCTCGACGACGTGCGGTTTCAGCGCAAGTTCCGGCTGTCACGCAGTGCCTTTCGGGACCTGTGCGTGCTGCTCGGGCCGCACCTTACGCGTGAAGGTGGTCGAGGCGGGGCGCGCGCCGGACATGCCGCCCCGCCGCTCAGCGTCGAGACCAAGCTGTCTGTGGCCCTACGCTTTCTTGCGGGAGCGTCAGTCGAGGATCTGGACAGGTATGGAGTTGAGCGCAAGAGCAGCATCATGGGCTGCTGCGTCTGGCCAGTCGTGGGCGCGATCCACGCGTGCCCCGAACTGGAGTTTCGGCTCCTTCGCGCGCTGAAGAGCGCGATGGCTCCAGGGGGTCTGGAGCGCAGACAGCAAGCTAAGGCGTCCGGTCCGGACGCGAATGGCAGGACCAGAAACGCATGGCGGGCGCTGTCGGTCGGACGAAAACGCGTCCGACCGGCGAAAAACCGTCCGACGTCAGGGTGTGGAACCGAATGGCAGTACCGCCCCTAACGTAGAACGTCCCAGCCGAAAATCCGCCCGCCGACGATCGATCAGTCCACAATCGTCGGCCCGCAGCGACCCGCAGCGATGGATGCCGCCGCCCCCCCGGCCCCTGCGGCTGACGCGCCGATGCACGACCGGCCTCCGTCGGATGGCTCTCCGGCCTCTCCGGCCGCTGACGCGGCCGCCCATGCTGCTGCCGATCCGGTCCCTCTCACGCTCAGCGATATCCGCACAAGCTACGACAACTTCGAGGTCGCCGGCTTTGGCCAGGTGCAGCAACCACCTGCTTGCCTCCATGTTCACGCTTCGCCCCCCCCTCCCCCCCCGCCCCCCCCTTCTGACGCCGCCGTCTGACCTTAGGTGAGGGGCACGACTACCCGCCTGGAAGGCGCTCTCACCAGCAAGTCACCCAGGCACCAACTCCTGGGCGTTTACGCTTGACTACGAAACCATGCAGTGGATGCAGCTCGATCAAAACGGCGACGCCAACAGCTGGTCCCTGGGCGAGTTCCTTGCGCTCAGGATGAGGTGCGAGCCATGATGCTCGACCCAGCGTGCACCAAGTCGCTCACATTCCGTGAGTTCGTCAACGGGCGACTGCGATCTCGAACTCCGACAACTGGACTGGTGCACCAGCCGCGGAGGACGATGGCTCCCTCGACGACATCCCTTCATCGACGGACGCCTTCACCGCCGCCGGCCCTGGGCCATCCATCGCGGCCTCCGACTGGCTGCCGCAGCTCACACCCTAATCTATCTGCCTTAGGCACGGAGCCAACGGAGCCATCGCGCACGCCCGCAGCATCGCATGCTGCTCCGAGGTCTCCCGCCGAGACCGGCTCGGCGCGGGGTTTGACTGACGTGACTGACTGATGAGTGCTTGCGAGAGAGAGATGTTTAGCAATGCTTGCGATGGATGATCTCCGACACCCAAAACCAAAATGCAAATGCGGAGTGGAGCCCACTTCGCGTGCAGATCCTGCGTCTCTCACTGCCCGAACAGCAGAGGCGGGTACCGCCGCAGGTCCCACACTAGTAAAATATAAAGGGGATAAGGTATACGAAAGGAGTTGCGAATCCTCCCCTTGCTTTCGGGTCATACGAGTAGATCTAATAATCTGTTTCCACCGATCTTCAAGTGAGCGCCCCCCCGGGGGGCCATCGGAGGGTGCCTGCAGAGCGAGGCATCTGGTTTCCAAGAGGCGCTCGGACACTCGTGAGAGGCGCCTGATCTGTTTCTGCACATACACCTCCTCCTCCTCCTGCCGTGAGCCGCCCTGCCCCAGTCATCCAGAGCACGACCTCTGGCGAGCCAGCCAGCCCCACTCTGCGGGCGCCAAGAAGAAGAAGCAGAAGACATCGCGCACGCGGCAGGAGAAGAAACAAGGCGAGCGCGAGGCGGCGCTCGAGAGGCTGCCGCTGCCGCGGCTGCCCGAGCGGCTGCTCAGGCGGCCGCTCAGGCCGCTCAGGCGGCCGCTCTCGGACGGTACAGGTTGGTCACCGCTTGGTTCTACCCTCGCGGCGACTGGTACATCTTGTACTGGGATGGCAGCTCGGCCGACAAGGTCGCAAGGCGCGCTGTCTTCCACACGCTCGAGCACGGCAATCACGACCCCGGCCCCCTCGCAGAGCGCATCAGGCGCGACAAGCGCGAGCGGTCCGACCGCTGAAGCCCGCTCGACGAGGTTTGCGTCTCGAGGTTTGCGTGGGACGCTCTGCGCGGGGACGTGACGACCATCGCCGTGCGTGCAAAGAATTTTATGTTGCGCATGTTTCTTTGCTCACAACCAGTGATCACCCACTTCCTCTCAACGAACGCGACTTCTCTCATTTGAGGGTTTGATCCGCAGAAGGGGGGGCGCAATTGTCGCAAAATCTGGCACGGATCCGCGCAGAGCAGATGGAATCGGCTGAGAGAGGGCCTCAGACCTAATGGTCAGAATTTCCACAGTTTGCTCTACTCTGCTCCAGTCTGCTCCAGTCTGATGCAGTCCCCAAAGGATTTTTTTCGGGCACGCCCCCCCCACTACCCCCCGCCACATGACTACCTACTGTGGAGCGGGTCGGGAGTCGTGCGACACTGTGGTTCGCCACGCAGGTCAGCGATGGGCGCTCCCACGCTGTAGGATTTGCTCGTACTAGCTGGCAAGCTGGACGAGACTCTGCGGCTGGGCGAGGCGAGGGACGCTCCCGCTCGCGTGCCCGCGAGGGCCAGGCCCGTGACGCCGCCCGCAAGCGCCTTTTCGTCCCCAGCGGCCGGCGCGACGGCGCCCGGCGCCCAAGAGTCTTCCCGCCTGCTCCACGCCGAGGGGAGGGAGGAGGAAGGGGATCCCAAGCCGCAGTCAGACGCCGAGCGCGACGTCCCGTCGAAGCCGCTCGAGCCCGTCCTCTTCACAGACTCGTCTCTGCATAAGTCCAACGCCGTCGAGTGCCGCGGGGAGGTCGGTCATGGACATGCAGTCAGGTAGTTCGCCGTTGCCCCATTTTCCTTTTTCTTTTTGGTGTTGAATTAATTAGTTTTTCGCGATTCCTTTTCCGTGTGAAAAGTGCCAATGCGCGCCAGTCCCGTGCCTAGTGTCGCGCGAGGGAGTGGGTTGTAAAAAAAAAGATCGCCCGTGTTCGCTTTTACTTTCGCCTTGACTTTCTGCAACTAACTACTTGGGAGCTTCTGTTCGGTTGTAAAATTCTACAAACAACTAGTCCGAGCTCTCACGCCGCGCGTAGGGCCCTTAGGGGCCTAGCTAGAGAACACAACCCCTCTCCCTCTCTCTCCCCTTTTCTAGTACGTACGTACTTTTAGCTCTGAGAGAGAAGTCTCTCTCTTCTAGTACTTTTTCTCTCTCTTTCTCTTCTCTCTCTCTCTTCTAGTAAGCTAATTGCCGCTACTCGTACAACTCTCCCTTTTCTCCCGATACGCTAAGAGAGACACCACGCGGAACGCATCTCCATCGCTTCGGTGAAGGGGGTGAACCGTGCCATCCTCGATCGCCGTGCTAAGCTCGCTTCCGAGCTCTCACGCCGCGCGTAGGGCCCCTAGGGGCCTAGAGAACACAACCCCCTCTCTCTTTTCTCCCAGTAAGCAAAAAGTACGTACGCTAAAAGTACGTACGTACAACTCCAAGCGCTCCAAAGTGCGCAGAACCAACTACGCCCACGCCGACGCTCCGGCTTTGCTTCTGTGATCGTCCGCCCCGCTCGCGTCACGCGCCATGTACCGTTTCAACGCGAGCACCATCCACAACGACGGCCGACGATGTGGTGCCTGCTGCGGCGCACGCGGTGACGTGACATCGCCGATGTGCATGGGGTCGGACCCGGTCGGCGAGCTTCACGGGCTGAGTTTGCACGAGGTGCAGGCACGATGCATGGAGGACGTGCGCTGCATCGGCTTTTATCAGCGGCAGCTCCGAGGGCATGAACTCTTTCGGCCGGTACAGGCGTGGACGCAGGGGCGGCGCTTCCGGCTGAGGCCCGAAGACGCCGTCTTCGGGAAGTGCCTCCCAGCGCCAGACTGCCAGACTGGGTCAGAGGCAGCAGCATCCGAACTGTCGATCTCTGGGCCTCGGGAGCAAGTCGCCACCGTCAAGACAAACGTGAGCCGACATGTGGACTTAGGGCGCGTCACTGGGAATAAGTACGGGTTCCCCTTCTTCAATGTCACGCTCACCAAACTCGCCAACTCCTTGCAAAGATTCTCGTCCGCGGGGGCCAAATTTGACGAGGCGATTCGCGGGCAGAGGCAGACCCAGATCGTGAGCATCAGCCTCGGCGAGAGCAACACGGAGGCACGCCAGTGCAAGCTCTTGAGGAAGGAGAGCTACGCGCCGTGCGAGCTTGGGCGCAGCTTCGGGTGCGACTTTGCGAGCGGCAGCATGTGGGTCAATGGCTGCCGCGGCTGGTTTCGCTGCGCCTCGAGCGATGTGCACTGCGGGTATCCTGGCCAGTGGGGGGCGCAAAACTGCTCGTGCGCCCGTGCACCAAAAGCCGTGGACTTCCGAGGTTCCCTTGAGTCCACTCAAGCGCCACGCACGCATGACCTATTCAATCTCCAGTTCCCTCCGGTCTGTCACGGCCGTTTCATGGCCGTCACGGACGACCTGTGGGGGGCGGGTCTCGGCTTCACCTCAACCATGCTGTCGCGCCTGATGGTCGTTGCCGTGCAGAAACGACGGATCCTGATCGAAGTGCCCGCGAAGAAGCCGCGATGGTGCAATCAAACGCTGCAGTGCTTCTATCAGCCATGGACCAATTGTTCGCTCGACCAAAAAGGTGCAGACGTACTCAAGGTGAGCCTGAACAGCTATCACAGAAGCCGACAGTGGTACGGCACAAACAAGCTTACAAAGTCCATGCAGCCTCACCCCGCCCAGTTCTTCTTTCGACCAAACGCGCTCGTGCAGCGCCACGTCAACGCCGTGATTGCGCAGTGCGGCGGCACGGATTACTGGACCGTGCACGTCAGAGACTCGCCGGAGAAGCGGGCAGAAAGGCCCAACAAACACTTTCCCGACTTGCAGGGATACGTGAGCAGGCTACCCCAAAACGTGAAGCGGATTCTGTGGCAGACGGCAAACCCGGCTGCCTTTCAGGCGATACTGCGGTACTCTAGTCAGCGCCCGGGCCTGCGGTTCTGCTACACCAACTTTTCGAGGCACACAGAAGACGTGTGGGGCGGCCGGAACGCCAGCTTCACCTACGAATCGGGCCTCACCGGTGCCGTCAACGGCGAGCTCGGGCACCTGGGCACGGGACTGATCAGTCTCCAGTCCTCGATGTGGACCAGCTTCCTTGCAAGCTTGAACGCAAGCATGAAGGTGATTGCCGTGTAGAGCGGCCGCCGGTGGTCGGCCGACGAGATGACTGCTGCGGGAGTGCGACCAGACGTGATCAGCTACAACGCGGCCATCTCTGCGTGCGAAAAGGCTGGCCAATGGGAGAAGGCGGTTTCGTTGCTGTGCGAGATGCCGGATGCTGGAGTGCAGCCAGACATGGTCAGCTACAGTGCGGCCATCTCAGCCTGCGAGAAGGCTGGCCGGTGCGATGAGGCGCTGTCGCTGCTGCGCGAAATGCCTGCTGCGGGAGTGCAACCAGGCGTGATCAGCTACAACGCGGCCATCTCAGCCTGCGAGAAGGGAGGCCGGTGTGACGAGGCGCTGTCACTGTTCCAAACGATGCGAGAGGACGACGTGCGACCAGACGTCATCAGCTACAACGCAGCCATCTCTGCGTGCGAGAAGGCTGGCATATGGGAGAAGGCGCTGTCGCTGCTGCGCGAGATTTGCGAAGCTCGTTCAGGTGCTCGAGAACTCGGGTGGTGTTGGTGGCCTCCATGAGTGCGAAGACAGTGAGCGATGCCATGGCTGGGGTCTCCGGCACGGATGTATAGCACCAGCCACTCCGTGAACTTTCGCGGGAGCCGTGAGCGGCTGGCTGCTCGGACTGACTGTTCGATCCGCTCGAGAAAAAAAAACAGGACGCAGCGCCTCTGCCCTCGCCACGGAGCGACCAGTCTCCGCTCGCTCGGCGAGGCGACTCGCGACCACGCCCGGAGCGGCCGCCCTGCCGAGTCAATCGGATTCGGCATCGCTCCGCTGATTGCGACGAGTGCGTCTATTGCCTCAGGACTCGCTGGACGCTGCTGCTCCAGGTACTGGGCTGGGTTTTTAGGCATTGTGGGGTTGGCACTCCCATCGACCCTCATGACCTCCTGCGGTCTCTGAGATGGACACCAGTGGGTGTGGGGCCACAGCCAGGATACACTCGAAGGCTGGGTAAGCAGTAGAGGTCGATACTCGACGCGTCCCACATGGTCTGTGTCGCTGTCGGCGCTGTCGACAGGACGTCGAGCGACACCGGTGGCAGTGCCACCCAGGAGTGGTCGGGCGGTCTCCCGTCATGAGAGAGCCACCATGTGATCCGTATGATGATTCCTGACAACCGCCTCAGTCAACTTTTGTCACAGTTCCCGCTCTGAGAGGAGCTGCGGGTCAGTTCGACAGCTGGAGCTGTGTCGCCGGCGTGCGGCGGCCTGCCTCCGGAGGTGCCTCTGAGGTGGACATTTTTTGGTCACCGTGAGAGAACGCGTTCGAATTTTCACTCCGGAACTTCAACTCCGCACGCGCACCGGCCAGGGCTACAATAGTGCCAGTGAATGCGGAGGCGCGAGTCGGAAGGCCGCGACCGTCACATATGGTTTCCCAATTTTCCTACAATCGCTGTGAACACCCAGCCACGTATGTCGAGGACACGTGCCGAGCGTCGCTGCGTCTCTCACCTGTTTTATGTCGAGCACTGTGGTGTGCATTAGTACTACGACATCACCTTTCGCTGTATTCGGAAAGCGCATGTGTGAAGTAAGATCGCAAGTGCTGTGGCGCCGTTCATGCTGTGACAGAGCCCGATTCGTCCCGTTGGGCAATCAGATCGTTCAGAAGCGCATGGTTTTCGGCCTTGTTGTCCGGATCCCATGGGGCCTCATACAGCACGGCACGACTCGCCGTCCTGATGGCTGCTGTCAGGTCACCCGAGGCTTTCTCGCTGAGCGCAACGTACTTGTGCACCCCCGGGTAGTGCCGGTTCATCGCGATGCCCATTGAACCGGGGCCACATATCGCGCGCTCATATTCGCCCGTCTCGAAGAAGACGCGGGTCATCCCCATCCAAAGCTTGAGCTGCAGTTTGGGCCCACCATAAGTGTGGTCGTCTCCCATGTCGCGCACGATCGACATATACAGCTCCATGGCCGCCTCCCAATCGGCCATGTCCTGCTGTGCGGCGGCGAGCTTCAGCTTCGTCTCAAGGAGCCCCTGTTTTCCGCCTGCAAACACTTTGGGCGATGCACCTCCCTGCTCTAGCATCGTCATGAGTCGGTCAGCCTCGTCATCGTCGCCAGCCGCGAACGCAGCGTCCGCCTGGGCGAGAATCTGCCTCCGTTCGTCTTGCACATTCTGATTGCTGGAGTTCAGCTCGAGCACCGCCTTGAAGGCCGTAACTGCCGACTCCGCGTCACCTGCGATGAGCAAGATCTCCGCACGCATGTGGCCGGCGCGCAGATCCGTAGGATCGACGTCGAGGATCTTCTGCACCTCGGCGAGAGCCAACTCGCACTGCGCCTGCTTCTCCGCACCGCTGATCTTTTGTGCGCGTGCAGTATGCATCGAAGCACGATCGAGAGAATGTTGATCCACGTCCGGAAGTTGAGCGCGACAGAACGGACAAGTGGCGTTTGGCGAGAAGTTCTGATAGTTGCGCAGGCACGAGTGACAGAACATGTGGCCGCACCCCTCAAGCGTGACTGGCTGGTTCAAGCGCTCCAGGCAGATGCCACACGTATCAGTTGTCTGCGGTGGAACCTGCGCGCCTGGTGCCTCCGGTGCCGTGCGATATGCGAGCTCCGCAGCCAGCGACTGATGAAAGCTTCGGCAGTCCGGCTTGTGCTGCGGCCAGTGTGATCGTTGACACTTGGCGCTGCAGTAGAACACAAGCTTGCAGTTCGAGCAGCGCTTCGTCGCGTTCGGCTTGTCGCATGCGTCGCACTCGATGTGCTCGCGACTCATCGTGGAGAGCGCCAGCGCGGCCAGCGGCGATGCTTCCGATGGAGGAGCTATCGCTCCGCGCGGCGGCAAAGCTCGAGGCGCGAGACTATGCAGGCGCTGCGCTCGAGCAGCCGCGTCATCACTGGAGTTTGTGCTCTTCCGTTCACGTGCACGAGCTTCCCTCGGGATGGCGTCGCGTGGACCACTACATCCCCGAGGACGCCGAAGGCATGCCTCGCCCTCATCACCCGCGTGACCTCGTCTAGGAAAACCACCGAATCATAGCCAGGCGTGCGGATCCGGGGAGGAGGCTCGTGGCGGATTTGGTTCGGTTCAGCCCTTCCTTCGACTCGTGCCGTCGGCTGTCCCTCCCCCGTCTCTGCTCCTCCCCTGTCTGAGGCTCGCGTGGCTTCCTCCCTCCGTGCTCCCGCCGGCGGCTGGTTCTGCCGTACAAGGCCCCGCAGTTCTTCCGCAACGATCTCTCGGTGTCCGAGCTGGTCACCTCCGTTGCCCCATGTCAGCCGCAGCCTAATTCTCTTTTTTGCCCCCGGTGGTGGCACGGCAAGTCCCAGGCATGGCTCCTAGTGTGTCCGCGGCCGTCCTGACCGTGCTCTTCTGGTGGTGCGAGGAGACGGACCACACTGCCGACGGCGTCTGCAACATCCTCTGGTCGAGCCAGCAGCTCGGCATGACGAGCGATGGGACTCAGGCGCACGGCCTCCGCCTCCGCTCTCAATTCCCCGCCTCTCAAATCCCGTGCGGCCTCCGTGTGCGCGCAGCTGCGCGGCCTGGAGCAGATGATGGCGGCGCACGCACCGCGCACAGAGGCGGAGTATGCGCGCGACATTGGCTCCATCTTCAACTCGTACTGCACAGCTGCCGAAGGCTCGCGTTGCTCTGTGCAGATGGGCATGGCCCTCGCCTCACCCGCGGCGCCCTTCTGACGCGACCTAGGCTTCACCGACCGCAAGAAGAAGGATAAGTCGGCAACGGTGCCTCGCCTCCGCCCCAGCCTCACCGTGTGCGCTTGAGCGCCAACACTGACGCCGCAGTCCCGTTGCCGCCAGATCTGTGCATCCCGGGCAAGCAACACGCTGGAGAACCTCTTCCGCGCCCCGCCCAAGGGCTGGTCGAAGATGGGGTGTGTGGTCGCCACCCTCGCACGCCCCTTCCTTGCGACCACCCACCCCCCCACTTTCGACCAGCCCACCACTCCCCCTCCTGTCATTGCACGGGCCCCCCGCTCCCAGCACCGTCCCACCCAAGTCGACCCTGCGCCTGCCCACCGTCCACACGCCGCACGCCGCACGACTCGTGTCGCAGGAGCGGATCCGCCGACATCCCCTCGGCGGACCCGCGGCAGGTGTCAGATTTGATAATAGTTTCCTTCCGAGATCGCGCCCCCCCCTGCCGAGATGTGGCGAGCTGTCGGGAGATACGGGGAGATACAGGGAGATATGGCCCCGCCAGGGAAGGGGCTGCCCTGGTGGACCACTGTCACATCTCCACCCGCGGCAGGCCTTCGGAGAGAGGGAGGGAGGGAAAGAGAAAGGAGGCGAGGAGGGGGAGGGGATGGGAGGCCTCGAGCCGCATGGTGGGAATCATCGGCCAGAGGTGGTGCTCCGTCTGCAGCGAGATGGGCCCTGTGCGAGCGAGGAGGAGAGGGGGCGGGGAGCGGGGGGGGGGGGGGGGGGCAATGTGGCGGAGATCAGAGGGTTGTCCTACTCCAAGTGCACCCTCTGCGGCCGCGCGGCGGCAGCGGCGGCGGGTGGCGGCGGCGGGGTCGTGCAGTAGAGCAGTGCTAGGATGGCGGCCGAGCAGGCGATGCCGAGGCAAAAGGTGCCGAGAGCGACTCGCGTGACGGAGAGCCTGGACGTGAGCAGCCGCGCGGCCGTGGCGCCCACCCTGGACGCCGCGGAACCCATGCTGCTCACGCTCTCCCAGCTTCCGCCGCCAAGCCGCCCTCCGCCAGCTTCGGCGCCCGCGCCGTCCACAGCGCCGCCCGCGTGCTCCTCTATGAAAGCGACAAAGGCGTCATACGTGCGCGCGGAGCCAAAGGTGGCCAGTCGCTGCCCGTCTCTGAAGAGCAGGACTGTCGGGTAGCCAGAGATGTCGTACCGCCGAAGCAGCTTCTCTTCTGCGACGCCGTCCACCTGAGCAATGGAGACGCCTTTCTGCCCTCCAGCACCGTTGTATTTAGCGGCGACGCGCTCGTACTCGGGAGCCATCTTCTTGCAGTGTTTGCACCAAGGAGCGTAGAACTTGACGAGCCAGAGGCCCTTTTCGGTACGGTGCCACGTTTCTCCCCGCAGCTGGATCACTTGGCTCATGGGCTGCACTTCGCTGTCGGCCGCAGTGCGGCACAAGGTGGTTTCGGACGACAAGACTACGAAGAGCACGAGCCGCAGCGCTTTCATGGCGAGAGGCGTAGGAGAGAGTGCGCCCGATGCTCGTGCTGTAGCTTGTTTGCCAACCCCAAGAAACCAGTCCAAGTGAGTGCGGTGTGGGCAAGGCGCCGCAACGTGATGGGTTCGCCGCGGTTTCTAAGCCTTTCCTCACAGCGCCGGATAGGGCGCGCCGCGGTTTCTAAGCCTTTCCTCACCCCTCACCCACCCCATGCCGTGGTTTCTTAGCTCCGGCCGGCACTCAAGCCAGAGCCGGCCGGAAGGATTTTTAGGTAAGAGCTAAGAGGGGTAAGCTGCGGTCCGCGAGGGGGGAGAGTCTGCCGCCTTAGGCTGTACGAGGGTTTCCTCTCGCACCCTACCTGGTTTCCTTTCCGTGTTTCCTGCTCGTTTCCCTACAACACCCTCTAGTTTCCTCGGGAAACCCCGGGGAAACTCCGTGGAATTCGTCATTTTGGGGGGGCTCTGAGCCGTGTCTGAGGCTGTTTTGGGGCCAAAATCGGCAAAATACCGGGTATTTTGCGGGTATACCTGGAAAACCCCGGTATACCTGGAAAATACCTGGGTATCGTGCCGATTTCCTCAATTTTGCCCCAGATTTTGCCCCAGACCAGCTCTCAGACTCAGGGAAACTCGCGAGTTTCCCGAGGGAAACTCGAGAGAAACAGAATGGAGCACCAAACACCCTCTGGTTTCCCTGGAAACTTCCGGAAACGCAAAGTGCTGGGGACCCTCTGGTTTCCCTCTGGGTTGCCGGAAACCCTCGTACAGGCCAACTGCCGCCGAGTCGGGGGAAGTAGGAAGACGCACACACGCCTCCATCCACTCCACTCAGAACACCGCAGACTTGGAAAGTGACAAGTGGTCAAGTGCGCGCGCCGCAGGCGAAGAGAAATGTTGAGCTGGGGCTCCCGTTCACACTCGTGTCTGGCCTTTTCTCGGGGCCGCGCCTGCGGCGCGCCGTGGTTTCTTAGATTTTTGCGAAAATCGCTCGGCGTGGTTTCTTAATGGTAAGGTTTCTCAATGCCCGCAACCCACTGTATAGGAAACGGTGACTTCCCCGCTATTTACACCGGTAGGAACCGGTGTATTCTTTTTTTGCTTGAAGGCCTGCGCACAGCCTCTAACTATCAGATATAAATAAGAAGTGCAAGTGGCCCCCCGCGGAGCGCTGGGAAAAGGACCGCCGCAAGCGGCGTGGCGTGGGGCGGTTGAGCATCCCTCCGGGGGCCCCTCTGCGCCGGGGAGGCGTTGTTGGAGGCTAGGACGCAAGCGTCCGTCACCTTTTTCAAACTCGGGTCCCACTCGTCCGCCGCTACGCTCCGACCCGAATTTGGAGGGCCATGAAGTTTAAGGTGTTGCTGCGCAAAAGGGGCGGGGCGCGCGCGCGCGCATGGCAGGCCGAGTATGCTCGGCATATGGTGAACCCGCGATGGCGGTCCCGCTTTTCCGCGATCATTTCGTCCGTCCAATCGAAGGAAGCGCCGGATCGCCCATGTTATGGAGTTAGCCTTACCGTTCTTCGTCTCAGATTCCGTGATTTTTGCACGGTATTCGGATTTTCGCTATTTGGTCGTGTGGGTGTGTACTCCGGGATTAGTCAATGGTACCGCGTCGGCGACGCGGGCGCCTTGCGGGCAGAGCCCTTAGCCACCTTTTGTCTTGCGCGGTCAAAACACACTAAATATGTGCTAAATATGCACTAAATTTGCGCTAAAGTCGCGCTATATACGGCACTCGAACACACACGAAAACTATCAGTAAAGTTCATTCACAGCCTTGTTTTGAGAAGAAGTACGTCGCTGCTTCTGTGCAGTCACGCCAGTCCCGACACTACGAACGAAACTACTCTCTCCCAGTCCCGTGATGCCGAAAATGCTCCACTCGCCCCAGCCGCCTTGGCAACCGGGGCGGCTCTCCGCCTTCACGTGCGCTCGACTGTCGGATGCGTGCCTCACACTGCACGAGCCGTCACCCAGTTGCTCGAGCTCCTGCGCAAAATCGGACCGACCGTTTCGCATTGACGGGCATGGACACAACGCCGAGGCTGAGATCAATGCAGCAATCGGTGCCTTGTGGCACCTCGCCGACCCGTTCGACAGCTTCAAGCTCCGGCATTTGGAACGGGACCTGTTCGCAGTGCAACGCATAACCGCAAAGCGCCGGCGTCAGCTGCATCGGGCGCGTGCAGCCGGCGAGGAGCTGACAATGATCTGGCCAAACTGGGAGGCGGGCTTCGGCGATCCGTACATGTGGACGGTAATTCCACTCGGGTACACGATGGCGCAAGGTCAGCTGCCCAACAGCACGCTCGCCATTTCCGGCGCATTATATCCCCGGCTGTACGAGCCGCTGCGTCGGACTCGCCAAGTCTGCACGTTTGAGCGTAACGGCAGCTACGTCTTCCGAGGTACAAACAACGGTCAAGACAATCGCAATCGCAAAGGTCCATTTGCTGTGCATCACGCCATCGACCCGCTTCCGCGCTGTGCCTCCGCATGCTACTCCCGCATCTCCCTCTGTTTGCCGCCGCACGTCGAGGGCGAGCACTCGTGGCTCGGCGTGACGACGCTCGACGCGCAATTGGGCTTCCCAATTCCGTCGCTCAGCGCCTCGCGACTCTCAGCGACGCACGGCGTGCTTCACTTGCTCTTTGCAAAGCGCAACTCAAGCCACGGCCGTTCGCTACAAAATATCGACGCGCTCGTGTCGACCTGCCCCGAAATCAGGCTGCCCTCGGGCTGGCGTGTCCACTGTCGCACAAGAGTGCTCGGCGAGCTACCGTTGGTGAAGCTGGTGCGCCTCATGCGGCGGACCGACGTCTTTGTCTCGATGCACGGGGCTGATGTCATCAACGGCATGCACATGCTACCGGGTCGCACAGTCATAGAGGTGGTCAACTACGGCTTTCACAAGGCACCGGATAGCCCGCCTTGGTACTTTTTGAACTGCTTCTCCCGGCACTTGGTTCCGACGTTCAGGCACAAGCGGCTCGTACTTCCCAACCCCTATCGAAACGAGCCGACCTTCGATGAAGCGTGGAATCGAGACGCCGAACTGCCAGCACAACTCTTAGGTAAGGCGCTTCGCTCGGTGGTGCACGGAGATGGCAGGCGCATCATTGTGGGAGCAGCTAGCACAGGCACGGATATCCTCTGCGGCTATCCACCGGGCTTGACGAACTACACGTGCGACTGCCGAGCACGAGTGGCGACGGCCACTGGGTGTGTGGTGTCGCTCGTAGAGCAACGGAGCAGAGCACCATGTACGTACGGAGTCAGCTTCGGCTGCTACCCTGGCAAGCCCACGCTAATGTGGACGCGTCTCTGCCGTGGGAGGTTTCGATGCGGTGTGGATTCGCCGGTGTAGTTACACAGGCCTGGACCCAGGAAGGATCCGGAATACCCATCGCCGGTGTCATCATCTGTCAGCTTCCAAACTCGCGCCGTTTTATCGTGCGACGCCGTCACAACATGCCGACCATCAGGAGTCAGCACCACCGAGCTCACGCAGGCAAAATGACTTGTCTGGCGGCCATTTGAGGTATACTCTCCACTGAGCAACGTGCGACGGTATTCACCATCGGACAGCCGCCAGACACGCGCCGTGTAGTCCGACGACGCCGTCACAATGAGCTTGCCGTCCGGGCTCACCGCTGCGAGAACACCGTTTCCGTGTGCCCGGTCAGCGTTCGAATACGCCACGAACCGTCGGACAACTGCCAAATGCGCGCAGTTGTCAGCCGAGGGCGTCACTATGCAAGCGGTCCTTTGCCTCTCCATGAAGCGGTCGATTTGGCCGTTGGCCCGCCTTGTCCCCCTCAATGCTTGCCGCTCGTCCCCCCCACCCCCCCTCCTCGACTGCATTCCCTTTAGATACTGTCCAAGGCGAAAGTCTGCCCAGGTTGCGGAGGGCACGATCCCGGCGTGAGCACGACTAACTGACGGATCCGCTCCTGACAGTCGCACACTGCGGCGCGTGCGACTGTCTTTGTTTGAATGAAGTTAAAAGTCGAATCAGAGCGGCGTCGGCGCTGCGGCCCTCCGTTTTCCTCCCCTGGTCCCCCGTCCGGCACCGATCCGGGACGCACGCCGGCGAAGCACCGTCAAGCTGCTGTACGGCCCCGGCATCGCCTCCCCTGGCTTAGCTAGACTGAGAGATATTGTGCACATGGTCAGTCTCTACAATATACTCACTGACACTCCACCTTCCAGAGCTCGTCCTGGTCCGCCACGGCCATCCTCGGCCTCCGGAGGGCCCCCGGCCGCGGCGCGGTGCGGCGGCGTCACAAATCCGACGGCAGAGCACCGGGAGACGCGGTCGGGCGATCTAAGGCCCAGTGAGGCGTATGCATTGCCTATCCAGGGCTATCACCTGGACCTATCAACAGGCGCCTGCGGCGCCGTGGTCAGAAGCTGCTGCTCCCACCTGTTCACACTTTCATAGTGGACAGTACATACTCTTGTTTCGCCCCGGGATTAGCTTCGGGGCCTCCGGCATATACATTGGCGTACATTGGAATATACTGGAGACGACCCAAAATACAAGCTAATGCTGGCGAGGTACTCCCACGCCTCTCGGGGTTTTTGTCTGGCCGAGCTGGGGCGAGCCTCGGCGAGACTGCGTCAGCTGTTCCCACAGCAGGCTGGAAGTACCTCGCCAGAGCTAATGATATATCCGGATTGCATTGCTTTTGCTTCCGCGAGGAACCGGGATGGCGACGGGCACTCTCCCGCGACTCTGCATCGCGGGGCCCTCGACTCAGGTCTCGCTCGTCTCGCTGGACTACAACGCCACAGCCGACTCGGTGCAACGGCGTGCGACAGCAGGGCTCCCCGACTTCGTGATGGAGCACCGCTCGGGCACGCACCTGTCCGCCGCCGAGCTGCAACGTCCGCACGGCCACAGGCACCCCGGCCTGTGGGCTCACAGCCTGACACCGTGCAATCCCTGCGGACCCTGCAGGTCCAGAGACAGACGAGGACGCGATCGAGCTCCTGCGGCGACTTCGTCAGCTGTCTGAGAGGCGAGAGCTGCGGCTGGCCGACGCGTGCCTCGTGACCAGGCACACCGCAGAGTATGGCGCCGGGTCGTTCCTCCACTCCCTCGTGCTGCCGGTTGGGCAGCAGGAGGAGTCCATCTGTCCGTCCGCCACGTCGTATGCACACCTGCCGGTGGATAGGTGCTGCAATGCCTCGTGCAGAATCGCACGCTCCTCGCGCCGCGGCTTGCGCTCTGGGCGCCGCTGGGCTGCGCGGCACAGGATCTCGCCTGCTACTTTGACAGCCTGCCCTCCGCCACCGCCTTCACCATCGATGAGAGAAGCGGCGTGCTGCGGCGGCGCGAGGGCGAGGGCGAGGGCGAGGGCTTTCTGAGCCCTCGGCGGCCGCGGAAAGAGCAGCCGAGCGAGGAGCAGCCGCTGCCGTCGGGAGATCCGGATGCGGCGTGGATTGGCCGCCTCAATCGCGGGCTCTTTGACGAGGGAGAGCAGCGGAGGATCAGGGCGTACCGGCGGCGGCGGCGCAACGGCGGCCTCCACAAGCTGAGCCTTGACGCGAGCTACTTCCAGCGCTTCCAGGAGAGCGAGCTGCTCGAGCGCGTCGAGCGGCGCTTCACCCGCCACGGCCGCTTCTGGCTCTTCTCGCAGATCCTCCACTTTCTCACGCGGCCAGGGGCGCGGCTCGACGCAGCGCTCGACGCTGCGCGCAGCTCGCTGGGGCTTCGCGCGCCCTACCTCTCGCTGCACGTGCACACACACTCCTCCCTCTCCCACCCTCTCGTTCTCTGCCCTCCGTTCTCACCTTGCACGCTCTGGAAGCCCACCCCTAAGGAAGCTTGGAACCGCCCTCTGCGCAGGTTCGCCTGGGCGACGCGTGCACGCACCGCGGCGACTGCCGAGACCTCCGCCACTACTTGCCCCTAGCCCGGCGGCTGGTCGCCCAGTATGGCCTCCGCTCCGTCTACCTCTCCACGCCCTCGCAGAGCGTCGTCGACTCGGCGCGCGCTCTCGCGTCGCAGCTGAACGTGGCGCATGCGCCAGTCACGCCGACGGCGGCGCGGCTCGCGGCTCACGGCCTCGTCCGGATCGAGCAGGGCTTGGTGCGCGGCATCGTTGACGCGGGGCGCGAGTTCCAATCCTATATGGTGGACATGCACCTGCTGAGTGAGGGCAGCGCCTTCCTCGGCAGCTTCTCGAGCAACGCTGCAAGGCTTGCACCGACCCTTCGCCCACCGCCCCTTTCCGGCCTCCTCCCTCACCACCGCCCCCTGCCGTCTCAGATTGGCATATTCCCTCATGAGCAGCGGCGGCGCGGGGTGTCTCCGACCATTCCTCTCGACGGACATCAACTGGTGCCACGCCTTCTTCAGAGGCGGCCCCGCCGTCATCAGGCGCGATGGCGAGCCCGCGTGGCTGGACATTGGTTGCTAGGGATTAGAACTCAGCACGAACGACAGTAAGTAAAGTGGCGTTCTCTCATCATGCCTGCCATGCCTACTCGTCTGGCTCTTCGGCGGCTAACCGAAGGAAATTCACAGCTCGATCTTGGTTGGTCGTCTAGCGTTTCAATTGCTTCGTTACGTCGTCTGTCAAGCCGTTTCGCCGCCGCGTCTCAAGTTTGACAGGCTTTCGCCACTGCATGCCTTGGTTCATGGCGACGCGGGCTACCGGGCGGGGCTTAGCGGGCTCAGTGGAGTGCATGCGATGCGCGGTATACACATTGTCAGCACGTCGTAGTGTTCTTCAGCACTCCACTCTGTCAGCACATCGTACGTAGTAGTTCCTTGTCGCCAATGCACTTTCCTGTCTCCACTCAGCACCCAATCTTGTAGCCCCCCGCTACGCGCTACCCGGTTGCACTCGTGCGACGTAGCGGGGGGCCACGACTACGTTTACGAAAACCACCAACCAACCACCCTCTGCTGGTCGACACTGCGGCCCCCCCGCGAGGATTCAAACTCCTTTTTGCTTGCTAATACTCGAACATTTTTTTCAAACTCGGAGGAGGAGGCTGGAGGGGGAGGGAGGGTCCCCCCCCCGACTCCACCTCTGGTCGTCCGCGTCCAAACACGCGCGTCCAAAAGCCCTCGGTCGCTCACGCAAGTCGTGATCCTCCGAATGCATTCGCGGCTGTTTCGATCGCCGCGCACTGCGTCGCGACTCTGGCATCGAACTGCGCTCACGCGCCGATGTGAGCAAATGGCTGCATTCGCCAGCAATGCGTCTGATGAAGCATCTGCCGCCGCGATGGAGATCGAGCCGCGATATCTTGCGGACCATCGCGCCTCTGTGGACGAGGCTTTGCGGAGCGCTTGGGATGATCATAGTGGATTCGAACTTGCAGAGGACATTTTTGGCAGGTCCGACGGCATTCCAACCGCTCGCGATTTCCGTTCAGTCGTGAGCACTGGGTTTGGAGATCCCAGCACGTATGGCGAGGTCACTCCAGCGGGCGCCCGTACCCTAGCACGGGCTTTGGACATTGACTCCCCAGATGCTGACGACGTGGTGTTCATGGACCTCGGCAGCGGCGTCGGCAAGCTGGTGGTGCAGGCCTTCTTGGAGTGGCCCAGCGTGCGCCGAGCTGTCGGAGTTGAGCTATCCTCATCGCGCTCGGCCCATGCTCGTCGTGCTTGGCAGCACCTGCTTGACTCAGGCGAGGCCAGGAGGCTCAGGCAGGCTGCGTTGGCTCATCAGCCACGGGCAGGACGCACGCGAGACATTTCACTTGACATGATGGGAGATCTAGATTTGCTTGAAGCAGACCTGTTGGAGGCTGACGTCAGAGACGCCACGCACATCTACTTATCTTCCTTGTGCTTTGGTGATGACTTGATGGCCCAGATCGTGCACAAGCTAAAGGCGGAAGCTCGGCGCTTGCGCAGAATCGCGTCGCTGCGCTCTTTGCCATGCAGTCGCGAGGCCGGCTTTCGCTACACGGGAGACGTGGATGTTGAGATGACTTGGACGGGCGCGCAGGGGTCGGGGGTGTGTCTTTACGACGTTCTGAGGTAGCGCCCCGCCTGGAGTGTGAGGTGCCAGGGCGGGGGTGCCAGACTAGCGCGGCAGCTGGCCTGCCATACTACTACTCGTGTCCGGGTCGTCCCCTTCTAGCATTCTGGTGCTGGGGCCGGACTGCACGATTGTGTCCCGCGGGAACCTCCTTCTGTCGCGGCCACTTTTTCTTTTGATGTGCAGTAAGAGGTCAGGTAAGGTAAGGAAAGACAAACTCCTAGCCCCATTGGAGGAGAAACCAAAAGGGAGGAGGGTCTCAAGTCGTAGAGCTTTGGGACGGCGCTGACTCGCTCTCTCGGCGGCCGGCGCTGCGGCGCATGACGTTCGCTTTGTCCTTTGAATAATCTTGCCAGTGGCCGGCTCGGCGGCTGGCCGTATCCCGCCCCTACTCGACCCCCCCCCCCCCCCCCCCCACACACACATGCGACCGACCCCACCCTCCTTCCCCGACCCCGCCCTAAACGCCCCCGACAGCGAAGCCCGCGCCGCGCGCGGCACCCCCACCGACTCTACCTCCGACCCCAGGGCCTAGGCGGCCCGCCATGAAATCTAGCCGTGTGTGCTGGCGTCCGGGTCCCAGCGGGTTTTCACGTAACAAGTACACACACACACGCCCGCCGCCCACCCACCCCACCGCACGGCAACCCACCCCCCACCTCGAGGAGAAGGCGTCGCCTCCCCTGCCGAGCCTCTCCAAGCAACTAGCGACAGCATACGGTTTAGCCGCAAGCGAGTAGACGGTGCTCCAAGCGAGTGACGCGGCCATGAGACGCCTTTGCGTGCTCAGCGCCGGCATCATGTGCGCGTGCGCCGACCAAGCTGCCGTCGACGCGCATGGCAGAGCGGAGCCCAATGATGCCGCCGCCGCTGCCGACGCGAACGCGCGCGTCTTCACATCGGAGGAGCTAATCGAGGCTGCCGCGTCCAACGAGACGCTCTATGCAGTCGTGGTGGGTCGTGTCTTCAACGTGACGTCCGGCGCTCAGTTCTACGGGTCTGGGGGCGGGTACCGCGGGTTTGCGGACGGAAGGGATGCCTCGCGCGCCTTCCTCGACACCGACTTTGACGCGGAGGGGCTCGACGACCTCGGGAATCTCACCCTCTCGCAGTGCCTCGAAGTCAACCACTGGGTCAACTTTTACGCGACGCACGAGACCTACTCGCTCGCCGGCGTGCACGCGGGCCGCTTCTACGACGACGGCGGCGCGCCGACCGACGCGCAGCGCGACTTTGAGGCCTGCGTGCACGAGGCGGACGGCAGGAGCGCAGAGCTGCAGCAGCTGGCCAAGGAGGTGCCAAAATGTGCATGGCAGATGGGCCCGCCGCGAAGCGTCTCGTGCGTGCCGCCCCGAGTGCCGCTTCGGATCGAGCTGCCCGACGAGGCGGCGCAGTGCTGCTGCATCCACCCCGACAGCCTCGCACCGAGGCTGAGCGGGCGCGAGGCTGGCAACTTGCGCCCGCGGCCCTACTCGTCCTTCGGTTGCACCGAGACCGAGTCGGTCTGCGAGATGGTGCGCAAGAAGCCCAACCGACCGTCCAGCGCGAGCGACTAGTCGTCGAGGCTCGGATGGACTCGTGCGATGTGCCGCGCGCGCGCAGCCAGAGCGAGAGAGGGGCGTGGGGGGTGCCGTGCCAACGGCCACACGGCCAGCGCCGCCCCGGCGCACACAGCCCCCGACACAGGCCCCGCGCCCCGCGGACCCACACAGATTCGCGTGTGCGGCAGAACCTTTGATCACTGCCGGATGCGAGAATTTTGTTTTGGGGTGAGAGGGGTAATAGCCCTCAGCCCTCTAACGTCGTGCTTTCCACCAAAGCACGCACGCCGCACGCCTGACCGAGCTCACCACGTGCGCCGCGTGTCCCGCTTTATGGTCTCGATCCAGCCCTCGAGACGGTCTAACCGGCGTAGGTCGAATTGGGCGTCCTTCCAGAGCACCTGAAGAAGCGGGGCCGGGGGGGCGGGGGGGTGCAGGTGAGTCTAGATGGTGGTGGGCAAGAGGTTTCTCTTCTCCGCTCTGCGGCTGCCACCTTGCGCTGCTCGAGCTTTGCGACGCGGTACACCTCGTGCAGCCGAGCGCGCTCCGAGACAAGGTGCGCGGAGAGCGCCACCAGCTCTGCTGAGTCCCACACCTCCAGCTCCGCATACTTGACCCGCTGCCACGGAGGGCTCACCGGAAAGCTCTGGGATGTCGTCACAGCCGCGGAGCTATTCTCAGCAGCAGTGCTTCGCAGCCGGTGCGCCGGCACGAACCCAGCAGGCCCGAGCCCCCGCGCCCGTGTCGCGTTGAGGCCTTTGAGTACCCGTGCTGCGCCTGGCAAGCCGCGCAGCATATACACACACACACACATACATGAGAGAGAAGTCGCAAGAAAAGAATTTTTCGCCGCCTCATCTTTTGAAGCGCCGCGAGCACGCACGCGGAACGAACGCGGACGCACGGCACACACGCTCCAGGACCAGTTCCAGCCCACCATCTCGCTTATCGCATGTCGCACACAGAGCGGCACCTTGAGCTCGGCTACGGGACCGGCCCCAGCTTCGGCTGAGGGCTGACTGACAAGCTGCCGAGCCCAAATCATTGTGAGTGATTTCCTTCTTGAGCCGTCACACAGGGCGGCCGTCATACCATCGCCTTCTTCGGGGCCACTCGCTCCAAGTCGCTAACGCGTAGGAAGGTGCGAGGGGGGTAGAAGAGGACAATGGCGAGCGTCGCGGCCAGGAGCCTATAAGAGCAGTACATACATGGAGCTCATCCACTTGGACCTCAGCCGTCTCGACCGTGTGTGCTAGAGCATACCCGCACAGCCACGTGATGGGCTTCGAGCCAATGTCAACTGTGCAGACCACCTCCTTGCCTGATTGCGGCACCGCGCATGGGCTCAGCTGCCGCATGAAAGGGCGCGGGCTCGAGGGCGCGGGCGATGTGGGCGAGGTGCCTGGTGACCCCATGTCGGGCTCAAAGGTACATATCATCAACAGGTTGAAGGCGGAATTGTTCAAGTACTCTGTTGCGCGTCTCGGTGGCTCGTGCCAGGAGGGCGTCTCCGAGTCCAGATCGAAGGAGTCGGGAATGCCGTCCCGGTCATTATCCACCTTCATCACCTCCTCGTTGAGAGCCTTGCCGGGATACCAGCCGGGTCCGGAGATGTGTTTGCCCAGATACCAACGGTCCGGATCGTCCGAGTCGCGGGAACGGGAGAAGTGGAGAGCCTCAGCAGCTTGGGCTCTGTGCGCCTCTGGGCTCTCACGCAGGAACGCGTTGCTCCCATCCGAGTTGAGCGGTGCTGCGAGGCAAGCTGTCATTGCCAGCATGATTGGCAAGCCGTCTTTAGGGCGGGATTCCCAGGGCGCTGCGCACCAGCTGCACGCGGTGAGGGGCTCCCGCACGACTGCGTTCCGTCGCGACGACGGGCCGGCGACGGAACTGCCGATACCAGATCGAAAAGAGAATTTTACGCGCCTGCCAGTGCGCGCCAGTCCCGTGCCCAGTGTTGTGCGAAAAGAGAATCCGCGCATTAAAAGATGTCGCAAATTTTAGACAAATAAATAATCGGTGTGTCCACCGACACATTTTAGACAATAGGGACATGGCCACTGACTCGAGTGGAGAGAGAGAGAGAGAGAGAGAGAGAGAGAGAGAGAGAGAGAGAGAGAGAGAGAGAGGCGCGGAGAGAGAGAGGAGACACACTCACACACGCAGCTCACAGGAGGGAGAGGAGGGAGAGGGAGGGCTGGGAGGGAGGGAGAGAGGGAGGGAGAGAGGGGGAGAGAGACTACTCTGCAAGCACAAGCAGGTCTCGTGCGTGCCTCTCACAGCGCGCGTGCACACACGCAGCTCGAACGCGCGCATACAGCGAGCGGGCGCTCCGCCGCGCTCATTGGACCGACACAAGCACGCGCTGGTCGGCCTTGATGGGCATGCCTGCGTCGGCCTCCGACGAGCACGACGAGCTCGGCTCGACGAGCTCGACAAGGGCGCCGGCCTCCTCCATCGCGCGGATCGCCGCCACGTCCGCCGCGACGATGGCCGGGTCGTCGTGGCACTGGATCGCGAAGCCCATTGCGGTGAACAGGTCGACAGTGCGCACGAGCCGCCTGCCGACGGCGACGTCGACCGACACCTGCATGTGCTGGAAGGAGGGCAGCGCGCGGACGGCGTCGAGCGGCGCGAGCGAGGCGATCGTGCCCTCGGAGCGGCTGACGAGCTGCGTGAACTGGCCGGCCGCCTTGAAGGGGCCGTAGCGCCCGGGCAGAGCCTCAAAGGCTGCCGCGTCGAGGGCCGCGTCGGCCGCTGCGTCCAGCTGCGAGTACCCTCCGGTCAGGGCGCGCGCGAGCGGCGCCCACACGCCGTCGGCGCCGTGCGCGCGGCAGTTCATCTCGACGAGGCACGGCCCGTCCGCCGTGAGCATCACTTCCGCGTGCGAGGCGCCGTGCTTGAGGGAGAGCGCGTCGAGGACGCCGCGCGTGTACGCGACCAAGCCAGCCACCTCGGGCGCGTCGGATGGGACGGGGACCATGCTGAAGAGGACAAAGTCGCCGCCGTTGCACGGCCGGCGGTCGTACTTCCAGATCATCACCAGCTTGTGCTCGCCGTCACGCGACGCGTGGTCCACCACGTACTCGTCGCCCGCGAGAAACTCTTGACAGATGACTGCGGCGCCCACCGAGCCGACGCGGTGCTGCGCGTGCATGAGGACCTCAAAGTGCGCCTCCGCCTCCGCCTTGGTTGCGCACTTCTTGACGCCGTCGCTGCCCGCCGACTCGGTCGGCTTGACGATGATCGGGTACTGCTCCGAAGAGAGGAAGGCCTGCACGCACGCGTCGTCGACAGACGTGCCCGACGCCTCTCGTGTGGCGCGGAGGCCGGCGGCGCGGACGGCCTTCTGCTGCCAGGACTTGTTGCGCCGCTGTGGCTCGACGCCGTTGGAGCGGAGGTTCAGGGCCGAGGAGAGGGCATCGGCGCAGAGCACGCCTGGCTCTCCGCCTGCAAGGCACGCCACGAGCTCGGTCTTCGACTCGCTCACGACCTGCTGGACCTGAAGGGCGAGGCTCTCGATCCCGTCGGATCCTTCCTCGAGGACGGCGAGCCACGAGAGGTGCTTCGCGATGTCGGGGACGTGCGTCCGCATCTCGCCAACCTCGCTGGACCAAACGCAGATCATCTTGATGCCGCGGGAGTGAAGCTCGGCCGCCAAGGCGCCGCCGGTGGAGATCGGGTCGACAATGATCACGGTGGACATGACCTGTCGTGGGGATTGAAGGGTGGTGGTTCGCTGGGGTGCGGCAGGCTGCTGGTGAATGCGGCGGGGCAGGCGCACTCGAGCGACGAGGACAGGCTGTCGGCAGACGCGAGGCCTTTCCGGCTTGGGGGGTGTAACAACAAGGCGGATGAGATCCTTGTCCTGATTTGGTGTTTCCTTGTGTAACTTCCGGCCGGCGTCGGCGAATGCGAGGACGTGCCGGAAGAGTTTTTAGCTACAAACCGCTTCTAGCCCACCGCCGTTCCCAAGAAAGTCGCGCGCGGCAAAAAGAAAGAAAGAAAACGACAACACAAGGGAGGGAGGGATGGGAGAACGGCACGCCGCCACCACACAGGGATTTTAACGCGACAGCGTCGACGCGTCGCAGCACTCGCTCTCTTTTTTATGTCCCACCATGCAGAGCGCGTCTCTCTCTCTCTCTCTGTGTGTGGGGGTGCCGTTCTTGCACGCCAGCACGGCGGGCCGCGGGCGGCGGCGCTGGAGCAGGCGCAGCAGGCGGCAGAGCTGAAGCGCGTATGAGCTACTGCGCGGCCGGGGAGCAGGCGGCGGAGGAGCTTCGACGCCATCTCTCCAAGCCATAGCGGCGGCGGCGGCGGCACGGTCTTCGGTCCCCGCAGGAAGCCCCGCGCATAAGACAACAACGTCTGTCCCACACACGCAGAGACCCCCCACCCACATACACCATGCAGCATGCTCGGGCACGGGGCACCCCCCACACACAGTGTAGTGGTGAGCACACAAGTAGTAGGTAGAGGGCCCAACTTGAGAATCGTGCTTTTTGGTGAGGGACCAAAGCGCGAAGGACCACTTTTGGGTTAGGGACCGCGAGCGACAGGTTAGGGACCGATCGCCACCGCTCACGCCAGCGGACGGCCACCATCTGTGTTTTTGGCTTCGCCACCGTCCAAAGCGTGCGCAATGCGCTCGCCGACATCGAGCGAGCTCGCCTCTCCGAGGAGCGGCTTGCTGTGCGGACGCCTTCTTGTGGCTCTCTCGTCGAGAGCGTTTTGCGGCCCGGCGGGTGGGAGAACATGTGTCGTTTGAAGTGTCACTGTGTACGTCATATCAGTCTGGATAACAAGCACGGTCGATCCGTCAAAGCGATACACTCGTTCCTATCACGCTGGAAGGCTTGCACGGAGCTCTGTGCCGGCACACAGAAGAGCCGTGCGGCAAGAAGAGCTCGATGGGGAGCGAGAATCGCCAAAGGTGCTAACGGCTCCGTGCAAGCCGTCCAACGTGATCGTGACGAGTGTATCGCTTTGACGGATCGACCGTACTTGTTATCAAGACTGACATGAGGTACACAGTGACACATCAAACGACACATGTTCTCCCACCCGCCGGGCCGCAAAACGCTCTCGACGAGAGAGCCACAAGAAGCCGTCCACACAGCAAGCCGGTCGGTCGAACACGTTGCTCGCTCGATGCCGGCGAGCGCATGTCGCACGAGGCAGACGGTGGCGTAGCTAACATCACTGACGACGGCCGTCCGCTGGCGTGAGCGGCGGCGATCGGTCCCTAACCTGCGGTCCTTCACCGTAATCGGTCCTTCGCCTTCATCCCTAACCCAAAAAAGCACGATTCTCAAGTTGGGCCCTCAGGTAGGTAGGTAGGTACTAGATAAAAGGTCGACTCCACACAAATCCGAGACGGTGATGGGTGCGTCGTACGATGGTCTCAGGCCCAGTGAGGTAGTGCATCTGACTATCCCGGATCCTGCTGACCAAGCTCCTCTTGTAGCTCGATCGGTCACACCGCCATCGCCGTCGGGAGAGGGGGGACGACACTGCTTCGGCAGCGTGCACCTCGATCCTGTACCGTGTTTGTTATGACCCCCCCCGATGAACACACCAGTGAGGGAGGGCGAGACGATCGAGGGGTCCCGTACCATGCGGAATCGACCCTATCCAGTGCTCAAGTGCTCAAAAGGTCGCCTGCTCAGAAAAAAACGCACGCCCTCCAGGCGCGCCACCGACACACCGACCGATGCCCCGGTCGCTGACGCGTAACTGCCTCCGAGCCCGAGCAGCGCCGCCGTGGGCTCGCTCTTGGCTTAAGGCGAGGCATTCCTCAGCATCGGCCGCCGTAGCTCCGCCGCGCCGCGCAGGCGGTGGCGGCCCTCCGGGACGTCTGGCAAGCGCGGCACGGCCATTTCCCTCAGCGAATGCCACTGAGGGAGCAGCTGCCGAGGGCCTGGGCGCCTGGATGCGGCGGCGGCGGCGAATTCCGCTTCTCGGACGCCTCTCGCCGAGCGAGATTTGCGGCCACGCGGCGTTTGTGCTCTCCGGTTCAGCCTTCCTGGAGCCAGAGATCCTGCAGCTGCGCGTGCTCTCCGTCTTTGCGGGCAGCGCCACCCTACTCTTCACCTACTTCCACCCCATCGGCTCTCCACTCTGGCTCCCGTTTCGGTGGAACATCGTCTTTGTGCTCATCAACTCGGCGTACATCACCAAAATCCTCGCGGAACGGCGGCGCGCCGAGCAGCTGCCGCAGCAGGCGCTCGACGTTTGGCGCGACGTGTTTCAGCCGCACGGGATGTGCAAGGTGGAGTTCGACGGGCTGCTGCACGCGGGCACGTGGACGACACTGCGCAAGGGGGCGGTGCTGCAGGAGGAGGGCAAGCCGTCCAACTCACTCTTCCTGATTGTGTCTGGCGGCGCGACCGTCTCGCGCGGCGGTGAGTTCACTCATTCGCTCGGCGAGCAGCAGTTTGTGGGCGAGATGGGCCTCTCTAGCGGCATCCATCTCGCTTCGCCCGTGCTCGGCGTCGCGCACGTCGAGACGAGCGAGCAGACCACAGTCCTAGTGTGGTCCCGCCGCGTGCTCTCCGAGCTGATGGACTCCTCCGACGCGCTGGCGAGCGGCATCCGTGGCGCCATCACCGCCGACGTGGTGCGCAAGACGCGGCGGCTCGAGCTCGAGGCGTCGAGCTCGACCAACACCGAGAGCGTGCAGCGGCACGGCGAGCAGATGGAGGAGCTGTGGAATGCGCGGTATGCTTCTATCATCGGCGCGCTCACCAGCGAGGGCAGCATCTCAGAGGAGCAACGCGAGCAGGTCCGCAGCTACCGCAACTTGCACCAGATCACCGGCGAGGCGCACGTGCGCGCGCTCGCCCTGCAGGGCTGGTCAGCTTCCGAGTTTGAGGCGGGCGAGCGGGGGGAGAGCGCAAAGCCCGGGTCCGCCGCGTCAGCCGACACAGCAGGGGGAGGCGATGGCGCAGGTCTGGGCGGCGGCAGCGGCGGCGGCGCCTCGGCCTCGATGGGTGGCATGGTGCGGCGGCGGCGTGGCGGCAGCAGCGACGGGTTTGGCGAGCTGCGGGATGCGGCCTCGAAGACGCTGCTGGGCGAGGGGGTGCGGGAGGGAGTCAAGGCGCGCCCGCGCGGCGAGGCGGAGAGGCGGCGAGAGAGACTTTGCGACCCGTCACTGCAGTGTGACACCCAAAGGTGTTGGACAACGGTGACACGAGGGCTGGGGGTGTGAAGGGCATAACCATGGTTGCGTGCAGACAATGGAGATAGAGCAGCCCCGGAGCGGAGGCCCGCCCGGGGTATTCAGTGTGTCGCGGGCGCCTAATCGGGATTAATTCCCGTCACGCCATTCCTCTGCGCGCAGGCGCTCAACCAGCGGGTGGAGGCGCTGAGGACGGCGCACGTCGGCACGTGGGGCTCGGACGAGCCGCCGCTCGTCATCTGGGACGAGCGGAGGCAAAAGGTCGCGGCGGTGCAGGAGCGGCCCACCGCTGAAACCTGCCCCTCCCTCCGACTACACTTTTGTCTGTGGTGATGCCCTTCCCTGAGGACGCACACAACGCCTCGTGTGCAACGCCCTGTGCTCCGCGAGTGCGTGTGTGCCCCGTCGTCCATGCTAGGACGTGTGTAGCACTGACTGACTGACCCCTCACCCCCCGAGATCACCCCCCGAGATTGCCCGAGATTGCCCGAGATGGGCCAGAGGGTCCGTGCTAGGGCGTGTGTAGCACTGACTGACTGACTGGCGCAGGGGCGGCTAAACGTCTACTTTGGGACCGACGCGCTCGAGGTGGACGGCGAGTTCGGGCCGAGGAGCCTAGAAGCGGGATGGGGACCGCTGCAGTCCCAACTGGCACTCGAGAGGAGACGCACTCGGCTGTCTGCGGCCGTATTCAGCGGTATTCGTAGCCGCGTGTATTCACGCGGTGCTCCGAGTACGCGGCACGAGACCGTACTCCCGCCCAAAATGTTGGTGTACTCACACTATAGCTGCACTATAGGCCGCTGACGCAGCAATGCCTCGAGCTCTTCCAGGCGCGGATACAGCCGAGATGTAGCCGAGGTGCAGCCGAGATGTAGCCGAAGTGTAGCCCAGGTGGAGCCGAGATGTAGCCGAAGTGCAGCCCAGGTGGAGCCGAGATGTAGCCGAAGTGCAGCCCAGGTGAAGCCGAGATGTAGCCGAAGTGCAGCCCAGGTGAAGCCGAGATGTAGCCGAAGTGCAGCCCAGGTGAAGCCGAGATGCAGCCGAAGTGCAACCCAGGTGAAGCCGAGATGTAGCCGAGGTGGAGCCGAGGTGAAGCCGAGATGCAGCCGAGGGATGACGGCCGCCGTCGAGCTCTCGCAGGCGCGTGAGGCCGCTACGCGCTCGCTTTCTTTTCCCTTACAATCTCCGAACCTCGACACGTGCATGGAGCTTTTGGGCAGACCCCGCGCGGCCAGCGCGCCGCGCAGCTGGGCCCCGGTGGTCGCCAGGATGGATCTCGACCCCTCCGGCACGAGCACCGCGCTCCTCAGCGACTCGGCAGACTATGCCGAGGAGCGCGTTCGAACAGCGGTCAGCGCCCCGCCGAGATCTCGCTCTCTGAGTACATACACCCCACGATCGAGACCGCCGGTCGGCAGCCCTAAAACTGACTTTCCAGAGCTGCGGTCAGTCCTCGCCCAATAGATTGGCAGGAATGCGTACGGACGGACGAGCGAGCTGCCTGGAAATGCATGGACATGCATGAATGATGACGGGCAGGGCAGGCGATGGGTCGCACCCACACAAGGTGAGGCGCCGGTCTTCGAATGGATGGAAACCGGAGAGCTCAGGGCAACAACGCAAGATGAGACCGGAGCGCCGAGCCTCGCAACGGGCCCGGCAGACCGCGTCCGCTCGCTTTCTTTTATATATACAAAGGAGGGCCACACGAGGCCCTCTACGCTGGGGTGTCGGCGCCCTACTGGGCGCCCCCCACTCCCTTGCCCTTAGAGCCCCCCATCCCGCTTACCCCCCCCCCCCCCGCGCGGTCCCTCTCGGCCGCGCGACGCCCCGCACCAATGGCGCGCTGTGCCTCGTCCGCGAGCGCCGTCCAGAGCTGCACCGACAGTCGCTGCAGCGCAAACGGCATCCATTCGCGCGCCGACCACGACGTCTGGTCGTACTGCCACCACGTGAGCTTCCGGCCCGCCACCTCTGCCACCCGCATCAGCAGCTCCTCCACCCCCGCGCTCATTGCGCCGAACTCCTCGAAGAGCAGCGCCTCCACGTGGCACTTCCCCTCTGCGTCCGTGTACTGGCCCCTGACAGCCTCAACCGTCCCGGTCCCCGTCCGCCGATCCCACCTTCCCTTTCTTTTCGTGTCTTCTGTGCCACAGGTACGCTGCTTCTGCACCCCAGCCAATTCTTGGTGGTCCGTGCCAGTGAGTGTTGAGAGAGAGAGAGAGATTTTTAGCAATACCAAACAACTCTAACACTCATGGACTCTCACAGTGATTTGGGCTCGGAAGCTTGTTAGCCCTCAGCCGAAGCTGGGGCCGGTCCCGTAGCCGAGAGCCCGCGCCGTTGAGTTCGACGCGGTCGGGGGGCCTTGATTGAAAAAAGGGCTTGGCCAATTCCTGAGATAATTGGGCGATTATATCCATAAGGGATTTCATCCCTTTTTGGTTTGGAGATTCGTGTTTTCGGTTTCGGTTTTGGGTAAAACGTATACAGCACTCTTCGTCGCGATGCGGCCTACCAAAAAGCAAAGCTAAAAAAAGAAAGAAAACAGGGGACGATGGGAGGACGGCACGCCGCCACCACACAGGGATTTTAAGGAGAGGTGTGTGATGCGCTAGCCGTCGCCCACCCTTGGGTGTCCGCCTCTTCCTATCTCTCTTCGCAGTCTCTCGCCGCTTCTCGCTGCAACCTTCATTCATGGGTTGATTCATGCCACCTCGCGGTCGTCCCACTCTCGTCGTTCTCCCCCTTGTCACTTCTTCCTCTGTCGCGTCGCTCTCTTCTGCCTCGTCCTGCGATGCCGCCGCCTGCCGGTCCCTTGTTCTCGCGGCTTCTTTCGCCTTTCGGCGCAACTCCGCCCTCCTCGCGGCATATCCTGGCCCCTCGAGTCTATCGAGCTCTCCTCGCATGGCGTCTCTTCACACTCGATCCGCCTGTCTGTTCACACCTTCTTTCTGCCCACTTCACAATGTGGCAGGGGTTCGTTAGCCCAGAAAAGAAGTTTAATAAAATACGCACACAAAAATGTTTTTATCACCCCCACGACGCCAGTCCGCTTGTGGCATCACTCCGACCCTTTTGCGCAGCAACACCTTAAACTTTCAGGCCCTCCAAATTCGGGTCGGAGCGTAGCGGAGTGGGCCCCGAGTTTGAAACAGGGCGACGGACGCTTGCGTCCTAGCCTCCAACAACGCCTCCCCGGCGCAGAGGGGCCCCCGGAGGGATGCACAACCGCTCCACGCCACGCCGCTTGCGGCGGTCCTCTTCCCAGCTCCGCTGAGGGCCCGTGCCTTGTTTGTTTGGATGAGAAATATCTTCCTTCATGATTTCTTCTTCTCCTTGACCTTGTCCGCCCGCCCCTTCACCGTACATCACACGGCCCGATTTCTTCTGGGGAGCCCAGTGCACCGTGCTGACGGGAGCACAGAGAAGGGAGGAGTAGAGGAGCAGCATTCGACAAGGAGCGCGGGAACAAGCGGTCCCGGGGTCCAAGGAACTCGTCGCCCCACCTCCCGCCGTTTGGTAAGCTTGCGCCTTGTGTATGCTGGATGGCAGCCCATGTGGCGGACGGCATGCACTGGGGTGTTCATGGGGTCCCGTACCATGCGGAATCGACCCTATCCAGTGCTCAAGTGCTCAAGCTTGTCGGGCTCTACCTCAGCCCTCAGCCGAAGCTGGGGCCGGTCGTGGGTCACCAAGAACTTTTCAGCAGGTACGGGGACCCAGGTTTCTGGCTACATTTCGAGGATCTTTAATTTTTTTGTCGGATCGTTAGAGGCTGCGCAGGCCGTCCCGTTTGCATGTGTTTGCCCATAAAACCAAAGCCCCGCCGCGCGCTGCGCGCGCCGGCGCTCTGTCTCATTCACGGGGGGTGCACACGGGGTGCGGGGGGGGGGGGGGGGGGCAGAGGGCTTGGAGGGGCCGCTGGCGCGGGAGGAAGGGGTGGAAGAGAGGGGAGCTGTGTTTCGAAGGAAAGAAGGGGGGGGGGGGGCAAGGAGGAAGCCGAGAGCGGAGGGAGGCGGCAGCGGAAGCGACGGCGGGGGTAATGGCGGGGGAGGGGAGGGAGGCGGCAGCGGAAGCGTCGGCGGGGGTAGAGACGGTGGGGGAGGCGATGGAGGCGAAGGGGGCGGAGGGCTCTAACCTGCGGCCCGGCTGCGGCCACAGCAGGGGACCCTCCGGCTGTCTGCGCAGCAGCGCCAGCGGCTGCGCAGACGAAGAGGTGAGCTGCCTCAGCCGAGGGCGTCCCGGTAGCGCCCTTGTGCTCCCCGCGCCTGCCGCAGCGTCGTCGGAAGAGAGGCGCCGCGTGCTGTTGGGCGTCGGCTCTGGCTCCGGAGACGGGGGCTCTGGCTCTGGCTCTGGCTCTGGAGACGGGGGCTCTGGCTCTGGCTCTGGAGACGGGGGCTCTGGCTCTGGCTCTGGAGACGGGGGCTCTGGCTCTGGAGACGCGGCGTCGTCTCGCGTTGCGCTAACGATCGCGGCGGCGATGCCAAACACAATCTCGAGGGCGGCGATGTTGACAGTCGAGCCGCGCCACGCCCACCACAAACCGGTGAGGGCAGCGCGGGAGTTTTGTGAGCGGATCACCCGCCGGCTGCCCCTCCCCAGCCCCTCGCGCCGCCGCGCCGCCTCGAGCAAAGCCGCGACTACCGACTTGGACCCCGGCCCCGTCCGGAAGATGATGACGCCCCAAAAACAGTTCACGAGCGTCTGCGCAGCGGTGCGGCTAATGACCAGCTCGTCTGTGGTACCACTTAGGGCCGTCCACGTCGGCAGCGCGACGGAATAATAGGCACAGAGGCAGCACAGCAGGGAGGCCGCCGTCAGCGTGCTGCGCTTGTCAGACGGCTGCAACGGCAGCAACATGATGGGAACCGAGGCCATCGAAATCGGAAAGAGCGTTACCAAGAGGCAGGGGGATGCGTCTGCGAGCACGCCCACCTCGGCCATGTTTAACTGGAGCAGAAGCTGGCTCCCGATGAAGAGCGCTGCGCCAAGCGTTAGCAGGGTCAGACTGACCCGGAGCCTGTGACGTCGGGTGACGACGGTGATCTCCTGCAGCCTGCGGTCGATGGAATTCTCTGCGCCCGGGGGCGCGCGCGAGGCGTCGCCAAAGGCGCGCATTTTTGTAAATGTCCGGGACGCCGCAGGCGCCCACCAAACGAAAAAGGCCGGCGCGTGAGGCCGCTACGCGCTCGCTTTCTTTTCCCTTACAATCTCCGAACCTCGACACGTGCATGGAGCTTTTGGGCAGACCCCGCGCGGCCAGCGCGCCGCGCAGCTGGGCCCCGGTGGTCGCCAGGATGGATCTCGACCCCTCCGGCACGAGCACCGCGCTCCTCAGCGACTCGGCAGACTATGCCGAGGAGCGCGTTCGAACAGCGGTCAGCGCCCCGCCGAGATCTCGCTCTCTGAGTACATACACCCCACGATCGAGACCGCCGGTCGGCAGCCCTAAAACTGACTTTCCAGAGCTGCGGTCAGTCCTCGCCCAATAGATTGGCAGGAATGCGTACGGACGGACGAGCGAGCTGCCTGGAAATGCATGGACATGCATGAATGATGACGGGCAGGGCAGGCGATGGGTCGCACCCACACAAGGTGAGGCGCCGGTCTTCGAATGGATGGAAACCGGAGAGCTCAGGGCAACAACGCAAGATGAGACCGGAGCGCCGAGCCTCGCAACGGGCCCGGCAGACCGCGTCCGCTCGCTTTCTTTTATATATACAAAGGAGGGCCACACGAGGCCCTCTACGCTGGGGTGTCGGCGCCCTACTGGGCGCCCCCCACTCCCTTGCCCTTAGAGCCCCCCATCCCGTTTACCCCCCCCCCCCCCGCGCGGTCCCTCTCGGCCGCGCGACGCCCCGCACCAATGGCGCGCTGTGCCTCGTCCGCGAGCGCCGTCCAGAGCTGCACCGACAGTCGCTGCAGCGCAAACGGCATCCATTCGCGCGCCGACCACGACGTCTGGTCGTACTGCCACCACGTGAGCTTCCGGCCCGCCACCTCTGCCACCCGCATCAGCAGCTCCTCCACCCCCGCGCTCATTGCGCCGAACTCCTCGAAGAGCAGCGCCTCCACGTGGCACTTCCCCTCTGCGTCCGTGTACTGGCCCCTGACAGCCTCAACCGTCCCGGTCCCCGTCCGCCGATCCCACCTTCCCTTTCTTTTCGTGTCTTCTGTGCCACAGGTACGCTGCTTCTGCACCCCAGCCAATTCTTGGTGGTCCGTGCCAGTGAGTGTTGAGAGAGAGAGAGAGATTTTTAGCAATACCAAACAACTCTAACACTCATGGACTCTCACAGTGATTTGGGCTCGGAAGCTTGTTAGCCCTCAGCCGAAGCTGGGGCCGGTCCCGTAGCCGAGAGCCCGCGCCGTTGAGTTCGACGCGGTCGGGGGGCCTTGATTGAAAAAAGGGCTTGGCCAATTCCTGAGATAATTGGGCGATTATATCCATAAGGGATTTCATCCCTTTTTGGTTTGGAGATTCGTGTTTTCGGTTTCGGTTTTGGGTAAAACGTATACAGCACTCTTCGTCGCGATGCGGCCTACCAAAAAGCAAAGCTAAAAAAAGAAAGAAAACAGGGGACGATGGGAGGACGGCACGCCGCCACCACACAGGGATTTTAAGGAGAGGTGTGTGATGCGCTAGCCGTCGCCCACCCTTGGGTGTCCGCCTCTTCCTATCTCTCTTCGCAGTCTCTCGCCGCTTCTCGCTGCAACCTTCATTCATGGGTTGATTCATGCCACCTCGCGGTCGTCCCACTCTCGTCGTTCTCCCCCTTGTCACTTCTTCCTCTGTCGCGTCGCTCTCTTCTGCCTCGTCCTGCGATGCCGCCGCCTGCCGGTCCCTTGTTCTCGCGGCTTCTTTCGCCTTTCGGCGCAACTCCGCCCTCCTCGCGGCATATCCTGGCCCCTCGAGTCTATCGAGCTCTCCTCGCATGGCGTCTCTTCACACTCGATCCGCCTGTCTGTTCACACCTTCTTTCTGCCCACTTCACAATGTGGCAGGGGTTCGTTAGCCCAGAAAAGAAGTTTAATAAAATACGCACACAAAAATGTTTTTATCACCCCCACGACGCCAGTCCGCTTGTGGCATCACTCCGACCCTTTTGCGCAGCAACACCTTAAACTTTCAGGCCCTCCAAATTCGGGTCGGAGCGTAGCGGAGTGGGCCCCGAGTTTGAAACAGGGCGACGGACGCTTGCGTCCTAGCCTCCAACAACGCCTCCCCGGCGCAGAGGGGCCCCCGGAGGGATGCACAACCGCTCCACGCCACGCCGCTTGCGGCGGTCCTCTTCCCAGCTCCGCTGAGGGCCCGTGCCTTGTTTGTTTGGATGAGAAATATCTTCCTTCATGATTTCTTCTTCTCCTTGACCTTGTCCGCCCGCCCCTTCACCGTACATCACACGGCCCGATTTCTTCTGGGGAGCCCAGTGCACCGTGCTGACGGGAGCACAGAGAAGGGAGGAGTAGAGGAGCAGCATTCGACAAGGAGCGCGGGAACAAGCGGTCCCGGGGTCCAAGGAACTCGTCGCCCCACCTCCCGCCGTTTGGTAAGCTTGCGCCTTGTGTATGCTGGATGGCAGCCCATGTGGCGGACGGCATGCACTGGGGTGTTCATGGGGTCCCGTACCATGCGGAATCGACCCTATCCAGTGCTCAAGTGCTCAAGCTTGTCGGGCTCTACCTCAGCCCTCAGCCGAAGCTGGGGCCGGTCGTGGGTCACCAAGAACTTTTCAGCAGGTACGGGGACCCAGGTTTCTGGCTACATTTCGAGGATCTTTAATTTTTTTGTCGGATCGTTAGAGGCTGCGCAGGCCGTCCCGTTTGCATGTGTTTGCCCATAAAACCAAAGCCCCGCCGCGCGCTGCGCGCGCCGGCGCTCTGTCTCATTCACGGGGGGTGCACACGGGGTGCGGGGGGGGGGGGGGGGGGTGGGCCGGGGCCGGGGCGGGGGCGCGCGCAGCGCGCGCGCTGCACCACACACCACACGGAGGCAAAGACGTGCCTATTCGTAGCCCGGGGCATCGATCTCTATTGGATAAAGAGGCCCCGTACCCCGCACACTGGAACCGGCGGTGCTGGTATTTCAACAAAGGAGGAAATTGACTCAAGCATAATACGCCTCTTCAGTCAAAAAACAAATTTACACGGCGGCGTAAAGAAATACATAGAGGGAAAAGTCGTGGCACTTCGTGTACGGCGACTCAGTCAGGACGTACGGGCGACGCTTCTGGACATGGCTCTCGCGACTGTCTGCACGGCCCTGGCTTACTCGTCTTACCGAGACGAGGTTCCCAACGGCCGGGCATTCAGCGGCGGCATGTACAGCAGCGTCGGCCACTCGGGCACCCAGGCTTCGCAGTTTCGTAGCGCCTTCTCGGCTGCAGGCTATCGCTGGACCACCGCACTGTGTGAGGCTGACTCCGACGGGGACGGGAAGTCCAACGGCCTTGAGCTGGGCGATCCGTGCTGCGTGTGGAAGGCTCGGAACGGCGTTGCGCCCTACACGTCTTCTGAGCTCACCTTGCCAGGCAGCGGAGTCGACACGACCTCCCGGATGTGCCCTACTTCGTCCAACTGCCCCTCTTGCTCGGATGGGGCGTCGTCTCCCCCCCCGCCGCCGCCGCCACCGCCACCGCCGCCATCGCCGCCACCGCCGCCACCGCCACCGTCTCCGCCGCCGCCGTCTCCGCCGCCGTCGCAACCGCCGCTGCTGCCACCGCCTTCTCCGCCGCCACCCTTGCAGCCGCCAACACTGCCGCCGTCCCTGCCACCGCCTTCCCCGCTGCCGCCAACGCCTCCGCCGCCCTCATCACCGCCGCCTCAGCCGCCGCCACCGTCCCCGCCGCCATCGCCCCCGCCGCCATCCTTCCCGCCCGGCATACCCCTCGGCAAGCCTCAGGCTCCTCCGCCGCCGCCCGTGTTGCCGCCACCCTCGCCGCCACCCTGGGCACCACCGCCCTCGGCACCGCCGCCCGTGGCACCGCCTTCTACCCCACGACCCTCACCACCTCCGCCTTCGCCACAGCCGCTGCCCCCACCTCCTTCTGAGCCGCCCTCGCCGCCGCCGCCCTTGCCGCCGCCGCCCTCGCCACCGCCGCCGTCTGTGCCGCCACCAACGCCGCCGCTTCCGCCGCCGCCGCTTCCGCCGCCGTCCGCGCCGCCCGTGTCGCCTCCCGTGTCGCCTGCGTGTTGCATGGCTGTGACCGCCTCGTGCATGGCCTGCAAGAACGGCGTGAGCCTCAGCGCCTTCTGCGCGGCCAAACCTGGCCACGCGGGCTGCACGACCGCGCCACTTCCGCGCCCAGCCATGCCGGTCCACGGGGGCCACCTGGCCCACGGCTTGCTCCTGTGCCTCGCGTGGGCGCTCCTCTTCCCGTCGGGCGCGGTCACGCCCCGCTTCTGGAAGGCGCGCTGGCCGACTACGTGGCTCAAGTTCCACAAGATCCTCAACCTGTCCGCCGTCGCGCTCACCCTCATCGGCGTGGTCGTCCAGATCGTCGCGACGCAGAGGGACGGCTCGCCTCACTTTGCTCACACGCATGCGATCCTTGGCCTCACCCTGACCGTCGCCGTCGTGCTCCAGCCGGTGTATGGCTACCTGCGCCCACCGAAGAAGACCAGCCCAGGGCGCAGGGCGCAGCTCCCCGTCAGGGTGCAGTCTCCTTCGACGAAGCGCGTCGCCTGGAAGTGGAGCCACATGCTGATTGGATACGGCATGATTGGCATCGGCGTCTTCCAGCTGATCTCGGGCATCCGCCTCTCGTGGGGCCTGGAGAGCCTCTACGGCGTCTACGGCGGCCTCTTTGGACTCGCGATGCTCTGGGGACTCGTGGGCTTCATGCTGGCGCCCAAGGCTTCGGCCAAGGCCGCCGAGGACGCTCCGCCTTCGCGAGTGGGGATCATGGCAAATTGAGGTGGCCACCGTTTGCGCAGGCGTGTATTGTGCGGCGCGCGTAGCAAGGTCCTGTGCTCCCTAGCGAGGGGTGGCGTGTGCTGGGGCGATTGGTGCGTGTTACTGCTGTGTGCTGTGTGCTGCTGTGTGCTCACCTCTAGAATCACAAAAGCTTTGACACACGGTCACACGCGCCATTCCCGCGAACTCCCTCAATCGCTCTCCCCTGCACTCCCGCCAAGCAAGCGGCTTGTCGCCACTTTTTGTCTGTCGATTTTGTCTGGTGCCTCTCGCGCCTCTCGTGGAGCTGCACACAGCCCTGCCGCCTGCGAGCTGCACAGCCCGGGCGCACCTCTGCAGCGCTCACGGAAGGGCAAACAGCCCGTACGCCTCCTCCTCGCTGTCGTCCCCCTCGCTCTCTCCAAAAAAGCCAGTCCGCCCACGCTGATCGCCCCCAGCCCGCCAACCCGCAACCGCCCCCATCCCGCCCCCGCCGCCCGCCCGCCGCCCCGCCCCCGACACGCAAGCGCGAGATGAGGGCAGAGAGCGTCGTCGCAAGGCGCTGCCTGCCCCGGCAGGTGTCCCGGACGGAGCCCAGCGCGCGCAACTCGTGCTCGCGCCGCCGCACCTAATCTCGGGCGATCTCGATCTCGAGCGATCTCGACGTCGACTCGGCGTGCTCTCGGGGCCTCACGCGCCGCGTGCTGCTCACAAAAGGCTTGCAGGTGCGCAGACAGCTCGGGCGGAGGCATCCTCTCGCCCTGCGGCGGCGAGCGCCTCGCCATGCAGGAGAGCATCGCCCCGCCCGCGAGCCGCCTGCGGTGAGGCGAGGGTGAAAGGTCGGGCCGCCTCCTCGCCAACACACACAAGGCGGCGGCGCAGTGGCCAGGCTGCGACTCCCGACTCCACGTCTAAAGACAGGAGCTGGGCATGAAGAGTGCAAGGCCCGAAACACGCGGGAGACTCACTCTCGACCGATGAGAATGAGACCCCTTCCCCCGCCAGTCGCCACAGGAAGGAGCTCCCTCATCTCGCCTCCATCTCGGCTCATCTCGCCTCCATCTCGGCTCATCTCGGCTGCATCTCGGCTCATCTCGGCGGCATCTCGGCTGCATCTCGGCGGCATCTCGCCTCGTCTGCCCGACCGCGGGAAGGAGCTCGGCCGCCAAGTCGGGAAAGTCGAGCGGCGGCTCCGGAGTCGAGAGGCTCTGCAGCACCAGCACGGTGCCTGCGAGACGGCCTCGAGGGTGAGTGCTACACCGAGGCTATTCGCGAGTACGGCGCGCGGCGCAGCCGGCACGCGGCCCTCGGAGAGAGGCCGCGCCAGCACGCTGTCTCTCGGCTGTCTCTCGGCTGTATCTCGGCTGTCTCTCGGCGATCTCTCGGCGATCTCTCGGCGATCTCTCGGCGGCCTTCGGAGTGAGGCCTCATCAGCACGCCCACCCGCCCGTTGTGCGACCAGGTGCCTGCAGGAGCCGGTCCGAGAAGGCTCAGACAGCGCCCGCCTCCTCCCCTCCCCCCCCCCCCCACGTGTGGCGAGGCCAGGTGCCGTCAATGTCGGTGTAGAGCAGGCGCGGGCGCGGCGCGCCTCTGAGCGGGAGCCGAAGGTTTGCTGCGGTGGTAGGTGGGAGGGAGGTAGGTGGGTGGTGGGGTGGTTTGACTTTGCCGCAGAGGCCGTCCCGCGGACGTGGATTTCTTTTCCGCCGGACCTATCCTACTGCCGCTCCGGCCGCCGCCCGCGCACACTCTCCCCAAAAATGGCGACCATGAAGCCGGCCCCCGCCTGGCCCTCGCACGACGCGCTGCACGACGACGACTTTGCCTACGGCGCTTCCGTTGCGTCCTGCGACGCCGCCGTCCAGCGCGGCTTCCTGCGCAAGGTGTTTGGCCTCGTCGCGGCGCAGCTCGCACTCACCGCCGCGCTCTCGGCCGCGTTCATGTTTTACGCGCCACTGCGCAGCTTCGCGATTCACAACCACTGGATGATGATGGTCTCTTTTGTCGCTTCGCTCGGCCTGCTCGTCGCTTGCCAAGTCTACGCGCACTCACACCCCACGAACCTGTACCTCCTCTTCGGCTTTACGCTTGCAATGGCCTGGAGTGTCGCGACGACGTGCGGGGCATTTGCGGCGGCTGGACTCGGGCTGATTGTGCTCGAGGCGCCTCATTGCGCCCCATTGCGTCCACACAACCACCCCCCTCCCCTCTCTTTCCCTCCTCTTACCCCCGCGTGCGCTCCCGCCACCGCCACCGACCCCCCTCTTTCCGCCACGACACCGACCCCCTCCCGGCACGCCCAACCTAGGCGCTCGCCCTCACCGCCAGCGTGACTGCCGGCCTCACGGTCTACACCCTCCGCTCCAAGACCGACTTCTCCTACCTCGGCGCCGGCCTCGGCGCGGCGCTGTGGGTGCTGCTCCTAGGAGGGCTGCTTGCGATGTTTGTGCCGGGAATGCACCTCGCGCTGGCAATGGGGGGCGCGGTCTTGTTCTCCGCCTACATTGTGCGCTCCGGACGCAGCCTCGTGCCCCCCCCCCCCCCCCCTTTCTCCCCTGCCTCGACCCTCTTCCGCGCGCTCGCGCAGGTCTACGACGTGCACATGATCGCCAACCGGTGCAGAGGGAGAGGGGCCGTGGACCGGAGCAGTGCGCACCCCCCGTGCAGATCGAAGGGGTGCTGACCAATAGGCTCTCTCCAGACGAGTACATCCACGCGTCCATCTCGCTCTACCTGGACATAGTGAACCTCTTCCTGCACCTGCTGCGCATCCTCTCCGAGCTGCAGCGCGACTAGGCGAGCCCCCCCCCCCCCCCCCCACACACACACACAAGCAACATGCAACCACACTCTCGACACGTCCGAAGACGATCCATCTACTTCTCGATGCACGATGCCGCTCTCCCTCGCCGCCACGCCGCCTCCGTCGCCAGCTGCAGCTCCACCGGCGCCCCTCCCCCTCGACTCCCCCCCCCCCGCCCATGGCCTAGCCCATGCCCCGGGCCACACACCCATGGCCACAGGACACCCTCGAGGCCACACCGCCGCTCACCCGTCGCCGCACCGGCGCACTCTCGCAGCACGCAGCTGACACGGTCTCTACGACAAAGAGACGACACGAGCCTCTCCGAGAGAGCCACACACCGCACACACCGGCCGGAGTGGACGAGCCGACAGAGCTCCGGCGTTGTGGCGAGACCCCCCCCCCCCTCCCCCCCCCCTCGTTGTGGCGAGGATCCCTTCGAGGCGTCCTGTGAGGATCCCTTTAAGGAGTCCTGCGGGGGCGCACGGCCGCGGCGCTGATATCCCGATCGCCTGGGCGTGGCGCAGGTGGCACTGTGCCTGTGGGACCGCATCTCGGGTGCCAGAGGAGGGCAGGCGCCGGCGTCCCGCGCGCGCGTTAGACTCCCGCATCCGCAACCCCGGTTCACGTTTGAGACCCTGGCCTTGGGCCCAGCTTGGGCCCCCGGCGACAGTGGACGGCAGGTGGACGGCTTGAATTCGATCTCGTGGTATAGATTAGAACTGTGCGAGGAGAAAACCCAAATCCGTTCTGCGGACTTGGAGCACTTGGAGTGCAGTCATCAATCACACATCCAGGGCCGGGGAGCTCAGAAGCGCACCCAGCGGGCCGGATGATTGGCGAGCGCGTTTTTCTCTTTGAAGGCGCCCCGCCGCTTCCAGGCAGAAACTCGGTATTGCTCCGAGCCTGCCGCATGTCCGGAATGGCCTTTGGCGGCGCCGACGAGGGCGAGTCTGGCGGCCTGATTGCGCGTGCGAGCGACATTGCGCAGGGGCTTAATTACCCGAAGACGGCGTTCTTTCACATCGCCTTCAAGACGGCTGCGAGTGAGCGCCGAACGCTCACCGCCGCCGGGCACCGCTGCGGCCGCCGCGCGCGCATGCAGTATTCCTGCACGTGCAGACACGCACGCATACACACACACGCACACACGCACACACACACACATCCGCGCGCACCCTCTCGCTGGGCCGCTCATTCCGGCCGCGGCCACGCCTCGCCGCCGCAGTTCTCATCTACATGTTTGGCTCATGGTTCTCGTCCAACTTTGTCAACATCTTCGTGCTCTGCGTCCTGATGCTTGCCTTTGACTTTTGGACAGTAAAGAATGTGTCCGGCAGGCGCGACGCCGCCCGCCCGCCCGCCCTGCCACCGCGCCGAGGCCCCGTCGCTTCTTCGGCCTCCGCGAGCCTCGCCCAAGCGCGTCCCTCGCCCCAACCGTCGCCCTTCGCCTCGCGCCCCTGCGCCCTGCAGGCTGATGGTTGCGCTGCGCTGGTGGAGCATCTGTGAACAGCGCCTCTTCACACCACACTGGCTGTGAACCAGGCTGATGGTTGGGCTGCGCTGGTGGAGCGAGGTGCGGGACGACGGCTCCACAGACTGGAAGTACGAGTGTCGTGACGGCGAGCGCCGTACCCCTCACCCTCACGCAACAGCACAACCGCGGGCCGAAATCGCACGACAGCACAGTGACAGTCAGACATGCAGCACCGGAGTCCCAGGGAGGGCGAGCAAACACGCTTATCGCGCGCGCACAGACGCCGACTCGGAGGCCGCACCACCCCCTCACCCTCCTCACCCTCACCCTCACCCTCACCCTCACCCCTCGCCCCTCCACCCTCCACCCTCCACCCTACACACCCTCCCCCTCCCCCGCCACCCTCCACCCTCCACCCTACACACCCTCACCCCTCCCCCTCCACCCTCCACCCTCCACCCTACACACCCTCCCCCTCCCCCGCCACCCTCCACCCTCCACCCTACACACCCTCCCCCTCCCCCGCCACCCCTCCCGCGTGACATGGGCACGCCTCGAGCCCCTGCGGCAACGCCCCGCCGGAGCAGGCAACCTCAACGCGACGACGATGGACGTTGCCATCTTTTGGATCGGTCTGCTCACGCCGGCTTTCATCTGGTGCCAAGCGCCCCGCTTGCGGCAGCGCCCACATGGCCCCTCCCACGTCCTCCTTCCGCCACCGGCCGTGGCCTCGCTAGCCGACCCCCCCACCCCACCCCACCCCCACCCCCACCCCCGCGCCGCGCCGCCCCTTCCCAGGTTCATCTTTGGAGTGGGCTCGGTGTTTCGCCTCAGCTTTGACTGGCTGCTCCTCATCGCCATCGCCCTGGCGCTGAGCGGCGCCAACATCGTGGGGTATGTGCGCTGCAAGCAGGAGGCGGGAACACGGCTGATGAGCGGGCTGCAGGGCGTGATGGGCCGCACGGGGATGGGGTCCAATGTGATGGGCCAGGCGCTGCAATCGGCAGCGGGCAAGGCGTTTGGGCTCTGAGGGGCGCGCGAGGCCAGGGCGGGGTACAGGGGGACTCGTGACGACCGCTTCACGGCGGGCGGTGTGAAGTGCCGCGTACACACACACACACACACACACACACACACACACACACACACACACACACACACACACACACACACACACACACACACACACCTGAGACTGTCGTGTGCGTGCAGAGAGAGTACTGACCAGAGACGATAGAGAGAGGACCAGCAGAGAGCAGCGAGAGCCGAGTGAGAGAGAGAGAGAGACGATCTGATGTACTCCTACGCTAATGCCACATGAATGTACTGAGTCTAGTAAATAGAGAGGTCGTCCACCGTCGCAGCAAAGCGCGCGCGGGGAGCGGACCACACTCCGTTGCCGGCTCGTGTGGCCGAGCTTTGCTGCCTTCTTGCACGGCACGTTGCCGGCTGTAACGTTGCCTGCACCCCATGGCCGCGCCTGGCCACTCTTCTCTCTTGGTCTTGCCTCTTGTGCGCTTGGCATGGTCGAGTCGAGCGCGAAGCCACGCTCGACTCCACTTTCTTTTCTCTGTCAGGACTCTAAGTTTCTGTCGCGTGTCGGACTCTCAAGTTTCTGTCAGCGCAGGACTCTCAAGTTTGCTTGTCAGGACTCTCAAGTTTGCTTGTCAGGACTCTCAAGGTTACGTCATGACTGCCCCATCAGGACGATTCCGCAGAGGGCGGCACGGGTCGAAAGGGGGGCTGGGCGTCTATCATTCACTGCTGGGGGCGAGGGGAGGGTTGCAGTGAAGGAAGCTGGAAGGTGGAAGTCTCGTCTGTGCGTCGTCATGACTCCGCCAGGACTCTGTCAGGACTCTGTCAGGACTCTGTCAGGACTCTGTCAGGACTCTGTCAGGACTGTCAGGACAGGTGCGGGAGGTCCACAAACCAGGTTTCGGGCTGCCATAAGTTGGCTAGGGTTGTATGTGCGCTGGTAACAACAGACTCGGGCATAGCCCTCGACAGCCACCCCCTAACCCCCCACCCACCCCCCTTTTTATAAAGTGTGTGGAGCATTCGTCGGCGCGCCGCCCCGCCGTGCCTCCACGCAGCGCCACTCCCCGGCACGCGCGACAGCTGCAAAGGTCCTCCTCGGGCCTAGACTCTAGTCAGCATCGTGCGAGCCATCTTCGTGTGTGAGGGGATATGACTGCGGGCCTCGCCTGCTCGGCCGCCTCTCCTTTCCTCTCCCGTCGCCGACGCGAAGGGGCGAGGGGTCGGGGCGAGGCCCGCGCGCCTCTGCAACCTGCTGTGTGTGGGTCCTGTGAGACCTCGAGGGAACTGTTTGACTGTCGGCGGAGAAGGTGTCTCTCTTGGCACTTCACTGCCATTGTCTTTGTACCATTTATCCTTTGTAACATTGCCTTGGACTACGAAGGATGAAAAATACGTAATGCGTAATGCGTATGCGTGATACGTAAGCGAGGGGGGGGGGGGGGGGGCTCGGGGGCGCGCGGGGCGAGATACGTAATCCGTAAACGTGACGCGTGGTACGTAAGGCACCCGCCGCGCGGGCCATTGCACCGTCCCCCGGGCAAAGCTTTGCGGTGAAGCAGACGTATGCGTAATGCGGATACGTGGCTGGGTTCACAGCGATTGTAGGAAAACGAAGGGAACACTTGACGGTCGCGGCCTTCCGACTCGCGCCTCCGCCTCACTGGCACTATTGTAGCCCTGGCCGGTGCGCGTGCAGAGTTGAAGTTCCGGAGTAAAAATTCGAACGCGTTCTCTCGCGGTGACCAAAAAATGTCCACCTCAGAGGCACCTCCGGAGGCAGGCCGCTGCACGCCGGCGACACAGCTCCAGCTGTCGAACTGACCCGCAGCTCCTCTCAGAGCGGGAACTGTGACGAAAGTTGACTGAGGCGGTTGTCAGGAATCATCATACGGATCACATGGTGGCTCTCTCATTCATGACGGGAGACCGCCCGACCACTCCTGGGTGGCACTGCCACCGGTGTCGCTCGTCGTCCTGTCGACAGCGTGCCGACAGCGACACAGCCCATGTGGGACGCGTCGAGTATCGACCTCTACTGCTTACCCAGCCTTCGAGTGTATCCTTGCTGTGGTCCCACACCCACTGGTGTCCATCTCAGAGACCGCAGGAGGTCATGAGGGTCGATGGGAGTGCCAACCCCACAATGCCTCAAGACCCAGCCCAGTACAAGCAGCCCGGGCCAACGCCGGTAGAGGCAACTGTTCAGGCTCTGACGGTCGAACCGACATCGCCGCGGCGGTCGCGAAGCGGGGCCGAGGTTGCTTCTGGCGCACCCCAAGTCGTCATACTGGTTGGGTAGTAGTCGAAGTTCTGAGATCCTTGGTGTGGACGGTATCCGCGGCGGGATATGGCGGGATATGGCGGGATATGGCGGGATACCGGGAGATACTGGGAGATACCGGGAGATACCAGGAGATACGAGATACGGGCAGATACGGGCATACGGGCGGATACGGGGAGATGCGAGGAGATGCAAGGAGATACGGGGAGATACAGTCAGATATTGGAAAGATACATCAAGATACCGCAAAAAAAACGTCCACACCACTGTTGTGGCCTAAAGTCTGCGCAGGTTGTGAGGATCACGATGCCGGCGTGAACACGACTAACTGACGGGGACCGCTCCGGGACGCACGCCGGCGAAGCACCATCAAGCTGTTGTACGGCCCCGGCATCGCCTTCCCAGGCTTAGCTAGACTGAGAGATATTGTGGACATGATTGGTTTCTACAATATATACACTGACACTGACCCTCCCAGAGCTCGTCCCGGTCCGTCACGGCCATCCTCGGCCTCCGGAGGGCCCCCGGCCGCCGCGCGGTGCGGCGGAGTCACAAATCCGACGGCAGAGCACCGGGACGCGGTCGGCGATCTGAGGCCCAACTAGGCGTATGCATTGCCCATCCAGGGCTATCACCTGGACCTATCAACAGGCGCCTGCGGCGCCGTGCTCAGGAGCTGCTGCTCCAACCTGTTCACACTTTCGTACGGCACAGTAGGACTTCTGAGCCTCGAGGCTTGGCGGGTCTAAGTGTGACTAGTCACGCTTGGGTGCTTACGCGGTCTAAGGTCAGCGAGAGCCTCTTACACGGGCTAAGTCTGCCGTGGCACGGCCTGGCTCCCACCGTGATCAACGATACGGCGCTAGCCCCCAAATTTTCTTCGCCTGCGGCGGGCGCCTTGTTAAACAAACTTCAGTTTGTGCTAGTGAACTAAGGAGAAGCGGGTCGAGCCTCGGCGCAGAGGGCAGCGCCTAGCGGGCGGGAACCCTTACCCCGCGCCTTCTGCTGACCGCCGTTTTGTACGGCGGGACCTCCGAGCGCCACGAGGCCCTCACACCGCTCTCGACTAGCGTCGGCTCCTGCTCAGACAGGCGCCAACCTATCAGTTCTCAAAGCGAGCGGAGGCGGCGCTACCCGCCGGCCCGCCAGCGACGCACGCCGCGCAGGGCAGCCAGGCCGGAAAGGACGACTACCGATGCCGGCAACGTCAATGCTCTCCCTCGTGCAGAAGGCGCTGCGCAACCTCCTCGTCGGCGACGACGAGGTCGTCCCCGCGTGCGGCTGCTCCCGGGCCGACGGCGTCGCGGAGCCGACGTCGCCCCCCGCGCCGCTCGTCGGCGGCCCCAGCCAACGTTCCGAGTTCAACGATCCAGGTGACCGTCCACCCTCCCCACTCTGCCAAGCGGCACCCACCCCCCATCGGCCGGCGGAAGCCCACCGGCCGAGCGGCGAACACGGCCCTCGAGCCAGCCCCCGCGGCACCCGACACGACACTGGCCTCGCGCCTCGACACGACACGATGACCCGGCGATCCGGCGAGTACTGAGGGCGATCCCTCGGGCCGAGGGCGAACCCTCGGCCCCGCCAAGCGGCACCCAACCCCCATCGGCCGGCGGAAGCCCACCGGCCGAGCGGCATCCGGATCGATCCTCCTCATGCTCAGCAATCGCCACCTCAGCATCCTCCTCTTCCGATTCTCGTTGCTGCTTCTTGAGCGCAATCTTCGTGACGTCTAGCCAAACAGTTCTCACAAATAGCCTCAAGCTCAAACAAACGCATGTCAGAGAAGCCTGTGCATGCGCTGGTCCTCTTTGAACGGTCCGCGCGTGAGGTAGCATAGGGCCTTGTTGGCAGCAGCAGCTTGTTGCGCTGCTTCGTTGCGATGAGCTGATTGGGATCGCAGAAGTGCATGCCAAGCACCGTCACGATCTTGAAGCAGAACACATCGCAACCGCATCGTCCGCACTGCCATCGGCATGCCGCGCCCGCCGCTTCGCTGCAGCCGCCTTAAGACACGCATAGCGGCAGCACATGGTACGGTGCGGGTACTTGAGCAGGCGTTGCGCGCCGCAAGTAGCGCACTGGCCCTCGTGGGAGGAAGCGATATGGCGTCGTGCACGGCATACGTTGGTCGGGACAAGGTATGTTTCGGGTAAACCTGGACTTTTGCAGGTATACCCGGGTTTCACCCGGAGTTGGCCTTGTGTCGTCTAAGTTCATGGCCCCCGACCAAAAAGCGTCTAAGTCTGAGCCCGGCTCCGTGCGGGGGCTAAGTTGAGCGCTCGCTCGCTGCAGAGGCCAAGTGTAGAGCGACCCTCTAGCCCTACTACCCAACCATTGTCGTCATCGCCGAAGCGGCGACACCTTGCGACAGGCGCAGCAGATCGCGCGCATCAGCGAGAGAATTTGTGTGAGCTCTGTGTCCTGATTTGCCAACAACTTACCTACAATCGAGACGTTGGCGCGCAGCCTTCTACGCGGTGCATTTCCTTTTCTTGAGCTTGCCTGTGCGGCGAGGGCCGAGGGCGGACCGGTCGAGGTGCACGGAGCTAAGTGCCTCGCCGTCCTCGGGAGTCGCTTACGGGGCTCTAGGCGGCTCCCGTGGTGTACCGTGCCTCGAGAGCGTCGGTGAGAGAGCGAGGTGGTGAAAATTCTTTCGTTCTCGCACAATACTGGGCACAGGACTAGCGCGCACTCGCCTCGCACAATGTGACCGTCCTCGAGATGATCCACCAGTCGGAGGGCTACGGCATCTCGGTGAGAGGGCACTTCCCGCACACCTCCGTACACCTCGGGCACTCGCCGGCACACCGGCTGCCCGACGGCAGCCGAGCCCGCGCGCCGGAGAGAGAGAGAGAGAGAGAGAGAGAGAGAGAGAGAGAGAGAGAGAGAGAGAGAGAGAGAGAGAGAGAGAGAGAGAGAGAGAGAGAGAGAGAGAGAGAGAGAGATCACCGAGGATGGCCGACTCTCCAAGCCCCTCTAGTGCAGCTGAGCCACTAACGATTACAAGCTCTCACTGTGGTCCCGCCTCCCACGCCTCGACCTTCTTGGGCAGCAGCTGGTTCGACAGGTCCTCTCCGTGGCCTAGGCAGGCGTCTTCGCCCTTGCCCCAGGTAGAGACGGCGCCGTCGGCGGCGAAGGCGATGCTATGGTACTGTCCAGCCGACACAGCGACGACGCGCTGACCCGCAAAGGCCTCGACCATCTTGGGCAGCAGGTGGTACTGCTCGTCGCCGTGGCCCAACTTGCCAGAGTATCCACTTCCCCAGCTCCAGACGGCGCCGTCGGCGGCGAGGGCGAGGCTGTACGCGGCTCCAGCAGACACAGTGACAACGCGCCGGCCCTCCAAGGCCTCGACCTTCTTCGGCAGCAGCTGGCGCTGCTCGTCGCCGTGGCCGAGCTTGCCCCTACCTCCATCGCCCCAGCTCCAGACGCCGCCGTCGGCGGTGAGGGCGAGGCCGTGCGCGGCTCCAGCCGATACAGCGACGACGCGCTGGTCAGCCAAGGCCTCGATCTTCTTCGGCAGCAGCTGGTCCTGCTCGTCGCCGTGGCCCAGCCTGCCAGAGTATCCACCGCCCCAGCTCCAGACAGCTCCGTCGGCGGTGAGGGAGAGGCTGTGTTCGCCTGTAGCCGACACAGCGACGACGCGCTGGCCAGCAAAGGCCTCGACCTTCATCGGCAGCAGCTGGCTCTGCTGGTCGCCGTGGCCCAAGACGCCAGCGTGTCCACGGCCCCAGCTCCAGACGCTGCCGTTGGCGGTGATGGCGAGGCTGTGGAAGCGTCCAGCCGACACGGCGACGACGCGCTGGCCAGCAAAGGCCTCGACCTTCTTTGGCAGCAGCTGCCTCTGCTTATCGCCGTGGCCCAGCTGGCCAAAGGCTCCATAGCCCCAGCTCCAAACAGCACCGTCGGCGGTGAGGGCGAGGCTGTGGTACGCTCCAGCCGACACGCTCACGGCGCGCTCGCCACCCAGCGGAGAAGGGAGGCGGGTCGGCGCGTTGAGCCGCGTCACGCCCTCGCCGTGGCCGAGCAGGGCTGGAGAGAAGGACGGCGCTGAGCCGCACGACGAGAGCCGCCCCTCGCCGTCGATGAAGACGCTGTGCGTTTCGCCTGCCGCAGCCCTCGCCGGCGCGTTGGACTCGCGCAGCAGCGCCGAACAGCACAGCCACCGCACGGCGCAGCTCTCACCCTCTGGCTGCGCCGGCAGCTCGAAGCCGCGCTCTTGCGCCCACAAGCGGATGCCCTGCTCCGCGAGCGAGGCGTGAAAGAGACGCGAGACGGCCGCGACGCGAGCAATGTCGGCGGGGTCGCAGCGAGAGACGACGCGCACGAGGAGGTCCGTGGGGAGGTCGAGGAGGCGGGTGGGCGGCGGCGTGCTCGGCGAGGGAGCGGCGGTGGTGGCAGGAGCGAGGCGGCGCGACCGCCGCGGCGGGGCAGACATCTGGCGTGGCGAGTGCAATCTCAGGAACCTCTCGCAGCCTTGTTATTGAGAAGAAACAGTGGTCGGCGGGGCTTGCGTTTTTGCTCTACATACGTTGCCGTCGCCAGTCGCACTCCCAAACGCTACAACGGGGGCGGCGGCGGGGGCGGGGGCGGCGGCGGCGGCGCGACGGGGTTGGTAGGGGGGTGGGGAGGCTGCCGTGCTCGAGAGAGAGCACGAGCTGCCGGGGGATAAACGCTGCGCCGCCCCCGCACCAGCGACACCGGCCGCGGCTCATGAGCTTGCCAGCGGCGAGGGCGGTCGAGTGCACGGAGCTAAGTGCCTCGCCGTCCTCGCGGGAGTCGCTTAGGCGGCTCCAGTGGTGTACCTGTGTTAGTTCCAGTGCGCGCCAGTCCCGTGCCCAGTAAAATAAATAAATAAATAAAACGGGCACGCCAAACGAGGGGTGGGAGAGGGACAGGGTCCCCACCTGCACGAGCAGGATCTTGGAAGGACGATCAGGGACACAGGGGAACGGGAGCGGGGAGCGCATCGCGACACGGAGGGGGGCTGGGCAGGGTTCACCCACACGACAGGGTCCCAGGGATTCCTCTCTCGTATAGGACAGGTTGCACCCGGCGGCACGGGGGCAGGCGCGGGCCTCCTACTGGTTGCGCTCTCCTAGTTCTCCTGCTCCTGACAAGGGACAGCGACAGGCTCGCAGCACGGTGGACTCCCTATTCCACTGGCGATCTCTCTCGACTAGCGACCTTCCTCCGGCTTCTCACCAGCAGTCTCTCACTACCACGGGCACACTGACAGAGGCGGCCAAAAGGCTCACGTGGGTGGCAGGGCGGTGATAGGAGTCTCCCACTCTGTGGGCTTCGCTAGAGGTGCGGCCCCTGCGCGTGTCCTCGCCCTTGCGTGTGTGTGTGTGTGTGTGTGTGTGTGTGTGTGTGTGTGTGTGTGTGTGTGTGTGTGTGTGTGTGTGTGTGTGTGTGTGTGTGTGTGTGTGTCTGCGGGCGCTGTGCGAGCCGCCCTGAACGACCACAATGTTGAGCGCGCTCGAGCACCGAAGCACCGCGAGCGCCGGCGAGCACCACCGCCCCGCGCCTTGGCGTGGGTCGGTAGTACACGATGCGGCGCCCAGCAGCTCTATCATGCGTCGCACCTGCAGTGGCCGAGCCGACCGCCGCTCGAACTGGCGCCGAGTGGCTCCCAGATCGAGCGTGGCAGGCTCAGTCGCACCGTCGCGGGGCGAACGCGAACCGAGCCGTCGCCGTTCGCCGCAGCCGCCGGCCGCCAGCCGTCAGCCGTACAGCCGTACAGCCGTCAGCCGTCAGCTCGCAGTCGCCGTCGCTGCCGCCGCCGCAGCAGCAGTGAGCGAGCTCCTGCGTCGTGTTGCCGACGCAGTGTGGACGCGCGCCGCCCAGCGGCGAGCGAGCGTGCTCGGAGTTGGGTCGGCGCGCGCGCGGGCGGACGGCGCCTGTAAACAGACAGCCTGCACCGCCCACTCGTTCAAAATCGTAGACGAGGTAGATGCCCAGTGTTGTGCGTGCCCAGTGTTGTGCGAGGGAGGGCTGGCAAAATTCTTTTTCGAGATATCAACCCTCTCAAGCAACGGCGCCGGGCCACAAATGCTCCTTCTCGCCGCGCTTCACGGCGCCGGCCTCTCGACACGGTTGTCGCCAGCATACGGGATCACACCGCTGACCCGGGCCGCCGGCCCAGCCTTGCAGACCGACGCCGGGCCGTCCGAGCTCTGGACACGGGACCCTCAGCGGAGCAACAGCGCGTCCTCTGCGGAGGAGAGGAGGCGGCAGCGGCTGGCGCAGGCGCAGTCCGGCAACGCCAACGGCGCCGTGAAACGTCATCTGCCGGCCCACACGACGCGCGACCCCCTCTACCCGCGGCGCGGCGCGGCCGACGCGGCGGAGCGGCGGCGGCAGCGGCTCGAACAGCCAAACAAGGCCAACGTGCAGGAGGGCAGCAAGCCTATCCTTCCGCGCCTCGAGTACGCGAGCCCGACCGCGCGCCACCCTTTCGACCTGTGGACCCGCGACCCACGGCGCGGCCCGACCGATGCACTCGAGCGGAGGCGTCTGCGCGAGCAACAACAACAGCCGCAGCCGCAGCTTGCGCCTGCGGGCGATGTCGACGCGCCGCCGCAGGTGGGCGCCGGCGAAGATTTTGACGAGGGAACTGACTCCGCTGCGATCGCGGAGGAGGCGGCCGGGCTGGATGCGGCAGAGGAGGCGCCGCGCGTGGTTGCCTCGCTCACCTCCGAGCTTTGCGAGGCCAAGCAGGAGCTGGCCGACGTCAAGCAGGAGCTGGCCGAGGCGAGCCAGAGCTACGGGGCAGCGCACGCGGCAGACAGAGCGGAGGCGCCGGCGCCTCTCTCACGCCTCGGCCGCCTCCACCCCGCGGCTCTGCCTGCGCCGTGTAGGCCCTCGAGGAGGAGTTGGCGGTGGCAAAGCGGACCATCTGCGAGCTGCAGGCGCTGCCGTAGGTCACATGCACGCATGCAGCACGTATCACACACCCCACCGTTTTCTCCTCGGACAGTCGACGATGAAGGACCTGGTCGAGGCGGCCGAGATGAAGGCCGAGGAGGCCAAGGGGGAGCGGGGCGCGGAGCTGAAGACGGAGGAGGCGGGCGTTGAGCAGGCTGGCGAGGGAAAGCGCGGCAAGGTGTGCGCCTAGACAGACGTGCCGCACGCAGAGCATATGCGCCGAATGCCCAGCGCCTTGAATGAGACTCGTTGCCCGCTACGGGTCTGCGCGCAGGCCGGGCCGCGCAGGTCTGTGACGTCGCGGCGGCGGAAGCGGCGGGCTGCCAGCTCCACGGCCTCTTGAGTGGAGCTGCGCAGGGAAGGAGGGGCTGTGGGGGACTGGCATCGAGAAGAGCCTCTTCGAATGAGTTGGAGCGCGGAGAGGCGAGAGGAAAGGCTGTCGGGTCGGCTCACTGCTTTCAGGAGCAGGACTCGGGTTGACTCACTGCTTACGGGAAGGGCAGATGGCGCGGCAGGCGGAAAATACAGGGGGCGAGCGTGGGGCAAGGCGGATCGGTGGGGCGGTGTGTGTGGTCTGTGCTGCCTCTGTGGAGCATGCGCGGCAGCGACCTTTAGCACCGGTTGGCTGTTGTGCGGCAGAACCTCGCAGCATTCGTATGGGATTTGCATTTCCATATTTTTCCGCTTTTGGCGAGCGTGTTGCCGTGTCGCGTGTGCACCCGCCCCCCGGGGGCGCGGACGCGGCGTCGGGCGACGTCCCGACGACCCCGCCGACACGGCGACGCACAGCCACGCCATGAGCCACGCACCGCCGTTGGCGTTGCACCCGTACACCGCGTACGCCGTAGAGCTCCGAGTTGGCCGTTGAGCCGTACATGTACATGCAGTGATGCACAAACACCTTGTGATTTTTGGGTCAAAATCGTCCCGATTTCATAATGTTCGTTCGTACGTGCATCCGCGGCGCCCAGCGCGGTGCCAGCGGCTCCCATACCTCTAAGAGGCCACCCACCTCCGTATAGACCCTTATATCCGCGGTTTACGCCCAATAGAGGCAGCTGCAAGAGGGCCCGGACGGGCTCTGCGGCACACACTGCTCGCTGCTCGGCCATGCGGTAGCGTCTGGTGATGCCGCCCCTGCGCGGGCGGGGGCGTCTCGCTCGGCAGCAACTGCGCCGCGCAGCGCAGGTTCGAGGGTCGCGGTGGGTGGGTGCACTGGAAGACGTAGCGGTCGAGAAAGCGCTCAGCGACCGCTACGTCTCGAGGATGGAGCCGTCGCGCGGACCCGACCGGCCGACCGGCAGTAGCAGCAGGCGCCGGAGGGCGCGGGAGGCAGCGGCGACACCTCGGGCCAGAAGCGCGAGCCCTAGGCTGGTGAGGGGGGCCGCTCATGCGTAAACGGCTCTGGGACTTAGCTAAATCGCGCATCGAAATCGGGACGATTTTGCCAGGGCACCGTCACAGGCTAGTTCCATTTCACTGTGGCACAGCTCGCGTTACAAAACCTTGATTTTGACCATTTGCGCACTATTGTACCTCTCGGTGCCTTCCAGAAGAAGCTGCGACCCCGCCGAGTGGACGGG